ATGTAATCATAAGACCGAGAAAATAATTCGAAATTAATTCCAATTTTGTTTTTATCAAAATATAAAAAATCATATCAATTTGAATTTCTGAATATATATTATGATGCCAAGCGGATGAGTTTTATAATTATTCGTCTATACTAGTCCGATTAAAGATTTTGAGAATTGATATATCAAAATATCAAATTATCCCCTCCCCTTCCCGTTTTCCCAAACCAAAGAATTCGTGGGAACCGTTCAATTTACCCCCCTCCACCTCATCCCCCCTAAATTGATACTATCAAGAATTGCTTGTTTCCAGCCTTGGACTGCCTCTGCTAAAAGCCAGATTGAACTCAAACTCTTCTACGCGAGCTTCGTGATTTTTACAATGCAATTTCGAACACCAGGTGTTCCTTCTCTCCAGATTACATGCCCAAGCAAATCGAAATCACTTCCCATTTCGTTTAGTAACAACATGAAGCGTATAGTTCATGATCATATGAATATTTGTTGCCACTACCTAACTGAATTTTATCTGCGTATGAACTGATTTTCCCACCCAGAAAGCAGCCCAAGCCACGTCATGCTGCCCCATGGCCGATCAGCGTCGGGACGATGACCTGGTCAGGGCTGCAGGTCAATTCTGACATGACGTATCTCAAGAATAAGATGATACTTTAAATCAATAGCGGTAGTATTAGTACGTGTACTTCTTTGTCACCCACCTAGTAGTATTAGCAATAATAAGAATAGTCATCGAAAGCGGCTCACTGCATGATGCGGCATGCTCTGCTCGAATCGTTGCGCAACAAGCGGTTCAGTGTGAAACTTGCGGGTTCCCGAACGCAGTGTAAAACCCTCACGCCGCAGGGTGGCTGACATGCTCAGTTACGGCTCTCCACATAATTAAGTCACACAGATACAGAAAGCATCCTGCAGCGCTCAAGGCTTTGCGCCGAAGTCTTGCTTGGAGGATCATGGGACTTAGTAAGTAAGGTTATAAGTACCCTAATTGGGGTTATAAGTATAGTTACCCTAATTATAACCCTAGTTAGTAAGTCCCATGATCCTTTAAGTGGCTGGGTTCTCAGGACAGTCTGGGCAGCATCGGGCTGTAGACTGTGCATTCGGGACGGCAGTGACAACTGCCCGCTGCAGGATGGCAAGTTGAGGCGTTGCAAAGGCTGTTTGCAGAAGTATCCGTCTAGCAAATATGAAAGCCATTAGGACAAGAATGGGAGCCATCAACAACAATCCTGCAGCATTTCAGTTTCTTCCCTTGTCTACACACTCTCAGAATGCATGGAAGTACAAGTGTCAGACATATCCATGCCCACATTCCGGGCGATTTGCAAAGTCCTGGGCGCCAGCGAGGATTCTCCGGCACTGTCCCCACGATCAGCGCCGGTGATCACCGTCACATGCGACTCTCCTTCCAATCCCAAGTAAACCTCGGTTGCTAAGGACTTTAATTTAAGTTGACATGACCAGGAAACCTTATCATTTACTATATAGATCCCTGATGCGGTAACTCAAATCTCAAATTAAAACTCCTTAACAGGAGCCGAGAAACCGAAACCAGCGGCCCTTCTCGTGGGTCCGTGACTTCGACGGCGTCCTCCGGTTGAAGCCAACCATCAAGCTCTCGATCTGGCACATCTTCTTTCACCTGGGCAGTGGTTCATATGGGAGTTTCCGAAAACTAGGGGTACCTTATTTGGGGGTCCTTATAATAAGGGTCCTACTATTTAGGGTTCTATATTAGTGTCCCCCTATTTTCGGAACTCCCACATTAAGAACTTACAAAAAGTACCTTAGCCTACCAAAACCTACTTTTTTTGTAGGGTCACTCACAAATTCCATATGGGTTGTTGTCAAAATTAGGGTCCCTGTGGGTACCCTAATGAGAGGTGCCGTATGATGATAATGACCCAAAACGCGGCCCCAATTTCGACAACTACCCACCTCCTGCTCCTGCTCCTCGTCCGACTCCTCAGGTTGAAACCAGTCGTTGTCAATGCGCTGCTTCACGTTTCGGCTGCAGCAGATTGCGAAGCTGGCGAAAATGGCCAGGATGAGCGCCACGGTCAAGGGAACAATCACGAGGTCTTGCAGAAGGCTGACAGCACAACTTTCCAGCCATTTTACCGCATCTTGCGAGCTGACATTTGCAAGGAAGGCAAAGGTGTAGAAGAGGCAGAAGGCAAGGTGGGAGCTCCAAAGCAGCCAAAAAACAGTGGATTTCCACTTCCACCTGTAGTTTCGGGGCCCTTGAAAGTGCTTACGAACAAATATGAGGGATATAAAAACGTTTCCCAAAGCGCCACCGAGCCACCGCAAAAGCTGCTTCTCTCTGTCCAAAGAATCCCACTCCTGCTTGTCAACGGCCTGCCGGCTCTGAATCACGAACAACACGAAGATGACCGTGTCACCTAGAAAGGCCGAGATGAGGCCCGCTGTTGCGGCCTGGATCATGCTGGACGCGAGATCGGTAGGAGGGAGGCAGTCCGGATCAGAGTCTGGTGTTGTGGAACTACTGGAAAAAAACAGCGCGCCCACGGCTGCTGCACTCGTCAGCTTCGTGATGATCAGCGCCGCGCGCGTGGCGTGCGAGGTGAAGAGGCTGAAGCGAACAGTTTCCAGCCAGGGGTGAAGAGCCGGGAAAAGGAGAAAGATTCGAGTCATGAAGGTGCTCGATATGAAGCTCTTCACTGCTTTCTCCCCACGCTCTTGAATCTCCTTGTACTCAGGCAGGCCGACGCTGTGAGAAGGGTGAAACGAATCCATCTTACGTAGCATGCCGGACTTGTTCGAAGACAAAGTCTGCGACAAAGTCCGTGACAAAGATCGAGTGGAGAAAGGTCTCCGTGTTTCATCATCTGACGGCCCTGTAGTCTCGGGTAGAGTTTGCCCAGTGGACACAGGGTCGTCAGCCATGTCCATCGTGGTCTCGATTGTGAACGATCTGCTCCGGGATAGTGACTTGACCATCTTCTTCACGCCGTCGATGCTATCTCTTGTGGTGCCTGTTTTGTGGGCGTGGATACTGGTAATGCATCGGTTGACGACGGACTCCGGGGCGTTCGGGAGGAACTCCTTCGCCACTTCCGCCAAGTCCTCATACCCGAAGTCCTATCACCCACAGAACCCATTCCGCCGACGCTTCGCAAAGATTTTTGGTCCGCGTGCAACAAGATTTGTTGCTATTCTCCACCTCGTTGTTATCTTCTGTCTCCAATGTATGTGCCACTGAGGTCTTTGTGCGCAGCAACAGCGGCTCTTTCTGCTCCCATGGAATCGCAGTGTTCACTTTCGTGTCCAGGCGGACCGCCAAGCAAAACACCACCACGAAACAGAGACAACAGCAGAAAACCACAATTGATGTGCTGTGTGAGAGCCACTGCTGCTCTCCCAATTTAGCCACACCTTCAGCACTGAGTAGCTGCGAGGCTGTGCTGCATTTCAGCACCTTAGCAACATTAGGCAAAACGAGCTCCAGAATTCCTCCGAAAATCGACAGGTGAGAGGTGCGGCAAATGATCTGCCCGGAGGATGTAGAGACGGTCTCTAGGCCTTCTGTCGACCACCGCAGGGACTCCTCGTCAAAATAAGCACATGTCGCGTTGTCTTCGGTCACTGGCAGCAGGAGCTCCATCGGACTCGCCAGGTTTTTGAGCTCAATCCTGGACCCATCTGCTGCACGGAATCCAACGCTTATGGACTGGCCAACCAATGTGGAGCCGGTACTCATACCCGTAGCGAGCCGACGCGCGGTCAACCTGGAGTCATCGTTCCGGATCTTGTCGGAGACATTCAGTGAAAGTGCGGTGATGCTGAGCAAGACCACTCCGGAGCCAGCTGCATCAGCAGCTTGGGCAAGCACGGCATTAGGAATGGAAACGCTGGTGCCCTCCTCTCCCTCGATGCTCACATTGCTGCCCTCTGGCACTGATCCGGCGGACAGCGCCACCACCTTCAGAACACCGGCTACGGTTTCAACAGATGCTTCTGCCAAAACAGCATTCGTAGAGTTGCTGCTTGCAATCAACGAGGACAAGAGTTCAAGCGTCTGGTTCACTGCTGCCTCCTCCGCGACATCAATGTTTTCCACTGCCTCAGTGGCCTGCTGTTCGCGGAGTTCCTCCAGCTGTGCGAACTCCTCCTCGTTGAGCGTGGGTGCCTCCGTAACTGTCGAGGTTGCATCTGTTGCTGGACTGCTTGTAGCATGCACTGAAATTGCTGTAGAGGTAGTTGTGGAACTTGTCGCGGATTTGGAACTTGTGGTAGATATGGTTGCCGATTTGGTTGTGGAGCTCTCGGAACTCGTTTCAGGGTGTGTGGAGGAGGTGGTGGTAGTGGTGGTTGTGGCAGAACTCGTTGCAGTCGGTGTTTGCGAGCCGGAGGTTGTCGTGCTGCTGGACGTCGTCGTCTTGGAGCGACTTGTGGACGTCGTCAGCGTACTTGTACTTTGTGTGGAGCTGCCAGTGCTGGTTTCGGTTGTAGTTGTTTGCGTGAGGCTCGTGATCGTGAAAGTGGCCGACGTTGTTCGGGTGGTGCTGCTTTGGGTTGCAGTTACTGTAGTTGTTTGCGTGAGGCTCGTAATCGTGGCAGTTTTCGACGTGGTTCGGGTGATTGTGCTGCTCTGTGTAATGCTTGCTGTAACAGTAGCAGTGTCGCTGCGAGACGTTGTGCTGCTCTCAGTCGCACTATGCGTGCTCGTCGTGCGTGTGGTTTGGCTGCTCGTGGTGCTTGTACTTATGGTGTGAGTTGCAGTTGTTGAGGAAGTTGTGGCACTCGTGATGCTTGTGCTCTGTGTGGTGGACGTGGTTACGCTCACACTCGTGGTGCCTGTGGTGGAGCTGGTGCCAGTGCTGCTAGCTGTGCTACTGCTGCTCGTGACACTGCTCGACACGGTTATGGTGCTTGTCGTGGTTAAGGATGCAGAGGTTGTCGTCGTAAGCGATGTTGTCGTGGTGGTGCTGGGATCGGAGCCCAGCTGGACAGCTGGCAAGTTGTCGCCCATTTCGCCAGCTGCAGCTCCGCGACTCGTGAGGTCTCCTTGCCCGAGTCTGCCGTTACCGCCAGAGTTTGACCCCCAGCACTTCAGGCTGTCATCATCAAGGATCGCACATGTATACCCATGGTTTCCAATTCGAAGGCTCGTCGCTATCCGACCTGTGCCCACGTCTACTGCGGGTAGATTGTCTCCCATGGTCCCAGCCGCATCTCCACGTCTCGTTGTATCTCCATACCCCAATGCGCCGATAGCATTGTCACCCCAACATTTGAGGTCGTCATTGTCCAAGATGGCACAAACATGTCGTGTGCCGACGGCAAGATGCTTCGCAGTGCGACCGGTACCCAGATCAACGGGAGGCAAGGAATCTCCCATTTGGTTTGCTGCAGATCCAACATCAGCTGTTGTTTCTGTGCCGAGGTGACCCCATTCCTGCCTTCCCCAGCATTTAACAGACATGTCGTCCAATCTGGCACAAACTGCATTTTCTCCCCCGCCGATCTGCAGCGCGGTCCTTCCACTGCCTAGATCCACTGTCGGCAAGAAGTTCCCCATGTGGCTGGCGCTGCCACCTCGATTACTGGTGTCTCCGTAGCCCAATGTTCCGTACTGGTTGTTCCCGAAGCACTTCATGTTTCCGTCCGTGAGGAGTACGCAGGTGTATGCACTGCCAACTGCCAGTTCTTGTGGTACTTGACCAGCTCCGAGATCCACGACTGGCAAGTTGTCTCCCATGCTTCCAGCACCACTACCTCTAGCAGACAGATCTCCGGACCCGGTGGGGTTTCCATGGTTTGCAGTGCCCCAGCATTTAAGGGTGTCGTCATCCAAAATGGCACATGCGTGCCATTGAGAACTGGCAACTCGCTTTGCAGTTCGTCCGGTTCCCAGGTCCACCGCTGGAAGCACATCTCCGACTCCACTCACGCCGACGTTGGCGTCAGTGGATTCTTGGCCTGCAAGCCCATCCGGGTTGTTGCCAAAAGACTTCAGGGACCCATCATCCAGGATGACGAAGGTCGTAACATACATCCTGTCCGCCAGTTTCTGGGCGCTGCGGCCGGTTCCCAGATCGATAGCTGGCAACGCATTGCCCATGTCAGAGCGGTGCACCTGGTCACCATGACCCAACTGGTAATTGCTGTTAGTGCCCCAACATTTGAACATGCCGTTGGACAAAATCGCACAAACATGTAGTCCGGTAGCGATGTCTGATGCCGTATACTCACCGGCTACCCGAACCAGAAGAACCAAGAGCAGAACAGGCAGGAAGCTGCACGATTGCCCCGACATGGCAGGCCGAGCCATCTTCTGTGCGCACGCAGAGCGATGAAGAAATCAAATCACTGGGTAGCGTATTATGTCGAAGCTGTAGGCCAATGCAATGTTTGCAATGCATGCGCTGTGAAACGCTACAATGCGAATATGTGCGAAATTTTGCGATTGCACGCTCGACTTTAGTCGGAGCCTCAGAGCGATTTGCTGACTTCAGATACCGCTCTGCAAGCAACTCCTAGTGAGGCAACTCGTGACTTCTGGCCTTGAAGAATCAGAAAGCCCGGGCGTCGTCGACATCTTCAACGGTCTCCGGGTGCTCTTTCGCCACGCGATCATCCTCGACTCTTAGGTATAACACATACATGCCTCCCGCTCCTACATCCCCTGCATGTGCACTTAGTCTGCAGGTTTTACCTGCGTCAAACCCCCCCAAAACCAAGGACAAAAAGGGAAACTTTGGGTTTGACGAGGAACAACCACAACGGTTGATGATATAAATCCTGCACTACCCATGATAAGGAATGTGCCATTATTCCCATAGTTTAGGGTCCTTAAGGTAATGCAGGATTTATATCATCAACCGAATGACTACGCATGCAAAATACACCGGCCGCCTGCACAGCTCAGGAAGATGCTCCGCATCGGAAGCCATGAAGGGTTGCGGAAAGCAAAGTTCCCAGCTGCTGAGCCCGGAGTGCAGAGGAACGACGCCAGGTATATGTATATATGTATATATGTACATATATATATATATATATATGTATGTATGTATGTATGTATATATAGGTATTACTCTACGTCTCTACGTTCGGGTGCTTCTCTTCATGGCCCTTCACAGGCTTGTGGCTTGGATCAGATGTCGCGAATGCTGTGGCAATGCCTCTCAACCTACCATCAGACATCTGGCACTTCGGGCCTGAGCCGCCTTAACCAATTGAAACTGGGCTAGCTGTACTGAACAAGCGACCGAGCATCACAGTCCCACTATCACTATCCTCTTCCAGTCATGAGCTTTTGATCGGATGCTGAGCTTCCATCGTCAGCTGTATGCTTCAACAGCTCTGTGCTCCCCGAGACGTGTCAGTCTTCTTCCCTGTGCTTCAGCAGGAACAGTGAGACCATCAACCTTCTGCCGCTGGGGCTCAATCCTTTCTCTCGGACGCGAAAACACAAAGGGATAGCTCGAGATTAGAGAAGTGTAAGTAGGACTCATGGAAACAAGTTGCTTAGACACAACTTCAAGTTTTGTTGGCGTTCATCTGGATCTAGTCTGGTACATGAGAGGAGGCGGCCTTAATAATTAGAATAGGGTGTTGGGCCCCATTATACTATACTTACAAACAGGAACCCCGCAAAAATAAATAGTATTGGTAATCGTTTAGGCCCCTATGTTAAGTCGAGACCCTGGGTCTTGCGAGCCAAGGCTTCCAGGTGATATGCTAAATCAGATCTGGTTATTATGCTAACAGAGGGTTCCTTTCCCGCAAGGCCTTGCAGCGTAAAATGCTAGATTTGCAGCGATCCCCAGATGGGCAAGAAGACCATCAGCAAGGAGCAGAACGGCATTGAACTGAATGCCGTAGAAGCCTCCTTCTGCTGTTTCGCTGTATCAGCCTCTTGGAAGCACCAGTGACCAATGGAGACAGGAGCCGCCAAAGGCTCAATCCAAAAAACTTGCGAAGTGTACATAATCAAAGGGGAAAAGGAGGGACCCTTAATGGGGACCCCTACCCTATAATGGGCTATAGAATGGGGATATAATGGCTATATTAATGGTATATACCTAGGGGTCCCCATTAAGGGTCCCTCCATTTCCCCTTGTACATAAATCAAGTCTGCGACGCGTAGGTAGCGCATTGCATCATGCAAGGGACTGCCCTGAGAAGATGGTCATGCCCCATGGGTCCCTGAGAATGTGAGTCTTAGCCACTTGGAGTCAGTGTCGGATCGCGGTTCTGTGCGGCTGACGGCCGTCTTGAACAGACTAATCGCCAAGGGACCCCTAGCCGGGGCTAAAGTCTGCGGACGGCGAGCACCCTGCGACCTGCACCTCTCGACGTGACGCGGTGAAACATTCCGAAGTTCAAGAATGGACCAAGTCCTTCTCACTGATACCTGCGTTTCACGCCAGTCACCCTCCATACTGGAGGCTAGTTTTCGGGAGAACTAACCATCAGTGCCCCAGGAACATGTAATTACCGTCTGTATGGTTTCATGCTATTGCAGGGCAGTGTGCGGCAAAGGAAAACAAATCCTGGCCGAGATGCTGCACTGTCTGGCTTCGAAGGTCTCGCACCTCTTCTTCCTCTTCTTTGTCGGACCTCTAGGCTGGCTAAGGGTGCATGGTGTATAGGGTCCGAAGATTTGAGGTATCGGGGCTTCTTGTTCTCGTTGCTGCTGCTGTTGCTGGTGCTTGAGAATCCCAAATAATAGAGCCTCTTGACCAATAAGAAGAGCAATCATGGAACCCCTTGGCTTCTTCTCTGCCAAAAGGACTTGAATTAATTCCCGAAGATCCGGGCCAGGTAGACCCTGAACCGTTTATCGTCGCCAAGACCCTGACTGCCTTGATCCAAACCTCATTATCATTGTCATACTCCTCGTTTCAGCACGGACGGAGGTGCCGGTCATGCTCCTCAAACACCGAATCCAAAGCCCTAGACTCTAAACTCTACAGGCTCTTATAGTTCTTAAACCCGACTAGAACTTCAGAGCCTTAAAGCCTGAACTCCAAACCCCAAGACCCTCAAAACGTGTGGCCGAGCCGCTCTGCCGCGAAGATGGGGCTCTCGGCGCTCGGCTGCCAGCGCTGAAGAGGTAGACCCTTCGGCTCCTCCTGCGCAATCCCCGAGGGAAGCTCGTGGCCTCGAAGCAGTGTGAGAACCGGTCAATCCTTCTGTGAAGGCCTGCATAGTTCGACCAGGATTTCGAGGAGTTTTGAACTGTTAGTGTAGCTAATTGTAGATATCGAAGCCGCAGTGAACCCTACCAGGCTCTACCAGTAAGACGGCAAGCACCAAACCGCCACCGTCACAGCCACAACCATCAATATCGCAGGTCGTATGGCCCAACCCCGTGCTTCATCAACGCTCTGAGCTCAAAGTTGAGTTCGAAGGAAAGTCTGCCATTGGAGGGCATCGGGCTGTAGCCACTGCTCATCAGCAGAATTCCGCTGCAGCGGTGCAGATTTGGACGTTTCCAAACGAATGAGAGCCAGAACATGGACCATTAGTAGGCTCAGTGTGTGAAGAGTCGGAGCCCCAAAATGATCTCACAAATCAAGTCCGTCTTTGAAGTTTTTTTTTGGAGCTCCTTTTTATGTCTGCCCTTCGTGCAGGCTTACATACGGCCCGAGGCCAGGAGAGGTGTAGGGGGAGAGGTTTGGCTGCCAGGATTCTGAAGCGGCATACTCTTCGAGTGCAGCCTCGCACCTGTCCAACTGCAAAGGGGCCGGGGAGCGATAAAACTAGATGCAGCTAGGTTTACGCTCTCGCAACTCGGACATGCCTGACGATGCAGCTAGGTTTAGGGTTTAGGCTGCGAAGCATGTGTCCGCTTGGTCTCTTGATGTGGAAGTGGAGGTGGCCTGGAAATGCCAAGAATCCTCAAGAATCCCTCCGTACTTAAAGGATCATGGGACTTAGTGACTCGGGTTATAAATCCGACTATAGAACCCTATAGTACCCTTATTAAAAGCAACCATAATCCCTCCGTAGGGCTTCAGCTTCCGGCCTGGGTTACGGAGGCGCCAGCAGCCATGGCCTGTCTGGGGGAAGTTTTCTGGCATCGGATCCCAAGTTAGGGATGTTTAGGGTTTAGGGCTTAGGGGTTTAGGGTTTAGGGGTTTCGGCGCTCACACTCGGACAATTTAGGGGTTTAGGGTTTAGGGGTTTCGGCGCCACAGGGTTTAGGGGTGACTGCAGTATAGATGGCTTCAACTCGCATTTGGAGGCCCCCCCTCAATTCATACATTATGTCCTTGGGGGTTAGTAGGGATGGAGAAATGTATTTCGTAGGGGTTTTGGACGTTCGAAGGAAAAGAAAGTCTCAGCAAGCAAGTGCTTCGCGGGCATGGTGCACTTTGTTTTGCAGCTGCCATGCGGACCTTGTCCTAGTTCGGGGAGGCTTTCGGGAAGACTTTGTGGAAATAGTCGGACTAGTTAGGATGCCTGAAATACAGCTCTGGAGGATTAGATTAGTTTGGATGCCTGACACGCAGCTCTCGGGTTCGTCTTCACGGCACATCCCCCGGCAGGAAGATTGTATTTCGGGCGGGGGGGCGTGAAATACATTCCGGGGCCCTGGGCCCCTGCCAGAAGGTCCGCCTACGTGTAGTGGTTCGTACTGGATCACATATCACTTCGGTTCTCGCGGTAGCCTCGCAGTGAAGGAAAATCTCTGTAAACCACACCTATTGCCTGTGAAACCTCATGAAACCTCCTACCACTGACAGGACCTCTGCACAGGGAGAGGTTTGAGGTCAGGCAAGATTGTATTTCGGGAGGGGGTGGGCGAAATGCAGTCTACCACGTCTCACACAAGGGAGCAGGACTTCGTTCTCGGTGTGGTGGGGTTTGGGATGTGGCATTTAGCCATTAGAGATTAGGGTTCATGTAGGGTGATACTACTGCGGAGATATTGGTGATCAACAGAGTATGGGACCTGGCTTCGCACGGCACCTTGCGGCTCACATAACGGTGCTGCGAATGTTGTGTCCATGCATCTATGGCCAGCTTCGAGCAAGGGCTCGGAGCGATTTGTCATGACTCTGGCAAACAAAACCAGCATGCACTGCATCTTGCGATTTTCTGACCCTCCCCGGAAATACATTCTGGAGCCCGAGGGATTGTATTGGGTAGACGTACGGGACCCCCGGAAATACATTAGTTGGGGCCGGCCCTACTGCAGTCAAGCGAAGCGAGGTGGGGGGATCTACGGCTTCCGGAGACCGGGGCTTTAAGAGTTTCATAAGGGTTCTGGCCTTGGCCTCTACGACTCCAGGGCTACGGCCAGGAATAGGAAAGAATGTATTTTTTTTGAGCCCTCTTTTTCAACCGCCTGAAAGTTAGTTGAAATGCCAGATAGAAGACTAGAATATCGTGATTAAACACCTCTTGCCCAAGTCATCCATGCCGTAGAGTGTGCGGTAAAAGATCACAAAGTCACAAACAACCAGAAGCGGTCCGGCGGCGTTGAGGGACTTCTCTTGCTCCCGCTGCAGCCAGTGCCAGCAAACTCCCAAGTCGTGTGCCTGCCGGCGAGTATCCAGGGTCCAGGCTTTGCAATGCATTGTAAGCCACAGAGTCTTACCCTACCTGCTCTTCGGTGATGGAGAGAAGCATTGCTGTCGGTGCCTGGAGAAGTGTTGCAGCGCGCCGCTCTGGCAAAACTATGGCAGAAACTTCTTCCGTAATCCCATGCATCGTGAATCATCGTGAGCCTGCGGGCATGAAGTTAAATCGATGTGACTTGTACCCCTCCGGCACACCACGTTGCCGCCCTGCCCTGAGGCAGCCTGAGCTTCGACCCGAAGGCAAGCAAGGGGCAACCGTTGGTGTCCGAATGTCAGGCACTCCAGCATCAGGATACTGGTAGTTCGCACCCTGGCCGACGACAGATTCTGTGACAAGGCTATGCTGGTTGCAAGAAGCTTGTGCATGTTCTGGCATTGGGGCCTACAGTAGGGGATGTGAGGGAGCCTCTGTCCTGGCCTGTGTGGGGTCTTCATCCGGCTTGTCGCCACAGGAACTGTGACTATGTTGTCCTTGCCCATCGAGAACCTGCGCACACACCGTCACTGCTGCCCCCAGGAACACCGAATGAGACTGCAAAAACAACACCCCCCCAACCTGCATCGATGTGGTTTGAGGGAACGTCACGCCAGCCAGCCAGCTCCGAGCATTCAAAGCCATGTCAAGCGAACTTCGCTAGAAGCAGCAAATCGACTCCGGGCTGGATTTGGCTTTGGCTTGATCCTCCTTGCATCGGGACCCGGTCAGCATCAAGCCCCTGCTCAGGCCGCTGATTCGTCTTGCAGCGTTCTGACTTCGGCCTCTGGCGGCCCCTTTTCTATCTGATGAGTGCGGCGGAGACGGAGATGAGTCTGCCTATCGAGGCCGAAATACCATTTCAGACCTTTGCACAAGATGTTCTAATTCTCAAGCTTGGGCATGCCCAATGAAGCTGCTAGCTGCTAGAAGAGGAAGGACGGCAGCACAGGCGCAGGCCCAGTATGTATTGCATACCTTGCGGCATGTGTCAGGTGTGCTGATGGGTGAAACCGAAGAACAAACCTTCTATGCTGCTATAGACTCTCTGGACAGTCCAGCTCACGCGGGAGATGGCGCTCGCACTCCAAGTGATTTGATATTTGTGCCACGTGCCGAGCCTCCATGATGTCATGCTGCGATGGTCCAGCTCTCACAAGCACCCTCACCATGTCTACCTTGCCACTTCTGCAAGCAAAAACCAGAGGAGCAATGCCGTCGTCCAATTTCATGTTGATGTCAATCGCCGCTTCATGCAAGCACTTCACCACTGCAACTTCACCAGCCTGCACCGAACGTGACAGACTGCTGCGCTGAGCATCTGACTGCCGTGCATCGCATTCATGAACCCCTTCATGTAAAGCTTCCATCGCCCTGCTCTCATCGCAGCTGTGACGCATCAAGTATCGCAGCATCTCCATATTGCTGCGTTGCGCACTGACGAGAAACACATTTGAGCCTGCGTTCGTAGCATGGGCAATGTCTGCCCTTGCCTGAACGAGCAGTTCCACGACATCCATGTGTCCATTGTGGGCTGCAATGATCAGAGGGGTCGTCCCATCGTGTCCCGGATAATCCACGGTCGCCATGTTGTCCAGCAGCAGACGAACAACTCCAACTCGACCCCTCTGGCATGCTTTGAAGAGCGCCGTGGCACCATCTCTGTTAGCGGCATCTATGCAAGCGGCGACCTCCAAAAGCGTCTCCACAGCAGTCTGGTGTCCGTTCTGCGCTGCGATGCACAGCGCCGTTGTGCCTGTCGCGTCTGCGACGTCTTTCATCGGAGCATCGGCTCGCTTGAGGGGCGCGCCTGCTCGCAGCAGATATTTCAAAATATCGTGGTGTCCTTTCCTGAGATCTCGTTCAGGAAACATACCATCATAATCAGGGAGCCACATTCATTGCTTACTAGCATGGTAGCTTTAAAAATTCACTTCCTTAGAACAGCACAAGCAAGTTTCTGCGCAGCGATCAGCAGCGGCGTGGTCTTGTTCAAGGTCTCGCGGCTTAGGTCAGCCTTCGCGTCGGTCAAGACCTCCACGCAAGCCAGGTGACCGTTCTGGGAGGCCACCTGGGTTCTTGTTAAGGGAATTTACATTTAACTTACCCTAATAGGGATCTACAGTAGATAATATGGCTTCCTCATTATTATGGAAACTTGAGTTGAATCCCGCAACAGGAGCCCAGCCACGTACAGTGGCGTCGCGCCGGCCTTTTGCGATTTGTCCAAATGCTCCTCTTTGCTGCGGCAATGCAAGCAAAGCAGCCGGAGGACTTCGAGGTGCCCTTCTTGTGCCGCCACGAACAAGGGCGTCGCCGAGTCCTGGTCCTTACACAACCGCTACACAGGAGCTGCCTAAGGACTGCCCTCTCTCAGGCACACAGAAGCCTTGCTCTTCTACTCAGCACAACATCAATGGCCAATGGCTCTACATGTGCTCGACGCTGCAACAAAAGGGTTGGGCGGAATTTTCGTTGCTTCTACGGTCATCAACCAGCAGCATGGTGCTCCATGTTAACATGCAACTAGTGTTTTCCTTCATCTTTGCCCACATGATGGCATCATATCACCACTACCATCATCATGATTATCATTTTCACGATGCTGTCATCTTCTTATGGCCGTCATCACCCTCAACATCGTCGTCACCGCAATCGTCACCGTCATCATCAACTTCTCGAACCTACAGCAGCAGTATGATCATCCTTCGTGCGGCCATCGTGGCCTTCCTTGGTATTATCGTCATAGTCATCATCACCATCGCAGTCACCGTCATCATCATCATCATCATGATCCTCATCGCCATTGATGATCGTTCAGATTTTAGATTTTTCTCTAGGTTCCGGGATTCTTGTACGTAGCAGAAAACAACTCACATAAACAAAAACTTCCCGCACTTTTCCAGAAGGCCTCGACATGTCTATCCTTGCGTGTTACCAACCTTCCGCGCGAGACATAATATGGGCCTTACGATGAGAATAGGGTTTTGGGTATGTTATACTATACTAATAATACGGAGTCCCCAAAATGGTATAGGTAATTATCTGCACTCCGAAAAAGGACAAGCATCGGCTTTCGTAACGTCGGCATCACCAAGAAGCAGAAGACGAAGCTGGCCCACATCGCCTTTCCGGCAGACCTTCCACGTTGCCGTCTCACCCCGGTCGTCAGAGACATCCGGATCCTGGAAGGCAAAGAGAGCTCTTGCGATGAGCTCGGCTGCCTCCTTGCTATTCTCACTCTCAGCTGCTTTCAGAATCATCTGCCGGTAGGCCTCGTAGGCAGCATCCTCCTCTGGCAAGAAGCCGTTCGTGAGGACGGAGATCTTCATTGGGCACCCGAGACTCTCCCACGAACGCGCCCCATGCAGGGCTCCTCGCGTCTCCCTTGTTTCTGAAACGAAAGTGCTCCTGAAGTAAGGCAGCTTGAGCTGCTCATGACATCGCATCCTCAAGTAGCCAAGGAAATCCGCTTCTTCCCTGCAAAGCTGCACAGGCACGGCCAAGTGCGGAACACCTGTGATCGCTGCCCTCAGCACCACCTCGGCTTCCTCGGCTGCGGCTCCATCGCCGCCCCCCTTGCACGGCATGCCCAGAACCTCACATCTGCCACCGGGATCGGTGAACTCTACCTGTCCTGGGATGCCGGTGTAAAGAACCACAGCTCGAGCCTGAAGCTGCAGGAGTATATTGTTTTTTCAATCCCCGCCAGGCTCCGACGGTCCATGCTTTTGGATTGCACTTGATGCCCATGCCCATGCCATGCACGATCTTTTTCGGATTTCCGATGCCCTCGCAGCTGGTGGCACCCACCTGCTGTGCAAACTTGCTTACGGATCAAAGAGCAAAAATGACGCGACCCTGCGCCCGAAAGCACTCAGCTCCCACAAGTCTCGGCATTCCAGAAAAATGTCATGTAAAATGCAGTGTACTTATTAAAGTACAGTATATAACTATATGTTTTATATCATATTATATTCCGTTGAATGTGTGTATATATATATAAATGTATATATATATATATATATATATATATATATATTATATATATATATATATAGGGCTGGGTGATAGTTCCAGAAAGCAAGCCACGTTCTCTCTCTACCAATGCCACCAAGTACCGTGCACTCTGGATAACAAGCAAGCATGGGGGGCCAGTGATCAGTCTAGGGCCGATGAGATCTGATGCGGAGACCGGCTGGAAGATGGGCAACGCTGCCAGAATTGAGCGATTTAGTTAACCAGTGAATGGACTAATGCACGATTACGATGCAGACGCAGACCTTCAGATCCATAGCTACTGAAAGTGTAGTTCTCTGTGGAGAAGCCGTCATGCAACACACAACTTTAAAACAAAGACGGGGGCAAACACTGATGGGGGCACATCACCTCCATGGTTGTGAACACGAGGCAAGCACAACAAAGCAATGTCACACTTGGCAACCAGGCTATTCTTGAGCACGCAGCCACGGCAAATTGTCGCACTCAGGGCTAAGCACAATTCATCCCAACGGGATGCTTCACTGCAGGAACCAGTTGGCAGAACCAGACGAATGTCATGAAACTGCTGTAATGCGCCTTTGTTAAGATTTCGGCTGTGACTTGAAATAGCTGGCATCATTACTCTGGTTGCCACCACCAGGACCTAAACCCTAAACCCTAACAAACCTCTTGAAGAAAAACCTGAAAGCTTGATCGCTGAACTTGAGCATCCGAGTGTGATGCAGTGCACGCCTCGCGAGGTCCCATCACCTCAGGCTTGGCACTGCGTGGGAAAGGCGGTGGATATTGAGCCTCCTACAGTACCGTAAACAGTAAACTTTGTACGCCTGAGCTGATATTCCTGTTTCCAGCCGACCGGATCTTCTTGATCAAAAAGACTTATTTCGGGACGTCTTGGGGCCCGGAGACGAGATCTAAAACAAAGCCTTGCCAAGCAAGGTTTGGAACTGTTGCTTGCTTCCCCAATAAGCCAGGGAAATAAAAGGCTAAACTCTCAGATTACTACTAAAATATATGAAACGCAAGAAGTTTAAAGTTTAAAATTTAAAGATCAGGTATTGGAGAGCTAAAGGTTGAACACACACTATGAGAAACACTCGCGGGCAGCAACTGCGCTTGAACTGTCCCGGCCTGCGGCTGAAGGATCATCCTTTGTCGTCCGTTGTCCTTCAAGCTCCTCCAAAGTGGAGTTTTCAGGGAAAGGGCCGATCCGTATAGTCTGTGCCCCATTCAGCCCATTCACCATCCCGAGATCTGCACGGCAGATTGCAAAACCGGCAGCTTCTTTCTCAGCCGGCCCGATGTTCAAGCCGTGTGCGGTGAGGGCCCGCTTCAATCATGAAAGCAGGCGTTGAATCACTATCTATATAATCGACGGAAAAGGTGAGACGAGAGACTTCAAGGAGCTTTGCCTTTGAGCTCCTCCGCCTTTGGTTCTGAAAATGCTCTGCCTTTTGGCATCTCTGCTCAGCGCCCCGGCCGCAGCAGCTCCACCAGCCGCTTCGCGGCCTCTTGCGCCGCAGGCGTCCCGGACACTTCCAGCTCGGCGGCGGCGCCCAAAGCCCCCGAAGCCTTCGCCTCGCTGAGACCCTGGGGGTGGGCGCACAACTTCAGGAGCACCCCTGGCGCCCGCTCTTGGGCTTTTTGGTTGTCGCCACTCATCAAGGTGACCAAGTGAGGGACGGCACCGGCTGCTACGATGGCTGCCATGTTGTCTGCGTTGTCTGCGAGGTTGCCCAAGGCACCCGCGGACCTCTGCTGATCAGCGCCGTCGCTGCTCAAAAGGAGCCGCACTAGCGGAGGGATGCCACCCGCTTCCGCCACGGCCACCTGATTGTCTTCGTTGTCCGCGGCCAGTTCCCGAAGAGCATGTGCGGCACTCGCAGCCGTCTCCTTTTGATTGAGCAGCCTGATTAGCGGAGGGATCGCGCCTGCCGCTGCAAAGCCGACTCTGTTGGCCTGCGCCTTAGGAACAGCTCCTGGCACGAAAACAATGTCCGTTTCGGTGATGACTCCGGCCGTCATCAAATTCCCAATCGTTGTTGCGGCCGTGGCCTGGACCGCCGTCGTGCTTGCTGTCAGAAGCCTTACCATCGGGGGGATCCCACCGAGCTACGCAACGGAGACATTGGGGAGAGTCATTAGCATTCCGGCCGTGTTTAAGGTCAAATTCTGAATTATCGTGTCATCCGTGCTGCTCAGCTGCTGAACTAGCGGAGGAATCCCTCCGGCCTGGGCAATAAGGGCATGCCCGTCTTCGTGTGTTGCCAATTGAGCAAGAGCCAATGTGGCCTCATCCTGGACACTCGGATTGTTCAGCAAGTTCAGCAGCTGAGGGATGCCGCCGGCCTCCGCGATGGCACTCTTGTTGTTATCGTCTTCTGCCAGCTCGTAAAGCGTGCTTGCGGCCGCTGCCTGGACCTCGGGGTTGCTGCTGCTCAGCAGCTCCACGAGTGGGGGGATCGCCCCGGCCACTGCGATGGAGGACTTGTTGTCTGCTTCCACCACCAGCTCTGAAAGCGCTCCTGTGGCATTCTTCTGAGCGTTCATCGTGCCGTGGGTTAGCAGCGCCACCAGTGGAGGGATCGCCCCAGCTTCAGCGATGGAGATCTTGTTGTCGTCGTCTACGGCCAGATTCCAAAGTGCCGATGCGGCGTGGCGCTGGGCGTCCGGCGTGCTGCTCGTGAGCAGATCCACGAGTGCAGGAATTCCCCCGGCCGCTGCGATGAAGACCCTGTTGTCATCATCTGCTGCCAGATCCCGGAGCTTCACTGCTGCCTGAAGCTGCGCCTCGGTGTCGTTGCGCTGCAGCGTTTCGATATCCTCCTTGAATTGGTCGGCCTGGGCCTGAACTTTGGCAGCTCTCAGGGGGTCGAAAGCCGGCTTCTTGAGACCCGAGACCTCGTTGCTCCTGGTGTCCCAGATGCTAGACACCTGCTGCGGCACCTTCTTCGAAACCTGGGGGGACTTCTTGGTGTTCCAGGTGCGCTCTGACTGAGACGGCGGCGGCTTCTGTTGGTGCAGCTTCTCTGAAGCTGCGTCATTCTTTTGTGCAGGCTTCTGTGGGGAGTCTGCGGCGACCTGCCAAACTTTGGCTGCAGCTTGGGATCGATGCTTCGACGCCTCCTCTAAAAGCTGCCGACTGCTTTCGTAGCGGACGTTGCTCAGGAATGCGAACCATCCGTCCTCGACCTCCTCGTTCACCACGACAGCGAGCAGCTGAGCTCGCGTGAGACCCTTGTAGAGGTCCGCCCGTGTCACGAGATCGCGGGCCTCGCCCTGAATCGGTGCATCGAGCCCCACGCAAATCACGATGAGATGCTCCAGCCCATCCACAACATCGACGGTGTCGAGGATGATGTCTTCCTGCCCTCGCTCCTCCTGCTCCCCAGCAACACGCTGGATGCCAGTGCTGCGAAGCCACTGCGGCAGTGAGCGCAGGGACTCCCCTTGCTTGACGAAGCGGAACTTTCGGTCTGGGAGTCCGTCGCGCAGCAACGGGCTCAAGGCCTTCTTCAACTTTCTCAGGAACTGGTCATCTGGAACGAAGATGGCAAGCCTCCTGTGCAGCCTGACACCCGAATACACGTTCTCAACATGCACGATGGCCTGCATCACGCGACGGGCATAATGCTTCATCCGCTCAGCCTCATCCTTCGAAGCCTCAAAGATGAATGACTTCACCGGCGGGCCATCGGTGCCGGCGGGCACGGCAGCTTCGGCATTGACCTGGAACGACGCAGCACCTAAGACGATCTGCCGTGTGCTCCGGACTACCTCTGTCAGTTGCACCTTCTCCATGTCTGGAAATGTGGCCGTCACGGCCGAAGACTGGGCACGGTCCGACAGAAGCAGCTTTCTGCTGCAATGCAAATCGTCAATTATGCCGCGGTCCACTCCGTCTTGGTACATGTTGTGACACTCGTCAATGACAAGCAGATCGAACTTGTCATTCTTGTCGTGGTTGATGTTTGCTGCTTCGAACTCGATGCGCCCCTCTTGCACGGCGGGCATGCGAAGCTGTAGGAGCTGTTTGTATGGCTTGAAAAGGACCAGCAACCCAGAAAGAAGCCCCAAATCTTTCCTCTGTGACCGGAGGCGTACGGCCAGCCACTGGACGAAGTAGCAAACCAGCTCCACGGTAGCCGAGACATAGAGGACGCGAGGAGCGGGCTCATCAGCGGCAGGAGTCAATTCATCGACCACTCGCTCGACTGCCACGAAGGTCTTGCCTGCACCGGCCGGAGCCGACAAGTGCACCCTCTCCAAGCATTTGATAGCATTGAGGCGCTCTCTCTGGTGACGCGTCAGCTTGTCGAGGGCCCGCAGGCTGGAGTCGTACACTTGCAGAAACTGGGATTTGCTGACTGCCACCTCCCAGCGGGGATCGGCAAGCTTTTGGTTGATCTCTACCTCGAGCTCGTCATTGAGGACTCTGTCTCTCAGCTTCTGCAGTGTTCCGATGGACTTGATCTGCAGCTTTGCTCTTAGGGCCACCAGGTCTGGGCGAAGTCGATGGGTGCCGATGTCCAGCACATCTACGTGCGGAAGGCACTCCATGAGGATCCCTCGCAGCTTTGCATCGCCTCAGATCTCAAAACAAGAGTCTACCAATTGCTTCCTCTGGGGACTCTGGGGACGTGTCGCTTCACACCGTCTGCCGTGCTGTCTCCGAGAGCTCCTGAGGTGCCGACCGACATGATCCAGCAAGGCTTGCATGGTCGCAGCAGTGCTGCAAACGCACGGGGAATCGAAGGTCTGCTGCTTGGTGATCTGACATCGTAGCGTCCATCGCACCACGGCATCCTCGGAACCGTCTTCCTGCTCGACGTCCAGGACGTCCTGCTTCTCGACGGTTCCTCGTCGCCAGGACCTCGTGGCCTCGCACCAGGCGTCGACCAGATGGCCCCTCGCAAACTGCTCTTCCAGCACATCGCAGACGTCCACCTCTTCGTAGCTCCAGCCCATCTCCTTGGCCTTTGCCAGCTCCATGGCTTGCGTCGCATCCACCCGCCCGGGTGGGAGGGCCACCTTCAAGCGCTGACCGTTGTCGACAGCCTCTTGAACCCTCGCAAGCCACTTGCTTTGCCAGCCAGGGTCTCCTTCTCCGCAGCCGTCTTTCTCGTGACCTTAGAAGCGGGCGTTCACGCACTGCGCCCCTCTCTGCAAAGAAACACACATGTGAGCACGAAGTGCAAGCATGCCATGCTTCACAGAGCCTGCAGATGTCAAGTTCTTCTGTCCCACATGCCGGGGCACGTGCCATGTATATTCCTGCCCAACTCTGGGGGCGAGAGGCCCCGCAGGAAAATCAAAGACTCGAGAGCTCCACCGTTCTTCCAAGGCTCTGAAAAAAACTATTGTGGTAGCACACACACGAGAAAAGAGGTGCATGCCCCAGTGGCTCGTTGCTTCGTTCCTCTTCTTCGCCCGCGATGACATCTAGGTCTTAAGAGGAAAACGTCAGCAAGTAGAGGCTTTGGTAGGGAGTGCTGCTTTGGCTTCGCCGTGCTTTGCTCAAGGCATCTGAGGTCCGGGCCATCTTCCTCCGCTTGGAAGATGCAGGCCACAGAATCCGTAGCAGACTCTCCCGTCAAAGCATCCCAGCAAGGCGCATATCTGGCGGGGAATGAAATCCAACATACCCTCGCACCGGGAACGATGCGCCCCTCGAAGCTGACTCTCGTAGGAAGGCCATTGGCAGGTGGCCCTTTGGGCATCAGGTAGAGCATTTCCTCGGGGTGCAACTCCGACTCCTGCGAGCATCGTGATCGGGTCAAGCAGATCACTTCTTCGACCACGTTACAGCATGCCTTACGACCACAATTTTGCGAAGGATCATCCCTGGAGCAGCCAGCTAGCGGTTCTCAAGTTCTCACATGAGCTGCTACTGACTTATGCTGCCAATTTGTCGCTGTCACATGCTTCGTTCCAGCCTCGTCAACGTTGCCGTCCCGCCATCCGTCCTGGTTGTTAGAACGCTTGCATGACAAAGAAGATCAAAGAAGAACGGCTTGGGAGACGAGCAAAGAAACAAACGGTGATACTTGTTGCACAAGATAGTCATTTCAAAGCAGGCTGCAACTCGTGTCATTCTCTAGCAGCCTGTATGGAGGCTCCCCCAAGCGCATGCTGGGGATGGTATTAGCATAATCGTATGTATTGAAACTACGATGGCGACGATTTTACTACCACTAGCACTAGCAGCAGCACTACCAATCTACCAGGACTACCAGGCCCACATCACGCAAAGGACAACATTATGATGCAGTTGCACAACTGGTCCGGGATAGTAAGATCTGTGGCCTTTGATGCGAAAGATCTTGCGGAAGGATGCTGAAGATCAAATCGGGAGTGCCAGTGGCTTCGCTCACTTCTTCACTCGACAGATCAGCAGATGTCTGCGGTCCGCGGTATTGAGCTTTCCAAGTTCAACTTGACGACCTTCTCAGTAGCATGTCATATGAAGCTACTCAAACCCGTACGGACGAGTACGGACGCTGTCTTCTGATGCTCCAAGCGAGCCGGCCACGGTCCGGCACAGTGGCGAGTGAACGTGACTTCCAACAAGTCTGACTTTGTCTCATGGCAGGGAAAACAAATCTAACAGTGAACACACACACACACCAAACAATAAAAAATAAACACAACACTAGCATGAAATTAGCATGGACACGGTGTCCTGCTTCTTCTGGATTCTCTCGAGCAAGTCCAAGGACAACCCGGCCTTCTTGGCCTCCGTCAAGATCTCCTGCAGCTCTCGCTCCTTTTGGGATGCATCCTGAATATCCGGCACACGGTACCATCGCTTGAAGATTGCAAGGCGGGTCTTGCCCTCTTGGTTCCACTCAGTCAAGCCGATCTCTCGTCCTTTGTGCTCGGCGATCTCTGGCAGGCATCTTGCCAGCTCTTCCTCTGATTCGAGATCCACTCGCTGGTCCAGAGCCCATGCGACCAGCAGACTCTGCGGGTCGAACCTGATGGGGATCTTCCAACGGTTGATGATGGGCCCAATTCGTTTCGACACGGCACAGCAGGAGAGGAGCCGGTCCACTCGTTCTTTCAGATGGTCGCAGCCACTCAGCCGGTCTTTGCTCTCCCCGTTCAGTGCGGATCCAACCAAGTCTCCATGGTCGATCAAGAGCTTCGCGGATGGTCCCGGTGACGAGACCTGCGCCTTCACAGCAGCAATGCAGAAACAAGTACTCTTGTAAGAATCTTTGCCAGCTACATGCTGGAGTCAGTTAAAAACATTGAACTATCATGTCATGTTATCTTCATTTTTGGCATCATCAGATCATCCTCTGCCCCACCACTCATCATTTTATTGTCAGGTTCCCTTCCCGGGTCCCTAAGTCGCACCAGCATAAACGTAACAATCGTACTTCCACGCATGCCTCTTCAAAGCCTCGAGCTGCGAACACAAGCCTTAGCAGCCTTAGCGTGTCTCTGAAGGGCCGTGCACGTACGCTCCAAAGTTGCAGTGCAATCAGCGCATTCTTCACCCCAAGCCCTTTGGCGGGACCCATCGTAAACCGTCATGTGATTGATCAGGGCCCACTGTCCTCTGAGATTAAACAGAGACGGGAGGGGACATTTATTGCATGATTTGTCGATAGTACAGGAAGGACGGGGGATGCTAAGAGTATGATTTGAGGATAATAAAATGATGTTGTGGTGATGAGTTTGGTATATTCCGGGGATGCTTTGAAGCTGATTTGAGGCTGTAATCTGAGCATGATTTGAGGATGATTCCCTAGGGAAAACCAACATTTCCCATTTCCCCCAACCCTCCCCCTCCCCCTCCCCCCCCCCCCACCTCTTCACCCCGCCCCTTCCCACAACCCCCGCCGACACAACGGTGCTTCGAGGCCGGGGCTCATCATCACCGAATCATCACCAAACCATCCCCTCCCCAAGGTGACATCCCAAAATCATCCTCACATCATCCCGTCCCCAAAGTGACATCCCAGAATCATCCTCACAGCCGTCCCCTCCTGAGGCTGGCTTCCAGGAATCAACTCTAAACCACGACATCGTCGCCAGACCACCGACGTGGACAACCCTCGCTTCAACCAGCCTGCAAACTCTGGACTCATGACATGGTTCATTGTTTCATGCGTATTTGTCTGCATACACAAGGCGCATCGCCACGCAGTACAAAGTCCAGAGGCTATAGAGGAACTAGAGTGATCAGGAGAATCTCGATGATGACTACAGGATGAGTTTTCGATGATGTTTTGAACAATGGAGAAAACGATGATGATTTTGATGATGATTTGATGATCATCAAAATGGTATTGTTTTGGTAAATTAATTCATGTGGGCTATGCCAGTCTGTCCACGCAAGAATCTCTTAAAAGTGCTCCAGACACACAATGACATGTGTCTTAAGGTGCATCTTGAAGAGCCCCTGGCCTCCAGAGCAAGCGCCTTCAGGTGGAAAGACCAGGCACGGACATGAAAGCTCTCGCTGAGGTCACCGTCAAGGAATTTCTGGTAGGCAGCCTGAACGACGCTCTCCTGGCACGGCCGGGCACTAGACAGAGATGCCTGCGAGAGCTGCTGTGAGCCATGGTGGGTCCATGATTGAAAGCATCAACAGACACACAGCCTGCCAACAGCAGTTCGCAGCGAATCTTCAAACCATCGGGTGGTATAGTGATACGAGTTCGAAGTCTGCTGCTATCTTTGACGTCAGCATCACGGAACAACATCTGTCCTCTGTGGGCTTCTTACCTGAGAACCAGTCACTGGGCAAATGACACAAGAGCTTTGCAGAGACGGTGCGAGTCAGTAGCACTGCAATGGTTCCACCAACTCAGCATGCGAATGAACATATGACACCAAGCTCAGTGCCAAGCTCAATCGACCAGTCAAGTTGCGAATCTCCTTCATCAAGTCTTCAATGTACAGCTGCTTGTGATGCACGTCGAAAGTCAAGGCTGAATTCTGATAATGATGCTTCAGCGATTCTTCGAGGTCGTTGATCTTATCGCGCTCATTTCGGCAGTTGTCGCTCTTGCCATCCATGATCAGTACGAGTTGGATGTCGACAGTTTCCTCCGTATTCTTGAATTTCTGCAGCAGTACATCCATGGATTGTAGCACTCTGTTCTGCCACTTCCCGAACCAACCTTGACCGTCTGTATCTTCCATGAAGTCGCCCTTTCTACCGAAGGTCGTCGTGATGTGCAGCTCGCTGCAGATGCCCTCGGCGCGATTGTACTCCTCTGAAGGACAAGATGCGCAGATGCGGATGACCCTTTCATCCTGCAGATCCTCAAGCCCCGGCCCATCACGATGCCGCTTCGCCATCGGATCATAGGGCGAACAGTTCTAATAATACCTGCTTGGGGTAATTCGTGCTTTGTCCTCATTATGAAGCAAATGGATGAGGCAGAAAACTCTACTTTCCGATATCTGTGTCTGCTGAAGCAGCGACACCAGCTGTGGCGTCTTCCACTGTTGAACGGAGCAAGTCACGCGCTGCGATACGACATCATCTCACGTGTACTCTCTTGGGCCTCTCCGTTTCTCAACTTTCCCTGGCATGGGAGTACGATCGCTGGCCAACTTCAAAGCCCCTCTAAAGCTCAGTCCAAAGGCAGGAGTCCTCACTGAAGCCCTGCACGGCAAAGGCCTACAGAGACTCCAAGGTTCCAATCGGCAAACGCCACAGAGCCCCGCGACCTGCTCACCGTTTCCGGACCTCGGAGACCTCAGAGATCTCGGGGACAAGGGCTCCATGGTGTCACTCCGGGGGGGAGGCTCGGGTCGACTTTGGAGAGGATTTCAGCCGCTGCCGGGGCCTCAGGGGGCCTCCTTTCAAGTTTCGGGATTACTGTACATAAGTGTGACAAGGAGTGAAAACGATGCAAGGGTATTTCTTAAGCAAATCGATGAAGAGTAAGCAGAATGACAGCCTGCGGCTTGGCAAAGTGGCAGGGCCTCGTGCTGTCAGTGCGTGCCTGAGCCTGGGATGGGATGGGGACAAAGCGGTCCAGACTGCGAGGGCCCGGCAGCTCAAACCTAACTTAGTCTACTTTTCTGCATCCAGCCTGCAACGCCTCCGATGGGAAACCAAATCTCAACTTATTCAAGAAATCCGAAGATACACGAAAGAAACAACAGCACGTAGCGAAAATATCATCCATCATCATCCGAAACCGGACGCCGAATCCACGGATGTATAAATGTATAAAGCTGCGCCAGCCAATCTTCGACTCAAGAGTCCTGCGCCCTACTTATGAAGGGAAGTGGCGTGGAACTTGCGGGGAATGAAGAATCCGCCGAAGATGGAGAACACCTCGCAAATCGGAGCTCCTATGGGTGCTGGATGCAGCAGCTCGGTTCAACAGCATGCATACCGAGAACCAGTGCCGTCTCAGGTGCTGGGCCTGCTTTCGGGCTTGAGGCTTCGAACTTCGAACTCTGTCTCCCTTATGCTTGACGGAACCAGTTAGTCTCTCAACCCGTATAAATTAACTTCCAGCCCCTGTAGGCCTTATAGGCTTCTCAAGGAAACGCCCACACCCATGCATTCAATGTGGTGAAACCAAACTAAGTGAGCCCCGAGCCAGAAACATGACAGAAACGGGTGTCGGACGCAGGCCTGGGGGCCCAAAAGGGCCTTTCAGCTTCTCTCTGGGCTTGCTGGCGAGATGAAGATGTGCCGAAGCTCTGCTACCTGTGCAACCGTGGTTTTGAGGACATCTCACGATTTGCGAGCTTCCTCGACACTTATTCAAACCTTCCCAGAGCTGAGGGTCGGAGGCCCAGTCCAAACGTTTCCTAAACCTGTTGACATCAACCCCTGGCCTGCGCAATGAAACGCCCACACCCCTGTGCCCATGTGTTGAACCCAGCAACGGGATGCAGGCTTCCGGGCGCAGGGCCCAAGAGTGATGTGATGCGTTGAAAGGCTGGGGATCTATGTATAGACTTATATATATATATATATATAGACTCTACAAGCCTTGCTACGATGCCTACAGCAGGAAGCAAGTGTTCCACGCCGTGTGCCTGGACAGAGTGTTAGAGCTCCTCCTTGCCAGATGATTCTGATAGATGAGGGCATCTCTCGAGGGTCTGACACGGTCCCACATACGAGCACCGAGCATAGTTTCTCACAAAAGCGGAGTTTCTGCTGTTCAGGCTTCCAGCTGACGGGATCGTCCTTGTCAGTCAGAGATGTCAGAGGCTATGGGTTTCGTTCATTTCATGGGGGTCCCGAGACGGAAAGCCAGCTGAACTGCTGAACGAAGAGTGAGAGAGACGCTCGTGCACAACGACTGCACTTGCTCCGGCCTGGCCTGAGACTGAAGGCTCGGCATGTCCATGGACACAGTGAAGGTTCATCTCTTGTCAACCACAGACGCCTCCAAAAGAGCTGCAGCACAACGAAGCAAGAAGACCGCTGATCCAAATTCTGTCCCCCCCAAACCGCCATCCCGCATGCCGAGATCTGCAAGGCCCAAGGCAGATTGCTTAAATTGCAAGGCCGGCAGTGTGCGCCCCTCCCCACTCGGAGCCCTTTTCTCCCAGCCCGATGCTCAGGCTGTGTGCCTGCTCCAATCATGAGAGCCGGCGCTGAATTATGTGATCCACGGAAGGTGAAACGAGAGACTTCAAGGAGCTTTGCCTTTGAGCTCCTCCGCCTTTGGTTCTGAAAACGTTCTGCCTTTTGGCATAGCTCTGCTCAGCGCCCCGGCCGCAGCAGTGCCACCAGCCGCTTCGCGGCCTCCTGCGCCTCCGGCGTCCCGGACACTTCGAGCTGAGCCGCAACGCCCAAGGCACCCGAAGCCTTCGCCTCGCTGAGGCCCAGGGAATGGGCGCACAACTTGAGGAGAAGTTCCGCGGCCAGCTCCTGGGCTTTCGTGTTGCGGTTATTGCCCATCACTTCCACCAGGCCAGGGACTGCCTCAGCTTCGACGATGGCCGCCACGTTTTCCATGTTCTCGGCGAGGTCGTTCAAGATCCCAACGATGCTGTGCTGCCAAAAGAACCGGCTACGAGTCAGCAAATTTGCAAGTACGGGGATCGCACCAGCATCCACTATGGCCACACGGGTGTCCTCGCTGGACGAGAATGGCCGAAGCGCATATGCGGCGACCTCCACACACTCCCCGCCGTCCATCAGAAGCGCAATCAGTCGGGGGATCGCTCCAGCTGATGCGATCAAGGCCCGGTTGGCCTCGGCGATTTCGCTGGCCTCCGGCAGGGGGACGATGTCGGGCTCGACGAATGTCCAATCCATCGCCAACTTGCCAAGAGTTGCTGCAGCTTTTTGCTGGGCCCACGCCGTACCTGTCGTCAGACAACTCACCAGCGGAGGGATCCCACCGGCCTTGGCGATGAGGGCCTTGTTGTCTGCGTTTGCTGATAGATTCTTAAGCGCCCCTGCAGCGTTCCGCTGGACAGTGGGATCCTTGGGATCGCTGCTCCTCAGCAGCTCCACCAAGGCAGGGATCCCGCCGGCCTCGGCAATGAGCACGCTGAGCACATCGTTGTCGTAGTCGTCTGCCGCCAAATTCCGAAGTACACCTGCCGCTGCTGCCTGGACCTCGGGAGTGCTGCTCCTCAGCAGCTCCACCAAGGCAGGGATCCCGCCGGCCTCGGCAATGAGCACATCGTTGTCGTAGTCGTCTGCCGCCAAATTCCGAAGTACACCTGCCGCTGCTGCCTGGGCCTCGGGAGTGCTGCTGCTCAGCAGCTCCACCAGGGGAGGGATCGCCCCCGCTGCTGCGATGGAGGCCCGGTTGTCGTAGTTGTGAAGTGCCTTCATACTTGCCACCATAAGCTCCTCTGCCGCATACACCTGGGCCTCGACATCGGCGCCCCGGAGCTTCTCCACGTCTTCCTTCAACAGGTCGGCCAGCGACTGCACCTTGGCAGCTCTCAGCGGGTCGAAGGCCGGCTTCTTGGGACCTGAGACCTCGTTGCTCCGAGCGTCCCAGATGTTGGACACCTGCTGCGGCACCTTTTTTTGACGGGAGGCGGCGGGTGTTTTTGTCTTCCGTGCGACCTCTGGCTGAGGGCGCATCGGCTTCTCCGAAGCGGCTTCCTGCTTTGCCGGCTTCTGCAGGGCATCTGCGGCGGCAGCCTGCCAAACCTTTGCTGCGGCATGGGACTGGTACTTCGATGGGGCCTCCTCCTTCGACTGCTTGTTGCCATCTTCGTAGCGGACGCTGCTCAGAAACGAGAACCATCCGTCCTCGACCTCCTCGCTCACCACGACAGCGAGCAGCTGAGCTCGCGTGAGGCCCTTGTAGAGGTCCGCGCGTGTCACGAGATCGCGGGCCTCGCCCTGAATCGGTGCATCGAGCCCCACGCAAATCACGATGAGATGCTCCAGCCCGTCCACCACGTCGACGGTGTCGAGGATGATCTCTTCCTGCCGTCGCTCCTCCTGCTCCTCAGCTCGTGGCCTGCCAGCACTGCGAAGCGACTCAGGCAGCCAGCGCAAGGACTCCCCCTGCTTGACGAAGCGGAACTTTCGGTCTGGGAGTCCGTCGCACAGCAACGGGCTCAAGACCTTCTTCAACTTCGTCAGGAACTTTTCGTTTGGAACGAACAGCGCAAGCCTCTTGTGCAGGCTGACGCCCGAATACACGTTGTCAACATGCACGATGGCATCCATCACGCGCCGGGCATACTGCTTCATCCGCTCCTCCTCGTCGTCCTTCGGAGCCTCAAAGATGTAGGACTTCACTGGCGGGCCATCGGTGCCGGCGGGCACGGCGGCTTCGGCATTGACCTGGAACGACGCAGCACCTAAAACGATCTGCCTTGTGCTCCGGACAACCTCTGTCATCTGCACCTTCTGCATTTCTGGAAATGTGGCCGTCACGGCAGAAGATTGGGCGTTGTCCGACAGAAGGAGCCTTCTGCTGCAATGCAGATCGTCAATTATGCCGCGGTCCACTCCGTCTTGGTACATGCTGTGGCACTCGTCAATGACAAGGAGATCGAGCTTGTCATTCTTGTCGTGATCATCGAATTCGATGCGCCCCTCTTGCAGCACGGCAGGCATGCGAAGCTGTAGGAGCTGTTTGTATGGCTTGAAAAGGACCAGCAACCCAGAAAGGAGCCCCACATCCTTCCTCTGAGATTCGATGCGCACAGCCAGCCACTGGACGAAGTAGTAGATCAGCTCGACGGTAGCGGCGACATAGAGGACGCGAGGAGCGGGCTCATCAGCTGCCGGATTCAAAGCATCGATCACCCGCTCGACCGCCACGAAGGTCTTGCCGGCCCCGGCGGGAGCCGACAAGTGCACCATGTCCGAGCCTCTGATGACACTGAGACGCTCTCTCTGGTGACGCGTCAGCTTGTCGAGGGCCCTGAGGCTGGAGTCGTACATTCGCAGAAACTGGGATTTGCTGACTCCCACCTCCCAGCGCGGATCTGCAAGCCTGCCGTTGATCTCTCGCTCGAGCTCGCCATCGAGGACTCGATTTCTGAGCTTCTGCAGGGTTCCGATGGATTTGATGTGCAGCTTTGCTCGCAGGGCCACAAGATCCGGGCGAAGCCGATGGGTGCCGATGTCCAGCACATCTACGTGTGGAAGGCACTCCATCAGGATCCCTCGCAGCTTTGCATCGCCTCAGATCACATGGCATCATTCCACTAGCGGCGAGCGTGTCGAACTCTTTATAGTCTTTTGGGAAGCCGAGAACTGAGACGTTTGGCTGCACATGGCCTGCCGTGCTGTCTCCGAAAGCTCCTGAGGTTCCGACCCACGCAATCCAGCATGGCTTTCATGGTCGCAGAGGTACTGCAAATGCACGAGGAATCGAAGATCTCTTTACTGAGCTGACGTCGCAGCGTCCATCGCACCACGGTGTCGCTGCAACCGTCCTCCTGCTCAATGTCCACGGCATCCTGCTTCTCGACCGTGGCTCTGAGCCAGGACTTCGTGGTCTCGCACCAGGCGTCGACCAAATGGCCTTTTGGAAACTGCTCCTCCAGCACATCGAAGACATCCACCACTTCGTAGCTCCAGCCCATCTCCTCGGCCTTTGCCAGCTCCATCTTCTGCGTCGCACCTAGCTGGCCGGGCGGAAGGGCCACCTTCAAGCGCTGACCTTTCCCGACAGCTTCGCGAACCTTCTCGAGCCACTTGCTCTGCCAGCCTTTTCCGCGATCCTCTTCTCCGCAACCGGGATCTGGCTCCGGCTTGTCATCACCTAAGCCGCGAGTGCGGGCACTGTTGGTAATGTGGGTCCGAAGCACTTGAAATGAGTGGATGAGTTCCTGTAACAAAGCTACTTGGGTGATGAAGTGGGATAGGGACGAAGCCGGCTGACTGGCTCTGCCATGCATGCACGATTTCAGGAAATGCTGTTGTCTGATCCAGGCTGCATGGCAACTTGGCAGGTGGAACAGCAAACGCTCTCGTCTCTTTCTGGGTTCTCTTTCTCAATGGCCACACGGTAGGCTGAGGCCGCAGCAGAAAAAACAGGAACGGCTTGAGAGATGAGAACCAGGAGTTGAAAGCTCCCAGGAAGAACACTGCACTCCCCAAGAGTTTGGGAAACAGGCTCCCAAGCTGATTGCCGCAGTGAATTCCGAAAATGCAAGAAATTCAAACATCAAGCTTTGACTTGAAAAAGCTCAGAAGTCGGTCGAGAGCTGAAACTCCCGTGCCGACAACACTTCAGCCACAAATCCGCATGGCATCCGAGGCCAGGGCCTGCGTCCTCGTTGGCTTGGAAGATGCAGGCCACGGATTCCGTTGGCGACTTGCGCGTCAACATGTCCCAGCAGGCCGCGTACTCTGCAGGGAAGGAGATCCAGCAAGTCCTCGCCCCGGGAACGATGCGCCCCTCGAAGCTGATTTTCGTCGGGAGTTGGAAACAGGTAGAGCGTCTCCTCAGGGCGCAGTTCCTGCGAGCGCAGCATTAGCTTCTTCATGCTGGATAAGCAGCTTCTAGAACCTCGAGTTCCTCAATGTAACACAACGTAACACACGCCATCTGAAGTTAAGCCAAGAAAGGTGAAGATTAACACTACGATGGTGAGGATGAGTGCCTATGCTCTGCTGTCTTCCATCCAGAATCCAGAAATTAACTAGCATCTTGAGGAGCAGCACTCTTGCAAGTACTTCAGCAGAAGCACTCTCCCTACCCGCCTCGTGAGCATTGCCATCCTGATCTTTGTCCTGCATTCATCGCTATGGCTATGGCAGATCGGAGTCAGCCAAACGGTATGGCAACAACGGCGATGACGGAGCAAGAATAATCCGTGTTGACTTAACAAATTAACATTTGCATGTTTTGAATTTTTGTCAAGAAGCGAGAATGCGACGGAGGAGTCTGGCTTCTAATCAAAGCGAGCCGGCAACGTTCGGGCATGGTTCTTGAACACGAGTCCCCGCGGTTCTGAACCCAATCGCAAGTAAAGCAATTGCGAATGCAGAACACCTACCGCCCTGCCTCCTCATGAAGTTTGGCCTCCACTTCTTCGAGGAGCTCCTCGGGGAGCTTAGCCTTCTTCGACTCTTCGAAGATCCACTGCAGCTCTGTCACCCTCTGTGATGGATGGGCGAAGTCGGGCACACGGTACCATCGCTTGAAGATTTTAAGCCGTGTCTTGCCCTGTTCGTTCCACTGGGTCAAGCCGATCTCTTGTCCTTTCTGCTCTGCGATCTCCGGCAGGCATCTCGCGAGCTCTTCCTCTGATTCGAGATCTACCCGGTGGTCCAGAGCCCACTGGACGAGCAAACTCTGCGGATCGAACCTCGCGGGGATCTTCCACCTCGAGATGATGGGCTCTATGCGCACCGACGCGGTACAGCACGAAACGAGCCACTCCACCCTCTTGACAAATGGTTCGTCGCAATCTCGCAGCCGTTCATCTTTGTTCCCGGTCAACGCAGACTCGACGATGGCTCCACGGTCGATCAAGGGCTGTAACGCTGGTCCCGGTGATTCGGCCTGCATCTTGATTGATTATTCCCAGCAACACTATACCGCTAAGATGCTGACATTCCGCAAACATCAAACGATGATGCCGGCAATGTCTTGCGGAGCCCCAGTCATTCCCGGTCCTCCAAGGCCAGCGACTTCAGGTAGAAGGACCAGGCGTGTACGTGCTGGCCGGTGTCGAGAAACTGTTGAAAGGCCTGGCGAACATCGTCCTCCTCGCGCCCGCGGTCAAAAGCAGAAGACACAGCGCCCAGGTTTGTTCCGACAAGCCTAGAAAAGTCTACAACGGTGGAGCCGCATGAGTCCTGTGTGGCTTTGCTGCCTTGGCATGAATCAGTCAGTCGGAGATTGGAGCACAAGAACACGACAAAAGCCCAAGCCAGTGCCAGAATTGTATCGTGCTTCCCATAGTTAAGGTAGCTTCAGACTAGCTAGAAACCGTCTCTATGTTCACGACATCAACTCCAGGAGCATGGCGACTAGCGAAAGCTATCACACACAAATGACCGGTCGAGATGCGAGCCAGCTCTGTCAAGTCTGATACTTTCAGCTGCTTGAACTGCACCTCGACAGGCGATACTTCCCGCCGTTCCTGTCGGAGAATGCCTTCGAGGTCTTTCATGCGATCTCGCTCCTTCTTGCAATGGATGCTGTCACCATCCGTGATCATCAGGATGTGTACGGAGACCGTCGCCGTTTTGTTCTCAAAAGGCTGCAGCAAAGTCAGCATGGATTGTATCACTCGGGCTTCCCACTTCCCAAACCAACCATCGCCGTCGATGTCCTCCATGAAGTCACCCTTTCTTCCAAAAGCCCTGCCGATTTCCAGCTCACGGCAGATAGCCTCGACCCGGTTGTACTCCTGTGAGGGACAAGACGCGCAGATCTGGATGACCCTTTCATCCTGGAGATCCTCAAGCCCCGGCCCATCACGATGCCGCTTCGCCATCGGATCATGGGGCGGAGAGTTCTACGAATCGCTGCTTGGGGGGATTCGTGCTGTGTCCTTATGACGCAAACGGATGAAGCAGAACACCCTGTCACCGTGGTGTTTGCCACTGTTGCACGGAGCAAGTCACGCTGCGATACGACATGATCCCACGTGTACCCTCTCGGGCCTCTGCTTTTTTCAACTTAACGTCCTCTGGCATGGAAGTACGATCACTGGCTAACTTCAAAGCCCCAACTCAAAGCTCGAAAGCTCAGCCCAAAGGCTTGGCCCTTACTCAAGCCCCCCTGAACTGCAAAACGGTTCCCCCCCCCAATAACAACAGGGTCACAAAGCCGTGCGACCTGCTCACAGCTTCCCGATCTCGGAGACCTCAAAGGTCTCGGGGACCAGGGCTTCAGGCTTTCAGCCGCTTTTCGGGGCCTCCTCTACTTGGAAGTTTCGGGCTTGAGTGTGTAAGTAAGGGATTGAAGATGATACATGCAAGGGTTGTTTGGGAAGAAGCAGATGCAAAGAGCCTGCGGCTTGGCAGTGTGTCTGGCCTTTTGCTCTCAGTGGCATGCCTCAGCCTGGGAGGGGATGGGGACAAAGCGCTCCGGTCCGGACTCCGAGGCCCCGGCAGCTCAAATCTAACTCAGCCTACTTTTCTGCATCCAGTCTCTGCTGGGAAACAAAGTCTCAAGCTATGAAGATTTGGAGAGACGCGAAAAAGACAAACCCATGCAGCGAAAGCTTCATCCGCCATCTGTCCCTCATTATCCGACATCCTGAAGCTCCGAAACCACGGATGCATAAACGCTGCACCGGCCAATCTTCGACTCGAGAGTCCGGTGTCCTACTTGCGAGGGCAAGCGGCATGGAACGCGGAGGCAGCGGAAGCAGGAGAGCACCTGGCAAGTTGGAACTTCCTATGGGCGCTGGATGCAGCAACTCGGAACAAAGACTATAGTCTCGCCGAGAACCAGTGCGGTCTCAGATGCTGGGTCTACTTTCGGGCTTCAGACTTCGCAGCCCCTCTCTCCTTTAAGATGATTGACAGGACCAGCTGACATCTCAATCCATAAACTTAAACCCGAAGACTTCAGCCCGGAAGCAGCTCAAGCCAACCCCCAATGCAGCAAATGCGTTCGAACCCAACTGACGGAAACCGCTTGCCTCTCCGGGCCCAGAGTGGGGCTTTGAGCTTCTCTCTCTGGGCTTGCTGCTGGCAGGGTGAACATGTAGCTGTGCTGAACTGTGGTTCTGAGTCTGAGGGCATCTGACAACTTGAGGATACTTGCGGCTGTAAAGCCTCGAGGGTCGAAGACCCTGTCCGAAGACTTCAGGGCTTCAAGAACTGCTTCTGGTCCCTGCTCGGTGTGAAGAGGCTCATGGCAGCAAAGCCCGATGGTGCCTCGAATCCCGAGGAGGGATGATCAAGTTGTCGGGTCGGGCTTGGGGCCTTCATGTACCTGGGGCAGAGATTTCCATCAACGAATCTGCAGGAGTGAGTCTGTGTGTCCCCATTGGACAGCCGATGTCAGCACAACTCGCGAGACCCAGACACTCACGACAGCAAGCGAGCTGCGTTCGCATCCGCAACGGGTTTGGGGTATGATTCACGGGCATTGCCACGAACGTTCAAACGCTCATCCGGCGCACCCCAAGCAGTCAGCGGCGTTGCTGGGCAGCAGCCAGCAGGTGCTCTTGGCCCTGGGCAACCCATGCACTTCGATGATGGTGGATATGTGCATATCTCTCATGGCATGCACTCAATACCTGGAGCAAATGCCAGGCCTTTGCGCTCATGCTTCGCGGCCAGATAAGCAGTTTCTCCAAGCCATGGCTTGTCGCGACTTCTGATGCGATGTGACGGTTGGAGTTTTCAACACATCTGCCAGTCAGGGCCTTGCGGGGGGGTTGGGCTTGCTGTTTGGCAACTTCCTATAGCCCTGCCGGTTTCCCAGCGGCGAACATCTCATACAAATGGTCCAGACTTGGGGGTGTTCTCTACCATCATTTGTAGGCATCTACTATGACAGAAACCCTGGCGACTCCGTGCCGGCAACGGGGCTTACAACAGAAACTGTAACGGAACGTAGTGAAGCTGTAACGGATTTGTCGCGGAGCTGTAACGGACCTGTAAAGGAGCTGTAACGGAGCTGTGACGGAAGCTGTGTAACGGAGCTGCAGAAGCTGCAACGGAGCTGTAACGGACCTGCTACGGAGCTGTAACGGAGCTGTAACGCAGCTGTAACGGAGCTGTAGCAGAAGCTGTAACGGAGCTGTAACGGACCTGCAACGGAGCTGTAACGGACCTGCAACGGAGCTGTACCGGAAGCTGTAACGGAGCTGTAACGGAGCTGTAGCAGAAGCTGTAGCGGGGCTGTAACGGACCTGCTACGTAGAGCTGTAACGGACCTGCAAAGGAGCTGTAACGGAAGCTGTAACGGAGCTGTAACGGAGCTGTAGCAGAAGCTGTAACGGAGCTGTAACGGACGTGCAGCGGAGCTGTAACGGAAGCTGTAACGGAGCTTTAGCAGAAGCTGTAGCGGGGCTGTAACGGACCTGCTACGGAGCTGTAACGGACCTGCAAAGGAGCTGTAACGGAAGCTGTAACGGAGCTGTAACGGAGCTGTAGCAGAAGCTGTAACGGAGCTGTAACGGACCTGCAACGGAGCTGTAACGGACCTGCAACGGAGCTGTAACGGAAGCTGTAACAGAGCTGTAACGGAGCTGTAGCAGAATGCTGTAACGGAGCTGTAACGGACCTGCAACGGAGCTGTAACGGACCTGCAACGGATCTGCAGCGGAGCTGCAACGGAAGCTATGACGGAACTGTAGCAGAAGCTGTAACGGGGCTGTAACGGACCTGCAACGGAGCTTTAACGGAAACTGTAACGGAGCTGCAACGGAGCTGTAGCAGAAGCTGTAGCGGAGCTGTAACGGACCTGCAACGGAGCTGTAACGGACCTGCAGCGGAGCTGTAGCGGAAGCTGCAGCGGAGCTGTAGCAGAAGCTGTAGCGGAGCTGTAACGGACTTGCAACGGAGCTGTAACGGACCTGCAGCGAAGCTGTAACGGAAGCTGTAACGGAGCTGTAGCAGAAGCTGTAGCGGGGCTGTAACGGACCTGCAACGGAGCTGCAACGGAAACTGTAACGGAGCTGCAGCGGAGCTGTAGCAGAAGCTGTAGCGGAGCTGTAACGGACTTGCAACGGAGCTGTAACGGACCTGCAGCGGAGCTGTAACGGAAGCTGTAACGGAGCGGTAACTGAGGGCCCAGGGTGGGTAGCGCAAATCCCATAGTAAATGATGGTAGAGAACACCCCCAAGTCCAGACTGTTGCTAGTGCTGCTTCCTGCGAGGCTGCCCTCTCAGCATCTGAGTTGGCCATCAACCTGTAAGACTGTAAGCCCTCCCATGTGTGGACTCACCCGGTTGCCCGGATGAATTGATCAGGATGTTGCAAGTTGTACTTGCTGAGGTATGCTGCAACCGCCCATTGTACGGAAGCCTCCCACCGAGACCGTCTAGCTACACGGACACACACCCTCCGTGCAGTCTGTTTTGACTGACCTGCGATGCGAAACAAGAGCATCCTGCCAGGAAGGGCTTCGGGCCCAACCGACTCCGAAGTTTCTTCGACAACTCATGGCAGGAGGTCTCCGGGAACCTCCAGGCAACCTTTCAGCGTGATCACCCCTTCAGGGCAGAGCTGGACTCCGAGGAGCGTGAAACAGGCGGTGAGCAGCGAGGAGACCATCAGCAACAACGCCAGCACTGAGTAAATCTCAACCCGGCGAAAGAGTGCGAGACCCGACTGAAACTTCTTGCGCTGCTCTTCTTTTGGGGGTTCCAGATTCTCTGCTTCCTTGGCAACGTCTGTGACAAAGGGGATCAGATTGCGCAGGAAGCCAACAATCTCGGCTGCCTTGATCGCAGCCATCACCATTCCAATTACCAGTGAGAATCTTGGAAGCACTGCCAGGTGCTTTGCCTGAAAAGACACGCCCCAAGTATGTCCAACATGTAAACCTAATTAATAGTCTGAGTGTTTTTCTTTTCGCTTGACAGTGAACCACTCATCTCAGGGATTTCGCTGCCGCCCTTCTAATAAACAACTGGTGGGGTTGAGTACCCCGCCCATGTGCGCGCCTGGTACTGGTTGATGGCCAAAGTGTACGCTTGAAGGTTCAGCTGAACACAGTTCCTCGGGTCTGAACTCCCCTATGACCCCTAAACACCCCTAAACACCCCTAAACTCCCAAACATCGTTTAAAACCCTAAACCTTGGAGCTGAAAATGTATAGCAAAGCCCCTGGAGCCGAGACTCTCGAGTACGTAGGACAGAAGGAAGCGCTTCATCAGCCTGCTGCAGAGCGTATTCCCATATCCCATGATCCTGAGAAGAGAGCTGAACGTCAAGGGACTAATTCTTTTCGGGTCCCGCAGGGACTTAAGAACCAAGAAACTCACTGCAGTTGCGACATGCAATGTGTACGGCCTACCACAGGTATTCCCGAGCAGATGCCTCCAATGTCTTTTCTCCCGAACCAGGCGTTCCATTTGGCAGGTCGCATGGTCGGTCGAGATGTGTACGATTGAGTGGAAGCACGCAGCTTCTGAGAGCTCGAAGAACACGTCGTCGTTGAAGAGCTGTTCGCCCGTCACTGCTGAGATCGCCTTTCCTTCGTCCCCGTGCTCGTAGGTCACTTGCTCCTTCCTGATCATGGAAACCTGAGGGCAAAAGTTGCTTAGCTTTTTCACATCTTGAACTGTTTGAGACATGCCTCCAAGCTCTGAAAAATCTTTGAAAGACAAGCTGCCACAGGAACCAGCTGCTGCAGCAGCATCAAGCTCCAGGAGAACAGGATCACCATGTCCAATGCTGGAACAGGAACGGGCAAGTAGCCCATGACACCATGCTTCCACCAGTAGTTCCACAGGGAGGCTGTTTGTCCAGCTGAGCACATGTCCGTGCCTTCGGTCGCTTCTTGCTTCTACATAACGTAGCGCAAGGAGCTGCTGTAGCTACGGAGCTTTTGCTTGGATGTCATGGCCCAACTTGACAAAGCACTCACCTCATGAACCTACACCCGACGCACGGGTCACCCGGAAACTCTCCAAACCCCCTGGAGTCTCTTTCCGGTATCAGGCCTTGTCTGCCTCTCAAGCCCCTGCAAGTCGTGGTAGTAGTAGTGGTCAAAATAGTAGTCAGCAGCAGCAGCAGCAGGAGGAGGAGGAGGAGGAGTAGTAGTAGTAGCAGCACAAACAGTTCAAGCTCGGATCTGTGTTTTGCAGTGCGACTCAACACTGCCGACAGCAAAAGGCGACCACCTAGGGAATCTGGAGCCCTCACAGTCAGAGCACGCAGAACCATATGCTGCCGTATAGTAGTGTTCGTAGCTTATGCCATGTCAAAGTATAATAGCAAAGTATTCGGCTACAGCCCTCCACCCCCCCCCCCCGCTTGCCTCCAAAGCTCAGGATGCCAGCGAAGGCGGTGTCCGAATAAATGTCCAGCAAGCCCAGGAGCAGCATTACGATGCTGTAGCTGTGCCAAATCCTGGTACAGGCTTTACACTCTCGCACTCGGAACTCAGCCCGACCTGGTACAGGTTTTAGCGCTTATGGATTATAGGGATTCTTTGCCTCCTACATCGCCAGGAAGGGTTTACCTCTCACATTGAAACTGATATGATTAGTAAGTGGTGGGCAGAACCCTGTACGGTCATATTTGACAATCTGTACACGGCAGTCGGAGGGGAGGGTTTAGGGATTATAGGGTTTATGATGCTGTAGCTGCGCCGAATCCTGGTACTGACGGCCACGCCCATCACCTTGAAGGTACCGCCCTGGAGCAGGAGGTTCTGTCCGAGCTGGCTTTGGGAAGGGGGGAGCGTAAACCCTGAACCCACAACCCTATAGTCAAATCCTGAACCCTGAATGAGGCTGTTTGGCTCACTGCCTTGTACTTCAACAAGTCCATCACGAAAGTGCGCAACACCAGGCGCACAGCCTTGCGTTCCTGGGGCTGATCAGAGGCTGAGTCGGGCTGGAGCTGTGGAAGCCGCAGGCACGAAGCATAACCGGGCACATACGAACAAATGCAAGCACACACTTCGCCGCAGCCGACCGCACAGCACCTGCAAAAAGCGACGATCTCGGCAGCCTTCGAAACCTTATGCAATCTAACCGTCCCGCCCCGCCGCCTCCCAGGGCTTTTTCTGGTCTGGGAATGGCTCTTTCGGATGCTGTGTTCCAGGAGGGGTGGCCATGCTGACTCTCAAGTGGGCGTTGGGACTCCGATAACGGTCGAAGATGCAAACGTCTTCCTCAGCCCCCAAAGTGTTGGGAGCACTCGGCCCAAGCACTGGTATACTCCAACCTTGTAAACCTAACATAACTTGACGAACCAACGCTGAACCAACTTCACCACTCCAAACTTACTCCAACCAGACGTCTTGCAGAAGGAGCTCTGTGACCAGTTGCAAAGGCAGCGGGAGCAGGAAAAAACACCACACCCAGAGCGGAACTGACGGGTAAGAGCTGCCCTCTTTGCATGACCTTGGTGCGAAAGAGCATAGGTTTTTGAAAAAAATATTTATAGGTTTTTGAAAAAACCTAAAACCTATGTTTTTTAAAAAGCCTATGCCAAACAGTGGACAAGCCCTTCCCTAGTATGTGTTTACGCTCTCACAACTCGGACACAGCCAGGCGAGGTTCTTAGGTGCCCTAGTATGTGTTTAGGGTTGAGAGTTTCGGGTTTGGGGCTTATTGGGCTTAGGGCATGAGAGGTTTCTCCGGCTTCGTCTACTCCTCGTGAGGCCTGGTGCTGCAGACCGCCACGAAGAAGAGCGCAGTGCAGCCGAGGATGTACACGTTTGTCAGCCAGAGGTCCGGGATGCTCGGGCCCACCTCGGCAGCACCACGGACTTCTGCAACATGCAAGACCCGACCTCCAGCCTCAAACTTTCTAGATAATGCATGTGTATATATATATATACATATGTGCATGTGTGCCATCTTACTTTGTTGACGCCTTGAAAAAGCGGCTCTTGGGTCTGCAGCCTAACTGAGTTCTGTGTCACCAAGCAGCCGCTTTCGAGACATGCACCACCTCGCCAGCATCATAGCCCTCTGGAAGCAAGCTGCGCACTTGCTTCTCCAACTCCTCTTGCCCTGACGCATCCTCCTCCTCAGTGGCGACCTGCTCCCAGCAGCCCGCCCTCATACATCGAAAGGGCATCATGGCATCGATAAGGTCGCAAGGAAAGGGACAGAGCTTGGAGGATTGAGCACTGTGACCTGCCATGCCGCACCAGTGACCTACTCCTGCCTGAACCCAAGCAAAACACTAAACTCAAAAGCAGACGTTTTACTATGCTCTCGGAAAGCTCTTGTAAGCCTTTGTTTGTTACTCGAAAGGTTGAACTACCCCGAGCTTGCCCTACTGATCAGCCCCATCGCTCCCAATGCCAGCGACAAGCACCTTCTTCATAAAATGAGAAAAAGCTTACAGGGATGGTCAGCGAACCTCAACCCCCAACGGGCCACTGGAACACAACAGAGGGAAAGTGGAATTGTCAGCCCATGTTTTTCTCTTGTTGTTGGAAGTCTCTTGACAAACAACAAAACCAACACGGCGTTGAAGTCCAGCAAACCATTCTCCGGGAAGGCGATTAAAGTTAAAATTTTACAAACCAATTGGAACTCAGGAAGCGGGAACCCCAATTACACTAGATGACAAGTGCAACTTGAAATAACTCTTTACAGTGCATCATGGGACTTCCACCAAGCATAAGAAGAAAACACAAACGGTCAGAGTCAAGAACTGCACTGACACCAAGCAACCCATGTGAAGCCGCGGTCTGGCGTTTTTTTTTTGCATCCGGGCTTGGGAGATGTTCTGTGGATAGGGCCTTTCGCGCCCGCAGCTGCTCCTTCGTTGCTGCTGCTGCAGCCATCGCGCGGTGGTCCTGCAACTTCGACTCGACTACGACGATGACGATTTCGACAAATGGGCGCTCGACGACGATGTTGCCACGACCCCGCTATTCTTGTCCTTTACAGCATGCTGAGGTCACCTGGTCTTCTTTAGCTGATTTGCTTTCTCAGTGACATCGTGCATGGAGCTACTAGTGCCTTCGTGCATGCGTTCGGTCGCACAAACCTGCGAGTCCCATTTTCGGCTGTCATTGCGTGCATCTTGAACACACTACCTCCATTTTGTCTGACTTCACCACTTCTTCGGCTATCTACTGCTGATGGCAGTTTTTGTAACGATGAGCTGGTGACAAGTGTCCTGTATTCTATGCTGTTGACAGGAGGCCGCTCAGGTATGTAGGCGTTTGACGGATGATTGCTTTGCGATGACCGCCACACTACCGCTTATCGGAATCTGTATATAGAGCCCGGGTTTCCATGTGGGCAGTGATGCATTCCAGATAAACTTACATAGCAAAATGTCGTTTCAGTCCGAGCCTCGTGGATGCAAGAGCTGCCCACGAATACAAGAAACTTTTGGGGTGGCATGGATGCCAAACCATGTTTGCGAGCTCTGAAAAATGGCACGATCCTGTAAGCAAGCCCAACTGGCTACAGTTCATGATCTTACGATGCCAATGCCAATGCTGCCACTCACATCGACAGGCACATGCACGGCAACGAGACATGCTGCAGCGTTTGACAGAGCACCGCTTGTGGAGAAGTGATCAGAATCCCCTCTCTTCTCCAAAGGAGTCCTCTCAGTTCACAGGAGCGCTGCCTCTCGAAAAACTAGCCTGGAATTTGATCCCACCACGCTACATCTCGAAGAGTTCCCTCCAACTCTGGCGCATCTGAGCGCATCTTGCGTGCATCCTTCCTCTGAGTCTGTCAACTTGAAGCTTGAGAAACAGCGAAAACATTTGCGCTTGAAATCTGCCACTCTGCAAAAGTTTGACGATGGTCGGATTCAGACCTTCAGCCGGCCCGATGTTCTTAAGGCCACACAAGCCATGCGTTTACAGCTGTTCTGTACAGCCCCGTCCAGCTCGGATGTCTCTCTGCGGAACTCTCCCCAGTGACACCCATCCATCAGGATCACCATGCACATCTACTGAGAGTACTCGCTCACATGCAGCCACCCTAGCAACTTCTGCCAGCTAAACGTTACGCCTCCCATGCCAGCCCGACTCAACAGCGTGCAAGGACCTTAATCAACTTGAAGCCTGCTGTGTCTCTGTTGTGGGGTCCTCCGAGAAACCCGATTTCGATGCGTCCTTCGGTTCGACCCGCCTGCGGGTCGCTCCATGCCCTGCCACCAGCAGCCGGCATCCTGCAGTCGTCAGAGACTGTATCAAAGCACTGCAGAGTGCACGCGGCCGCACGGCAACAGCAGTCTTAGACCCAGTCCAGAGCAAGCTGCTTCTGGTCCCTGCTCCGCGTGAGGAGGTTCAAAAGGCCGATGGTGCCTGAAGCTACTTCAAAGCTGACCTGGCCCTTTAAAACTCTCTATACAAGGGCGCTGAGCATATTCTGATCTACATATCGATGAGTGACAATCCGACTGTATTCTAAAGTTCACCACGAAAGGGGTTGTTGGTATTCAGGTTTCGAGCAGACAAGATCTTCTGGTTCAAGAGGCATGTTCAGTTTCATGCTGCTGAGATTCTTGCTCTGGGACGTCTCCAGGTCCAGAGACGACATTCTCTTCTTACTAAAACAGAATCACAACTACTGAACAAACACTAGGAGAAACACTCGCAGGCAACGACTGCTCTTGCACCGGCTGCTGGGCCCACGGCTGAAGGTTCACCATCGAAACAGGCTCCTGCAAAAGCACAGCAGCACAGCGAGCGACCAGGCCACTTTTTCAGGAGAATGCCCGATCCGAAATCTGTGTGCTCCCAATCGTTATCTCGGGGTCGATTGACTACAAGGCCGGCATGCGGGCGATTTTTTCTCAGCCGGCCTGATGCAGAGCTGTCTGCGGCGAGGTCCCGTTTCAATCATGAGAGCGGGCGCTGAATTACGTGATCGACGGAAGGTGAGACAAAAGACTTCAAGGAGCTATGCCTTTGAGCTCCTCTGCCTTTGCATTGGTTCTGAAAATGCTCTGCCTTTTGGCATCTCTGCTCAGCGCCCCGGCCGCAGCAGCGCCACCAGCCGCTTCGCGGCCTCCTGCGCATCCGGCGTCCCGGACACTTCCAGCTGGGCAGCTACGCCCAAAGCCCCCGAAGCCTTCGCCTCGCTGAGGCCCTGGGGGTGACCAGACAACCACAGGAGAAGTTCCGCGGCCAGCTCCTGGGCTTTCGTGTTGCTGCCACGGCCCATCACGTTCACCAAGCTGGGGACCGCCTCGGCTTTGACGATGGCCGCCACGTTCTTCGCGTTCTCGGCGACGTCGTCCAGGATCCCGACGACGCTGTGCCGAAAATCGGGTTCGCAATCGGTCAGCGAATGTGCCAGCACACGGATCGCACCAGCATCCACAATGGCCACACGGGTGTCCTCGCTGGACGAGAATGGCCGAAGCGCATGTGCGGCGTGCCCCACAAACTCCCTGCCGTTCATCAGCAGCGCAATCAGCGGGGGGATCGCTCCAGCTGCTGCGATCAAGGCCCGGTTGGCCTCGGCGGTTTCGCTGGCCTCCGGCATGGGGACAACGTCGGGCTCGTCGAAAATCCAATCCAGCGCCAAGTTGCCAAGAGCTACTGCAGCATGAACCTGGACATCTGGACTGCCTGTCGTCAGGCAACTCACCAGCGGAGGGATCCCACCGGCCTCGGCGATGAGGGCCTTGTTGTCTGCGTTTGCTGACAGATACCGCAGCAACCCCCCAGCCTTCTCCTGGAGATCCGGAATGCTGCCCCTCAGCAGCTCCACCAGCGGAGGGATTCCACCGGCCTGGGCGATGATGGCCGTGTTGTCTACATCGAACGCCAAATTCCCAAGCACCCCTGCGGCTGTTTCCTGGACCTCCGTATCGCTGCTGCGCAGCAGCTCCACCAGTGGAGGGATTCCACTGGCCTCGGCGATAAGGGTCTTGTTGTCTGCGATCACCGCCAAATTCCACAGCGCCATTGCGGCGTTCTGCTGGACCTCCTTATTGCTGCTGCGCAGCAGCTCCACCAGTGGAGGGATGCCACCGGCCTCGGCAATAAGCACTTTGTTGTCGTCGTCATCGTCAAACTCCGCCAAACTCCAAAGCGTGCTTGCGGCGACTTTCCGGACCTCGCGAGTGCTGCAGCTCAGCAGCTCCACGAGGGGACGGATCGCACCGGCCGCTGCGATAGAGGCCCTGTGCTCGGAGTCGCCGCCGCCCATTGCCAGCCCGTCAAGGTTCCTTGCCGCATCCACCTGGGCTTCAACATCAGCGCTCCGCAGCTTCTCCACGTCTTCCCTGAAGCGGTCGGCCCCGGCCTGCACCCTCGCAGCTCTCAGCGGGTCGAAGGCCGGCTTCTTAGGACCCGAGACCTCGTTGCTCCGAGTGTCCCAAACGCTGGACACCTGCTGCGGCACCTTTTTCTGATGGGAGGCGGCGGCTGTCTTGGTTTTCCGTGCGACCTCTGGCTGAGGGTGCATCGGCAAATCCTGGCGCGGCTTCTCCGAAGCGGCTTCCTGCTTTGCCGGCTTCTGCAAGGCATCTGCAGCGGCAGCCTGCCAAACCTTGGCTGCTGCGTGGGACTGGTGCTTCCACGCGGCCTCCTCTTCAGACTGCTTCTTGCCTTCGTAGCGGACGTTGCTCAGAAACGAGAACCATCCGTCCTCGACCTCCTCGTTCACCACGACAGCGAGCAGCTGTGCCCTGGTGAGGCCCTTGTAGAGGTCCGCGCGTGTCACCAGATCGCGGGCCTCGCCCTGAATCGGTGCGTCCAGCCCAACGCAGACTACGATGAGATGCTCCAGCCCATCAACCACATCGATGGTGTCGAGGATGATCTCTTCCTGCCGTCGCTCCTCCTGCTCCCCAGTAACACGTTGTACGCCGGTGCTGCGAAGCCACAGTGGCAGTGAGCGCAAAGACTCCTCGTGCTTGACGAAGCGGAACTTTCGGTCTGGGAGTCCGTCGCGCAAGAGCGGGCTCAAGACCTTCTTCAACTTCCTCAGGAACTTTTCGTTTGGAACGAAGAGCGCAAGCCTCTTGTGCAGGCTCACCCCCGAATACACGTTGTCAACATGCACGATGGCATCCATCACACGCCGGGCATAATGCTTCATCCGCACATCCTCGTCCGTCGAAGCCTCAAAGATGTAGGACTTCACCGGCGGGCCATCGGTGCCGGCGGGCACGGCAGCTTCGGCATTGACCTGGAACGATGCCGCACTTAAGACGATCTGCCTTGTGCTCCGGACAACCTCTGTCAACTGCACCTTCTCCATCTCTGGAAATGTGGCTGTAACGGCAGAAGACTGGGCGTTATCCGACAGAAGCAGTCTTCTGCTGCAATGCAGATCGTCAATTATGCCGCGGTCCACTCTGTCTTGGTACAGGTTGTGACACTCGTCAATGACAAGCAGATCGAACTTGTCATTCTTTTCGTGGTTGATGTTTACTGCTTCGAACTCGATGCGCCCGTCTTGCAGCACGGGCATACGAAGCCGGAGGAGCTTCTTGAACGGCTTGAAAAGGACAGCCAACGCAGAAAGAAGTTCCAAATCCTTCTTCTGAGATTCGATGCGCACAGCCAGCCACTGGACGAAGTAATAGATCAGCTCGACGGTAGCGGCGACATAGAGGACGCGAGGAGTGGGCTCATCAGCGGCAGGAGTCAAAGCATCGACCACTCGCTCGACTGCCACGAAGGTCTTGCCTGCACCGGCCGGAGCCGACAAGTGCACCATGTCCGAGCCTCTGATGGCACTGAGACGCTCTCTCTGGTGACGCGTCAGCTTGTCGAGGGCCCTGAGGCTGGAGTCGTACATTTGCAGAAGATGGGATTTGCTGACTTCCACCTCCCAGCGGGGATCTGCGAGGCGCACGTTGATCTCTCGCTCGAGCTCGCCATCGAGAACGCGATTTCTGAGCTTCTGCAGCGTTCCGATGGACTTGATTTGCAGCTTTGCTCGCAGGGCCACAAGATCTGGGCGAAGCCGATGGGTGCCCATGTCCAGTACATCAACGTGTGGAAGGCACTCCATCAGGATCCCTCGCAGCTTTGCATCGCCTCAGATCGCAAAACAAGAGTGTATACCACTTGCTTCTGATGGGGAACCTGTGGCGTCACGCCGTCTGCCAAGCTGTCTTCGAAAGCTCCTGAGGTGCCGACTGACATGATCCAGCATGGCTTGCATGGTCGCAGCAGTGCTGCAAACGCACAGTGAATCGAAGGTCTGCTGCTTGGTGATCTGACATCGCAGCGTCCATCGCACCACGGCATCCTCGGAACCGTCCTCCTGCTCGACGTCCAGGACGTCCTGCTTCTCGACGGTTCCTCGTCGCCAGGACCTCGTGGCCTCGCACCAGGCGTCGACCAGATGGCCCTTCGCAAACTGCTCTTCCAGCACATCGCAGACGTCCACCTCTTCGTAGCTCCAGCCCATCTCCTGGGCCTTTGCAAGTTCCATCGCTTGCGTCGCATCCACCCGCCCGGGTGGGAGGGCCACCTTCAAGCGCTGACCACTCTCAACAGCCTCGCGAACCTTCTCGAGCCACTTGCTCTGCCAGCCTTTTCCACTATCCTCTTCTCCACCACCGGGATCTGGCTCCGGCTTGTCATCACCTAAGCCGCGAGTGTGGGCACTAATGATAATGTGAGTCCGAAGTTTTTGTGGTGAGTGGATGAGCTCCTGTAGCAAAGCTACTTTGGTGATAAAGTGGGGAAGGGACGAAGCCGGCTGACTGCATCTGCCATGCACTCATGATTTGAGGAAATGCTGTTGTCTGATCCAGACTGCATGGCAACTTGGCACGTGGAACTGGAACCTGGGAAATCACACACACTCTCGTCTCTTTCCGAGCTTTCCCTCTCAATGGCAAGACGGTGGGCTGAGGGAGCAGGAGAAAAGGAAGGAACGAGTTGAGAGAATCAAGAGCTGAAAGCAGGCTCGCAATCTGATTGCAGCAGTGTATTCCTAAATGCCAGAGATTCTGGAGGCTTTGACTCGAAAAATCTCAGAACATCGCAAAGTCTGAACTTTTTTCCGATCGGTGGGAAGGTCAAAGCTTCGCGCTTCGAGATGTTTTTTGGGAACTTTGCCGCAGTCGAACCCAAGATTGTGCACGGATGCATGCTGCTCTCTTTGAGCGCCAGATGCTACACCGGTCGAGAGCTGAAACTCCTGTGCCGACAAGACTTGAGACAACAATCCGCATGGCATCCGAGGCCAGGGCCATTGTCCTCGTCGGCTTGGAAGATGCAGGCCACGGAATCTGTTGGCGACTCGCATGTCAACATATTCCAGCAGGCTGCGTACTTCGCAGGGAAAGAAATCCAGCAAGTCGTTGCCCCAGGAACGATGCGCCCCTCGAAGCTGACTTTCGTCGGCAGGCCACGGGCAGGTCGACCTTTCGGCAACAAGTAGATCATCTCCTCGGGGCGCAGTTCCTGTGAGCACAGGGTCAGCTTATAAGCTTCTTCCACCATTCCATGCTCGTGTAGCAGTTTTCCAGAAACTGGATTATGCCATCACAACACTCTAGAACCTATATAGAACCTAGCATCTTGTCCGCTTCCAAGTACTTCTGCTGGCGAAATTCTCCCTGCCGGCCTCGTGAGCATTCCCGTCCTGATCTTTGTCCTGCATACTGAGCGCTGCCTTTTCCGTTATGACTAGAAAATACTGGCAAGGCAAACCAAGGATTTCGAATGCTGAATTTGCGCTCACATAGGCACTTGCCGCCCTGCCTCCTCATGAAGTCTGGCCTCCACTTCTTCGAGGAGTTTCTCTTCCAACTCAGCCTTCTTCGCCTCCTTGAGGATGCCCTGCAGCTCCGTCAACCTCTGGGAACTATCCGCAATGGCGGGTACACTGTACCATCGCTTGAAGAGTTGGAAACGGTTCTTCCCTTGTTCATTCCATGCCGTCAGGCCGATGGCTTGCTCTTTGGTCTCTGCGAGCTCCGGCAGACACTTCGCTAGCATCGGCTCCGATGTCAAGTCCACTCCCTGGTCCACAGCCCACCTCACCAGCAAACTCTGCGGGTCGAACCTGACGGGAATCTTCCATCGGGTGAGAATGGGTTGCAGGTGTTCGGAAGCTTTCCTGCAGGAGGCGAGCCAGTCCACTCTTTCTCGGAAGGGAAGGTCGCATTGCGCCAGCCGCTCATCTCCAAGCTCGGCCTCGTCGCCGGCCAAGGCGGATCCAACCATGGCGCCACGGTCAGTCAAGAACTGCGACGATGGTCCTGCTGAATGGGCCTGACACTGACCATGAGATTTTCCAACTAGTGGTTAGAACAAACGAAGTAGGCCCTGCCAATAACATCTTGCAGCCCAGGGTCCAAAGCAAAGGACTTCAGGTGGAAGGACCAGGCAGGGACATGCAAACCTTCGCTGAAGCCCGTGCCAAGGAACTTCTCGTAGGCATCCTGAACGGTCTCCTGTCACGGCTGATGGAATCAAACCATCGTGCCTCACGCAAGTCGGCTTTGGACGACGGTGTAAGTTGACTTGACATGCAATACCATCCGATGGGGGTTCGCTCTAAAAATGGGGCTTTGTTTCGGGCATCCTTATCACTCCCCAGCGTCTGTCCTGTGCCGGATTGCTACCTGAGCATCAATCGCTGTGTCGCTTGGCGACGGACGGGTATGGGTCATTGGATATTAAGGGCGATGTAACTCAGCAGCATTGCAAGTAGTCTACAAAGGTATACTGAGAGTACTCCATGCTTGTGTCTGACTCGCACGACAACACAGCGAGACCGAGATCAACACGGCCAACCAACACATACAGCCAAGCTGCGAATCAACTCCTCCATCAACTTGTCTATGCTCAGGGGCTGACCATGCACTTCGAACTTTGACAAGGTTTGCCATCGCTCCTGTTGCAGAATTGTCTTGAGATCCTCGATCTTCTCTCGCTCTTTTGCACAGTGTGGACTGGTACCATCAGTGATCAGCAAGAGATGGAGGGAGACGAAAACCGTCTTCTGCGCATAAGGCTGCAGCAAAAGATCCAGGGACTGCAGAACTCGGTTCTGCCACTTTCCGAACCAACCTTCGCCATCCGTGTCTTCCATAAAATCGCCCTTTCTACCAAAGGCTCTTCCGATTTGGAGCTCGCTGCAGATGGCTTCCACGCGATTGTACTCCTCTGAAGGACAGGAGGCGCAAATGCGGATCTCCACATTCTCTGTCTGCTCGGGTTCGGCCCCATCGCGGTGCCGCTTCATGGGCTCAACGAGGCTGCATTAAGTCAGATTGCATAGACTAAATATCTACTCAGTTGAGAGGCTCAAGCTTCATGCCGAGACGATGGTTGAATGGATGAATTACTGGGCCCTCGTGTGATTGAACAAACAGGGCTGCTGCAACGCTGCGATTGCGTCTTCCGATGCCTCACGGCTTGCTCAAGCAACAGGCTGCGAACCCACCTGCGGGTCCATGTGCTCCTGGCCGTCCTCTGGCCTGCGACTTGCGGCCACAAGCTCAAGAGCCACTCGTTCAAGGCTGCTATCGAGGCAGGCCAGCTAAATAGTTGTGTGATGTTGTATTTCCGAAACGTTGTAACTTTGATTTCCAGGCGAGGAATGGTGGAATATTTGAAGATATAGCCGTCGTCACAAGAAGAGCATGTCCAAGTTCACTAGTATCAGGTTCTTCGGTCGTGATCTCCGGGCTACGAGCAGCTCTCACACTGCAATTGATGTCTGGGTGAAGCACCGTGCCCCGAGAGGTGTCAAAAGCCTACTTTGCATCATGTAGCCCATGCATGCTTCCCGGATTTCTCATTGAGATGCTCGCTCAACTTGGCCACAAACAGCTTATTTCGCACTGCTTCCGTGTAAAGCAGCTAATCGAATGCAGCAGCATCAAGGCAGCCATCCCTTCTTGGTGTGCATCTGATTAGCCTCAAGTCCGGTCCCACCTGGGAGGCCATGGCTTTGGCTCGGCTCATCCTGGCGCCCATCCGCCAGCTCCTCCCACGCAGAATGCAAGGCTGGGGAGCCTCAAGCCTCTCTTGCAAACCTGGTAACTCGAAACTTTCCAACGCGATGGATGCAAAGCCTGTAAGGATTGCAAAGGCCACACTGAAACACAGCACCCTACAAGACCGGCGTCGCAGTTGTCAGCCACATAAATTTTGGACACTTTCCCAGCCGCATCACGGTCTGCATCTGGACAAGAGTCCTACTGTACGGCACAGGAAGCCGGTGACACCAAAGCCGGCGAAGTCGCTGGCATGTCGTGCTGTGGATCCAGAAGAGCTGCTTGTTTGGGTAAACCCAGCCCTCCCGAATATGTCAGGAGCTCTCTTTAATTAAGCAGGGCTAGCATCCGATTTCGCATATGGGCGGTACTCCGTCTTAAGGTTCTTCGAGTTCAAGTTCGGCGTGATGATCTGGCTGGCCACGGCGCAGAACAAGTCTGTGGCAGTGGACTCTTCCGCATACCGGTCCTCGCCGCCGCTGAATACCCTGGTGTAGTACTTTCCGGTCTTCGCCCTAACATCCGCCACCGTGGCCACCACCCGATGCTCCTGAAGGTCGTAAGCACTCAGGAGACCAAGCTGAAAGACAGATTCCCGATAACTACGAAGCAGGAGTGACAGAACTTTGTGGGTCCCGTCCTCGGGAAGAGCACGGAAGCGCAGCTGTATGTCGCCGCCCAGTGCGATGATAGCCGTGGCGAGCCAAGTCTGTAGGTCCGCCTCAAAGTTCTCTGGCAGCTCAACCTGGCTGAAGCAAATGCCCGGCCTCGAACCTCTCATAGAAAGTACTATTTACGTGACTTACCCTTGGTTAGTAGGGAATGGAGGAATGGGGTACAATATTATAGCTACTATTACTACCATTCTTCCGTTCCCTACTAACCAAAGGTTAGGTGAACAAACAGCTTCGCTCCTAACCCCGACAATGCCAAACCGAGGCCCTGCCTTGGCAAGGTCTCGCCACTGCTGGCAGATCGCTTTGCTCTGCTCACACAGGTTGCAGTTCTTCTGGATTGTCAGAGTCTCCCCCGTAAAATCTGCAGCCTCACCGAGTTTTTGCTTATAGTTTGAGAGACCTCCAAGATCGCAAGCTGGGTGCGAGAAGACACCCTCCTTGAACCCTCGGCTTACAAAATCAAGCGTTTGAGAGCCGACATGGTACATCATCAGTGAGGTCTTCTCGGGCAAATCCTCTGACTTCAACTCGACCAATCTGGCCGTCTTTCCGGTATCCTCCAGGGCGTACAGTATAAACTTACACTTCCGGAGCACCGACGGTGCACCCGTCTGGGGGAAGAGCTCCGTGCAGCGGCTGCCCTCTTCGTAGAAAGCCGCGACGACCTCACTCTGCCACTCCTCGTATGCTTCTTTGTTGATGAAAGCTTCCTGCCGCGAGCTACCTGCCGAACAGGATGCAAGCTCCAACCAGCAGGAGCAAGTGCGTGTTGCCGCTGGGCACCCGCATACTGACATAACAGCAACAATTCTGAGACAATCCCAGACTCGGAAAATACAACCGGCCATAAGAGTATTACAGCAGCAGCAGCAGCAGCAAAAGCAGCGGCAGGAGGAGGAGGAGGAGGAGCAGGAGGAGGAGGAGGAGGAGGAGGAGGAGGAGCAGTAGCAGTGGTAGCAGTGATGGTGCTAGTACTGGTTCCAGTAGGAGTAGTAGTAGTAGTAGTAGTAGTAGTAGTAGGAGTAGCAATGTATTTTGGTAGTAGTACGAGGCGGAGGATTGGAGGTAAGAGCGCGGCAGTTTGATCCACCAGGCCTTCGAGCGCCATAGCAGTGGCTGCACCAATCTACATGCCGCCCGGCATGTAAACAATCACAGAAAGGATGCGATTCCACCATGGCTCTGCCAGAAGGTCCGGCATGCTGGGTCCGGGGGGGTCGAGCACGAGTGGGCTGATTTTAATTACATGATTCGACTTGTTCATGGAAATGCCTGGTTTCTCACTGGCTTTGTTTGCATGCGGGATGATAGCTGTCTCGGTGGTTTGGGACCAGCTCCTCTGCACAATCGCTCGGTCGTGGAGCGCATGTCAGCCGCAAACCAAAGAGTCGGAGATACACGGAGGCTTCGCCTCAACATGAAGGTGAGGTAGCTGCTACTGGTAGGATGTCTGGAGTCTCAGCCTTGCATTTCGGTGGAAAACGCATCTCCTTCGGAGCCTGGGTAAACCGTGACACCGACGACACCAAACAGCCTTGGGGAAGCTTGGTGTGTGGCTTATGGGATGAAACGGCACGCCTACGCAGCATCTGACCAAAGCACCAGTCAGTGCAGATATTCCTTTTGTTCTCTCCCAACATTCGCACTGTCGATGAGCATCAACCTCCGGCATCTAACTGAGTGGAAACAATGATGGGCCAAGCAAATCGATCCTTGAGCTAAACAAGCCATGCCGATACGAGTCCTCGATGAACACCGTGGAACGCGCCGCACTGCGTCCTTGGCACAAGCGCTTGTAACAGAACAATAGTATCTTACAGTATGGCAGTAACTCGGCATCATGGCACGTGACAGCACGGTCTCACAGCTCCAGCGTAATTAACCTCGACTCTTTTTCTTTGCCAGCTGCTTTGTGCTAGTCGGGTATGTCTATGCATCCTGTTAAGGACCGGATCCCTCCTGAACAGGATAAGACCGCATAGAGTGTGAAGCAGGCGGTGAACAGAGCGCCAGCCATCAAGGCCATGGAGATCTTCACACAGATTGCGTGTCGGCGAACCGCTGCCAGACTTGAATCGAAGTACTCGACATCTTTGTCTTTGGCATCATGTTCTTCTCTCTCTGTTTTAGAAGCCAAATTCTCCATCAGCTGGCGAATGCCCAGGAACAGCATCATTTCCTTTAGCTTCACCATACCCATGAGAAAGCTGACACACAGCGACAGCATAGGGAGCAACGCTCGCTCGCGCGCCTCGCACAAGCAGAAAGGAGCATGAGTTGAAAGCAGCATGATGGATGAATCGGCTCATAAATTTCGGTTTAGGGCTTAAGGAGTTTACGCTCTCGCAACTTAGGGTTTCATGTTTAACACCATCCTGGAGACTTTGAAGTTGCAGAATTGCCGGGGATATCATAAACACAGAGCCATCGCTTCGGGGTCCTCACTAGCAACTCCTTGTGGACAGATGAGACGCCATGAACCCTAAAAGCCGTAATGAACCAGTTCTAAGCCCCTGGGCACCTGATGTGTGTTGATCGCCAAGGTCCAGGATTGAAGTGTAACCTGGACTCCGTCCCTGAGCTGAATCAGCGGGCTTCGCCTAGAAGAGTGGGGTTATGCTTTGTGCTCAATAGAGGTTTGAGGCATCTTTAGGAGGGGGAGAATGCTCTGGCACTTGAAGAAAAGCTGGCAGCCATGGCTCTCGAGTAGGTACGAAAGGCAGACCCGCTTCACGTACTTACTGGACAGTGGCATGCCGTATCCCATCATCCTCAGGATTGCAGGGTTAGGGTCGACCGAGGGTTTAGGGAAGAGTTTATAGCAGTGAAGCCAGCCTGTAGGATCAGAGCTCTTCGTGCTGGAGCGCAGTCCCGACGCACACAGAGACAAGTCCACACAACAGGGCTGAGATTTCACAGAAAGTTTCGTTCTTGTTCCCCCTCGGTCCTGTAGCCTTCTTGCTGCAATACCTTCTTCCGCATCTGGCAGATGTAGATCTTGGTCGAGATCTGCGTGATGGAGGCGAAGCCGGCAGCTTCACTGAGCTGGAAGAAGACATCATCATTGTACAGGTACTCCTCAAGGCGTTTTTTCCTCCCACCTAGCTAGGACAAGCCCGGGTGGCCTAGGTTGAAGGCTTTCGGGATCTGAAGCATCGAGCCTTGGGTTTACGCTCTCGCAACTCGGACTTGCCAAACGAGGTCTCGCATTCGAAGTGCGTTGACTGGTAGGGGTTTCGGGTCCACCACGTAGGGCTTAGGGTGGCTTTATGCCGACATGCTCTCCAAGGTCAGCCTTCATGCAGCACCCGGGCCGGTTCGAGAAGCAAAATGAGATTAAAAGAGCCCAGGAAGGCAGTCCGGACACTGAACTCGAAGAAAAGCTAGGTTCACCGATCCTGTATCTATTTCGGAAAGCCTGACGACAGAAAACACAGCAGACCGCCGACCTAGTCACGACGAAGAGCTTTTTGTTGCGGGAGAGATTTGGGTTTCGGGTTGAGAGCCCTCCTTCTTCGAAGGTGTGTCGAACCCTTTCTTTCCGCCTGCTGAGGACCCCAAAGAGAGTAGGGCTTGGGGAATCTTGGGGTTCGGAGTTTGAGTTTGGTATTTTGACACTCACACTCGGACAAGCCTGGCAAGGTCCGCAGAAGTAGGTTCGACGTGACTACGTGGTGAGCCCCGGGCAGCAGATTCACTTACCCAGGTCGCTAGGGCTTGGGGCGTCGAGTTGATTGCTGCGTTGTGCAGTGCCTGCATGTGACAGCCCCTGTCGTACAGGAAGTTCTTGACAACGGCCTCGTGCTATAGCTCCGCGATGCCAGGCTTCATTATGGCATATGGTTCCGTGCGATTTTGGGGGCTCGTTTCGGCTTGGTACTATGATCCCTATTCATCAGCTCCTTTATACATACATATATATATATGTGTGTGTGTGTGTGACCCAGCGAATTTGTCTTTCCTCATCGTTGCAGGGTAGCACCGGCGCCGACTTGCCATCATCGCGCTCCTCATCAGTCCCTTTCCGTAACATAGCCACCTCAGGTTAAGTGATCGGTGTTTCGGCCTCTCTCTCGCCTACTCGGTACCTAGGATAGTGCCTTTGAAGAGTTCGGGTTTCGAATTTGGAGGGTTTGTTTAAGTGTTGGGTTTGGGGTATTGCATGCACCAAATGAAGCTAATCCTAGACATACTTCTGTGGCGAAACAGGCTTCTCAAACAAGGCAAGCCGCACAAGCAATGATGTGCTGAAGAAGCATGAGCTGCCAGGAGACAGAGATCAGAATGTCCAGGGGAATCACTGGAAGCGGCCTGAAAATACTGTGCTCCCACCATGCCTCCCAAACTCTTTGCGTCTTGCCCTCGGAGCACAAAGCTGTGCCTCGGGGTTCATGCAAGGGCTCGGATCGAAGTACGGCCTACCCCTACTTAAAGGATCATGGGACTTAGTAACTAGGGTTATAATTCGGGTAACTATACTTCTATCTCCAATTAGGGTACTTATAACCTTACTTACTAAGTCCCATGATCCTCCAAGTACCCATGTTTTGAAACAGCTTCCCGCCTCCGAGTCCCATGGTACCGGCAAAGTACGTGTCGGTGAAAAGATCCAGAGAACCCAGGATCAGGGTCAGTCGCTGGGCTAAGGTCCACAAGACTTCCCAGCTGGGCATCCCGAGCAACTCAAAGGGCTCCAGAGAGTGCATCTCCATGTGCTTCTTGTAGCATCGCTTCACCAGATGCAAAGCTTTCCGCTCCTGCTGGGACGGAACAACTTTAGATTTGCAGGACAAAGAGGGCGAATATTAGCCGAGGCCTGGAAATCACAAGCATGGCGGGGGAACGGAGGAGTTTGAACAAGCACCGAAAAAGGAGGCACCTCCCCATGCCTTGCTCACCCAAGCAAGGCAAACCAAGGCCCCGTCACCGACAATAACACACCTCACAACCCCAACGTGCCCTCTGTGACCCAGTACAGAGTGCACATGAGTCCACAGCTTAGCAAGGTCCCTTCCGTTATTAAGGTCCTACAACCTTTGGGATCATCGATTGTAGCCTCCGCGATCTGCAGTCTTGCACGACTCCGCCACAACATTCTGCTGTTACTCCCTCTCTGACAACGAAGCAAATACCTTTAAATGTATGGAAAAAGCCTGCAGGCTCGCTGTCATTCAGGCAGGGATCTGTGAGCATCTGATGAAGTATGGCTGGCAAGCAAATGATCCAAATCCAGTATGGCGGCACTGGGTATATGCTGCCATCAGCACAAGACCTCAAGGCACACTGGGCGAAAGAGCTTGAACGTCTGGGACAGACAGGATTCTGCTGCCACAAGTGTGTGCCTCAATCTGGAGGTCGCTGCAAAAAGGCTGACCGTGCACCCAAGGAGGAGCACGTTTGTAAACCACAAAGACGGAATGCATGGGCCCACCTTCACGACAGACTCGTGTGCTGGTCAGGTCGCAAAGTCTCGCAGGAAAACAACAGTGAAGCTAAGGTGAGCTGAGATTCAAAGTAGGACACATTCAATTCCGGGGCCTCGGCTTGCGTCAACAGTAATGAATTAAAGTTTGAATGTCGCACTAATCCTGCCATCAGCCGGGGTGCATGCTGGGCAAATTTCCGAGACGTGTCTGCTGTGTCTTCGTCTTGATCCAGCAGGAGGAACTTCTCTCGAAAAGTGCAAGGCTCCGCGAAGCTCGAAACAGTCTCCGATCTAGAACGGGAGGCCGACACCGACCTTGCTTGACGCAGGCTTCCTACGAATCGCGAGAGAGCCCCCCCATCCCCAAAGTGCCAAAGCCGGACGAACTTAACAACGTGAACCAGAAGTTTTCAAAACTTTGAGCACGCCTGGAAGATGCAGAACTTGCCAGTTCAAGCATCAGCCATAGTGAAAGGACCACTGCATGCCTGTGGCTCTGCGCCCCATGTAGGCACGGAGGTAACCGGACATTGCTGAAAAGCTCGTAGTGCGATGGATGTACCTATCTGGCGCATGTGTACAGATACGTAAGGCTAAGTCAGAGATTCCTGGAGCCGTTGCCGAGACTACACACGACCTGCTTCTCCCATTCGCAGGCCTGGCACACCCGCACTCGCAGCAAAGAAAAGACACAGAGCCAAGCCACACCTAAGAGTGGTGCCGCTGAGCTCGTGGCTTCGCCACCACACGGTGGAAGACGCCTCCGAAGCATCGGAGCATTGCCTGTAGCGATGGACAAACCACGCACATCCCTGAAACGCCGAAACACAGACACTCCGGTGTACCATCCTTGTAGACCATAGGCTAGAACTTATTGCAGACACATGTAACACTAAGCCGAAGCTGCTGTCGGTCGCTCACCGCCGGGATGATTCAGTTGAAGGGGATTGACGACTGCACTACTAAGTTCGCGACACAGCACAGATGCTCAGGCAGGAGCCAGCTACGTAGACGAACCCGCTGCTGATTGGCAACGGCAGTTTAACTTGCAACATCTGCATGCATGACATCATGTTCTCTTATCCAGGCGCGGATGTGTGTCTGGGTGTGTTCGCTCTACAGCAGGCTACCAATTGTGCAAAACTCAACCAACCGCTGCACTGTACATATGATTACAAGTTGGGCGAATGAACGCTGGAATGGTAGCGACAACCCCTTAACTCTGCGATGGGCACCGGGCACCCTCGAAAAATCCCATTGCTTACTGGATCCGCAATATGTGAACATTGAGAGAAGTGCCTGGTGCATGCAGCAGGCAATGGTACTGGCAAAGACAGAACGAATTTGCCAGGAGGACAGTCCTAAGCAAAGGTGCTGTGGCGAGTCATGAGGAACAGAATTGAATGCCATCTCGCCACAGTGGAGATGCTTGCTGCGCTGGTACATATCAGATAAATGCCAGGCATACTACGAGTACGCGCTTTAATGCTGCAAGTCCGAACACTTAGTGATGATCCGTGCATGACATGAATGCGAACAGAAGCCCAAACGTGAACACGTGCTGCCCGTATTGAGATTCTGATCAATCAGGAACAAGCCAGCAGCAGCACGTCGCTTCACGCAATCTGTAAGCTCCTTATGGACGCACAAGGTCCAACACAGCAAACCAGAAAGCCTTTTGTTGACTCATCGCCTTCCTCTGAACCACGATGTCCGGGTCGTTTTGCGTAAGTGTGCATTGACTTTCTAGCCTCTGGCCAGTTTGAAACCTTCATGAAACATGGAACGGAATCCGAAGATTCAAACGATCCGGTGTACGCCAGGTTGAACTGGATATCCTGACAAGTTGCCGCGGGCAGCAGCAATGTACAGAAGAGTCTACGCAACGCCATGAAGCCTAGCCAGACCCTGCCTCCTGCCGCAGTGCATGGCTGCCATGACCTGGATCCTGCTCAAGGCAGCACAAGAACGGCTCCAATCATCATAGCCTATACCCATTTAGATTTGAAGCGACACCCAAATTCGCAGGACCCTCAGCACCATACCATATACTACATTAATAGTCTGCTTAAGCAAAGGCGTCTCAATTGCACGAGTATCCATCTGTTTGAGTCCTTTAGCGGGTCTGGGTGCGGAAATCATCACTAGGAAGCCTGGAGATGTCGTCTGGGCAGCAGGCAAACCTCAAAGTCCAGAATAATAGCACTAGTACTAATACATGTAATTATCACTACTACGGCTTTTACTGCTGCTACTATTACGGTTACTATTGCTACTATACCCCTTGTTTCAGTCATGCACTCCTAAACACCCTGATGTCCTAATGCGCACTGAGACTGTTGCATCTCGCTAGGCCGCGGCGTGATACTTGCACATGATTTTGGCCGTGTTGGCTCAGGTCAAGCTTTAGTGCTGGCTTCGAGGATTCTCGAGCGTCGAAGCTGCGGGACATAGGGCGAGGGGTTTTGTCGTGCGCACGGAGCCTGCGTATTGCGGAAGCCCAGAAGCCAGTGGACTGCGGAGCGGAACCTGCCAGTTTCTTAAGGGAACCATGATAATGGCACCACCAACAGTAGCATTGTCGCAGTTGTGGTGGTAGTAGTAGTAGTAGTAGTAGCCGTAGTAGTAGCAGCAATAGTAGGCATCAGAATACTAGTACTACTATACAATACAGGAATAGTAGCAGCTAGAAATATACTCCAGCGGTAGTAGTAGTTACAGTCAACTGGTAAAAGTAGATGTAGAAACTATGTAACTATGTTATTGTACATCAGACAGTTAGTTAACCGTAGTCAACCACAGTAGCCGTGGATTCGGCTGCGCAGCACCAGTCGGCACAGGAATTTGCGCACACACACACACACACACACACTCACACACACATCCACACACTCACCCGCGAGAGCGTACTGTCTTCATGTCACCTCACTGCTGGAGCACACCTGCAAATGCCTCAGGCACGGACGTGCGAAGGGTGCTGCCGTGCAGGCGCGCCTGGCAAATGCCAGCCGTCAGGACCCAATTCGGAACTGGGATCCTTCTCAATCCTCTGTGATAGGATTCTTGTAGGATCCTAATTCCAGAAGCACCCTTTAAAAAGCCATGGATCCTGATTACACAGGCCCTTTTTGGAAGGGAGCCCCTGATTCTATGAAATCTCGATGCACACACAGCTGATGCAGCAAATCGAACCTTGAGGCGCCATTGGCTTCGCGGCTGGCACCTTGCTTTGGTTGAACACGGGATCTCTCACGGGTTTACGAGCTCGCAACTCGGACGATTAGGTCCAACTGGCTTAGGGGCCTTAGGGCCTTAGGGTTTCTTTTGCACGACCGCGCAAAAAGCCACAAAGATGCTGAGATCCACATAAATTATAGTTTCCAACTCGAAATAAGCCCTGTTTCTTTATCAGGCTCCAGCAACGCTCCCTGTACCGAGCTTCCTGCGAGCATGGATTTGGCTCTACCTGGCGCAAAACAAGAGAAAAGACCCATGCCAGGGAAGCAGCATTCAGATGCTCCAGCCTTGTTGGAGAGCCATGAAAGCATCCACCTGTTCGAAGCAATCCCCGGAATATCTGCAGCTGCCACATAATTCTGCAGCCGACCGCCATTCCTTGGGAGCTACTTTCTGGCGGAAGGCCCTGATTCCTCCTGGCTCCCGTCCCGTGCTGGCAGTCCGACCCGGGCAGCATTGCATGGTGCTGTCCTGAGTCCCGAATCTTGGAGACTTGTTGAGGATGGTGGATTCTTGGGACACATGCTGCCTTACATTTGACTCATAATTACTCCGCTGCGGCAGCCCGGCAACTCTGCCTCAAAACATGGGCTGAACTCAGAAAGCTGAGTCGGCGTGCCTGCTTGGGCCGCTTGGGGCCGTCAAGCTGTAGCCTGGCAAGCCGAAGGATCTGAAAGCCGAAGGATCTGAAGCTTAGAGCAAGAGGACATTTCGCAAGTCACAGGACCCCATAATAAGGTACCCCTAGTTTTCGGAAACTCTAAACCCTAAACCCTTTATAGAACCCTTATAGATCCCTTAAAGGAACCCTTATAGATCCCTTTAAAGGAGGGAAGGATCGCATGCCGGGAATGGAGCGAGCAATCGTCCGGTGGGGCGGTGCTGGTTCCTACCACTCGGCTCTGCCTCCACCCAGTGGTCGCAACCTCGTGTTCCCAGCCGCTTTCTCGTGACTGCTCGCTTGCCCAACATGCAACTTGCCACGATTCAGTGAAGCTCCTGCTGCTGACAGCCTTCTGGCACCACAACGAACAGTCAAGCGAGAGGCGGTGCAACGAAAGCGACGTGTCAATGGGTGATGTCAAGGCATCGGCGGCTTGCCATCGCCAGGATCCAAGAGGGAGTTGCTGCCTTGCAGCAGGGACTACAGTACTTCTCGCTGGTGTTTTTTGGGGAAACCCACTCCCATGCGATCCCCAACTCCTGCCGCCGAGATGCTCAAAGACAGGCTAAGCTGGGAACCTGCGGCGACTGGGACCGCTGCAGTTGGCGAAGCAAACGGCCATTCTCGACCTTCCATACCCGGCCTAAGTAGGCCTGGTTCACAAGGAAGCCCAGATCTGCCAGGGACAGTGCACTTTAGGGTTTCGACTCGTGCACTCGCACAAGGGCAATCACGGCTTCATGAGGTCAGGCTTGCTTAAAGTTTGCGTATACTTACCTTCGGTTAGTAGGGAATGGAGGAATGGGGTATAATTGTAACTACTATATTACTACCATTCTTCCATTCCCTACTCCCCAAAGGTAAGTGTAGGGCTTTGATGTGAGCCCCAACAAGGGTGGGTTTTGGCTCTTCCTTCAGATCTGTCTTTGCAACCTTCAAGGTCCCCTGCTTCCACATCCTTCCCATGTATTAATGTTTTCTGATACGGGGGTTTCCGAAAATGGGGGACCCTAACATAGTACCCTAATAGTAGGATCCTTATTATAAGGACCCCAAAATATGGTACTCTTAATAAATATGGTACCCTTAATTTTCGGAAACTCCCAAATAGTGCTTCGGGCCCATTATTATAAGGACCGCAGACTCAGAGTAAGGTACCCTTAATCTTCGGAAACCCCCACACCGATGGGGAGTTCGTGCCTCCCGGAGTGGCCTGCGCCTGCCAAGGATCCAACAACTCTACACACCGAACACTATAACCATGTTTATAGAAAGGGCCCAATATACTATAATAATAATACTACTAATAATAAGAATAATAATAATAATTCTGTGACACCTGTCTCTGCCCTTCTTTCCTTAACGATCTGTCATTGGACGAAGGTCGCACGAATGCGTCGAGCTCAGAAGTCAGACTTGGTCTAACTTATAACAGCTTGAATCACTTCAGGTTTCAGCATCAAAGTTACAGACCCTCGGTACTCGCAGCCTCCCCAAAGGTGTCGATCGACTTCCGGGACGTCCTGCCGGTGTTGTCGACTACGAACCGCAAAGCGCCAGGGATGTCGGTGGCCCCGCAAGCACCGTAGCAGTTGATGCAGCAGGGCCCGAAGCACTGTTTGGGAGTTTCCGAAAATTAAGGGTACCATGTTTTGGGGTCCTTATAATAAATAAGGATCCTACTATTTAGGGTACTATCTTAAGGCCCCCTATTTTGGGAAACCCCCATTTACATACGGGTAATTGTCAAAATTAAGGTCCCTTTCTGGGTACCCTAAACAATAGGTGCCGTACTATATTTGGGAACCCCCAAAAAGGGAACCCTAATTTTGACAACCACCCATATCTTGTACCTCTCCGAGCTCCATGGGATGTGCTGTTGTCCGGGCCTGGTGCATGTGTCTGGAGATGCCATGCAGCGCGTATCCTGCAAAAGCACCGAGAAGTGGTTGAAACTTCAAATCGCGCTGCCCGATTATGGCCGATTATGTAGGCGATCTGATATAGAAGCGAAGGCCCCCTATATGATTTCGATGAGAAATCCCCCACACGTTTGAAACCCTATAGACCTCACACCCGACCCGAATAGGCCCTGGCACCCAAAATTTAAACCCTCCTCAGTCGGACCCTAAGAAAACCATGACAGTAGAAGGATGCCCGTAACAGCAAAACAAGCCTCCAGTTGCGCAAGCCCGGGGTTATGGTACTTAAAGGTCCTTAAAATAACCAGTTACTAAGTCCCCCGACCCTCCAAGAGGGGCCGGCCTCTTTGGTGGCGCCGGGAGGTCGGCGAGCCTTTCAAGGAGAAGGGGGAGCCACTGGAGGAACCTTGTACTTTAGGGTAGTGGGGCTTCCGGTTTTTTTTTGACACTCACACAAGGACACAGGGGTGTAGGGTTCATGGTTTAGTTGTATACGTGTTTCGGGGCTTTAGGGCAAGGTTTGGGTATTTTCCGCACTTCTCGATTTTGTGTGCGTGTCAGCCCTGGGCTGAAGCATGCCTAAGGTTATGAGTTGGTCTGCGCAGAGTGGTGCATTTCCCGACTTTTGCTTTGTCCCCGGGGCTAAATCAGTGGCACAGAGTGCCTCACGCATCTCTGCAGAAGGCAAGCTTGCAGACTCGAGTAAATCAGCAGGACATGTGTCCCAAACCTTGCCGGCCCAAGTACTTTGCTGCACAACGGAGACGAACAAGTCACGAAGATTCACGGACTTAGAAGTGCCAGCATTTGCGTTGATCTTCGTCGAGGCGATCTGATAGGAAAGGCTTAATCTCAGAAGTGAAGTGGTTAGGACAGCATCCGACCTAGTCTGTCGGAGGGGAGTCCAGCTATGGCAGGTCTGCCCGCATACGGTCGAGGCCAGGGTCTGGAGAAAAGCTGCAGATTCTTGACAGACTTTCTCTTGGGCCATAAGAGCGAGCATCAACTTCCAATGGCCGCCACGTCGAAGCATCAAACCGAGGATGGAATGTGTCAGGAAGTCTTGCGGGCGTAGATGGTCTTCGCCACAAGCTAGTTGCACGGCCACTTCCCACTGTTGACCAGCAGCACAGGCAGCAAGCAGGGCGTTGTTTGCAACCACATTCGGCTTGAGAACTGTCGACTGGAGATGGTGGAAATAAGTCCTGAGAGCTTGCTGCCAGCGGCTGGATGCTTCTGCCGCCCCAAGCAGTGTGGCGAAAGTGATGATGTCACTCTGGCAACTGCTCTCTTGCAGCTGGCTGTAAAAGGCCAATGCGTGATGCCACCGGCGTGCCTTGGCACAGGATGCCATCATCGTGTTGAAGGTGGTCGTATTGGGCTTGATTAAGCGGTTGGCCATGTGCTTATGCAGTACTAAGACCATTTGCCACTGTTGGCCATCGGCACAGGCGCTCGCAGTCGTGTTACAAGTCACAACATCAATAGGCTCTGCGTTTACTTTCCGCGTTGATTTCCTTGGCAATCCAGCCTGCCTGGTGAATAGCAGCCAAGCTAAGTCCCAGCGTCCTGCATTTCGGCATGCTGCTATCGCAGTGTTCAGCGACATCAAGTCACTGCTGCCAAAGCACGTGGTACTAAGCAACCGAATACACATCGACCATTCAGCACCGAGCGAGCAGGCAGCAAGCAAGGAGTTCAGCGTAACAACTGTCGGCGGCAAGCGCCGCTCGAGTGCTTTGCGCAACACCTCGAATGCATGCCGCCACCGTGGCCCCATGGCTGTGATGATGTTGTTGTAAAGTACGATCGTCGCATCATGTGGTGCTTGCTCCTCCACCTCCTGGAGGAGGCTGAATGCTGACTGCCAGCGGCGTGCCGATGCCATTGCTGTCAAGACCGCGCTCCAAGTCACCGCATTCATCTGCAGTCTGGCAGCTCGTAGTTCCTCCACAAGAACTAAGGAGGCTATCCACTGGGACCCTCTGCTGTACGCAAGCATCTCTGCTCCGAAACTTCGCAGGTCCAAAACCTGAGTCATCGAGGCCATACGGACGCAGCAGGCCAGCGCAATAGCCTCTTGCCACTGAGACTTTCTGGCAAGGGTGGAGATCCAGTACGTGTACTTCTTGGGCGTCAAAGTGGTCAGCTTGACAGAACTCGGGTCCAAGGCGGATTTTCGAAGGAGACTGCATCGCATGCTGCGCCATTCCGATCAGATCATTCATGATGCATTGCAAAGGGCAGAAGCTTAGAGCCAACTTGCTACAGCTTGTGCAACAGCGTGTCCGAGATAGTAAACCTGTGACAGCAACCTACTGTACCCATCCGGTTTGGCTGACTTCTTTGAGAGTGGACTTAGCAGCATGTAATACTGACATTATGCCGTTCTGCCCCTTCCTGCATAACCTTTTGTTGCTTACGCCACTTTTGGCGACAGACTTCTTGTAAACTGCCCGCAAAGGAAGGTCGTTCATCAGCAAAGTCCTGCGACTGTCCTCACCTTTAAAATCGGCGATGCGGTAAGTTGCAGTACAGGCGCTGGCTCAGTGCATGTTCTCAGCGCATCTGGCAATCCGTGCCACCCACACTTCAGCGGGGAGTGCTTTGTGCAAGTCTCTTTGTTGTCACGCTGCATTCTCCACCGGGTAAGCTGGCAAGACCTTGTAGCTTCCATCTTCTGATCTCAAAGACGCCACAGAACAACCGAGCAAAACCATGGCCATGCCTTGGACCGAGTAGATCGCAGCGTGGTGCCGCAGGCTGTGGCATGCTTGCTTCACATCTTGTACATACATACTTGGATCGTGAACTCGCAACTGTATTTTGGCATGGTAGGGTCCTACGAGCTAGCGGATTTGGTGTCAAATTTCAGAACAGGGTGTGCAAAAGCTCGGGCACTCGCACAACTGCTGGCTAGAGCCTTGCTTGTTGAATCCGCATCCAACAGCTTTCTCCTTCTCATCAAAAGCTGAAAGGTATGCTTACATGCATTCCCAGCGCCAACAGTCTTTGACATCTTCGGCACCTCCCCGAGCAAGACAAAGTTCCTTGCAAAGTCCGGGTTCAAGCTTGGGTGCTTCATTATCCGGATCCCGCTTCAGCACTCAAGCAACTACAGCGCTGTTGCTTCGGTTTTCACCCTCCCCCCCAGTCTTGCATGTGCAAGCTCTCACTTGTGCATCTTTTGCCAAGGAGCAGGACGCACATAGGCACAGAGTTGCTGTCGATGATAGCCGTCGCCAGTGCAGCTTTTGAGTCGGGAACCTCGTAGGACGCCACGACGGTGAAGAGCCCCAGCATCGACGCGACGGCGTTGAGCGCAGGCCAAACCAGATTGTCAGGACTGAGTACAGAGGTGTAGCTGCCATCGGAGAGAAGCAGCCGAAGAAGCATGAAACCTTCAAGAAAACATGGGAGCCACTAGAGGAAACCGCGGCGGCAAAGAGCATGATACGGTAGCTTTCAAGACAAGTATTATGGTAGAGCTCGAGAAGAGGCAAGCGTGTATACGCAAGAGCTCTGAGATGTTACCCGCATGTCAAGCTCACGCATCTAGCATGTTGCTTCCTGATTCATCCGACTCTGCAGCCGCTGTTCCGTCATTCTGGACATTACTGTAGCATATTCGCTGAAGTATGCTCCTCCTCTTACTGGGTTTGTCAAGTCTTTATTATAGGTTCTTCGGGGCAAATTTCGCACTCGGGAAGCTTGCATTGAGGCTGAAGCACATGACGTGTCGGTATCCATGAACCACCTTAAAGCAATGTCTCTTCGCAACTGTGGCGGGGACCCAAGATGCCAGAAGAGAACACGATTGCTGCTGATTTTGGGCGAGATGGTAGATCGGCTTCGCCAGCTAAGCGGATGGTGATGATGGAGGCAGCATAGAACATGCAGGACATGCAAATCCAAAGGAAGGATCCTCGGTGGCAGGGAGCATCACCTCCGAGAAGGCTGGCTAGAAGCTAGAAAAGACCTGCTCAAGCAGTCTGTGGCTCGAAATTGGGCTGGCTCCTCGCGTGCTGGCCGCGACAGTGAAAAGAAGCCGGACATGTACAGGACCCCAGCCATGATCAGAAAACAGCCAAACAGCTGCTGTCTTGACAATGTCCTGGATTCCAGATCAATGCCCCCCCCCCCTCCCCTCCTTAAACAAACACGGTGAAGGGATGACTCGATATTATAGGACCAGAAGTGCCATGAACAAGTCTTCCGAAGTGCCGCCTGGTGTCTCTCCGCTGTACACATAGAAGAACATGCCGACAAGAGGCACATTGGCGACCACAACGGCTTGGTGTGGCCCCGAGTTTACCTCATCCAAGGAGAAGCTTAAGCACCCGCAGGTCTGGGCCAATGCGATGAAGGCCCCACTGGAAAGAAACCAGAAGAGCTTCAACGGCGAAGCTTGCCGCGAACAGCTCGCGGTCTCTTTCCTGACGTGGCCACTTGACCCAAAAAGGAGGACAGAGTGGCACTGCTTTGTTCGTTCCGGCCTAAAGCTCTCGCAGAAGGTAGCAAGCAGAAGGCTTCCAAGGGCGCTGATTACGCCCACCATAAGAAGCATTGCAGCCATGTATTCAACAGGTTTGAACACGTTGCCAGCGTAGGCAACAAAGAAGTTGTCGAATCCGAAGAATACCTGGAGAGGAGTTTCAAGCAACTTGTGCGGAATCAGCTGCTTTCGGGTGAGCTTCAAAAACGAGATTCTCTCTCTGAATCTGACAGCCTGGGAAGCTACAAGAACCTCAACCTGTTGAAGCCGAAACAGTAAGAGTTTGCTCTACCTGTGCTCTTCTGTGATCTGAGATTGCACGACTTTTCCCGGAACTCAGCCAACATCTAGTTCTTCGAGTTGCAGAAGCCAAGCTTGCCAACGTGACCCAGCCACGCCTTTCCAGTGGCCGTCCTCACACGGGTTCCACATAAGTTGGTGTGAAATCTGAAGTAGTCAACTTCGGAAAATGCAACTTGAGAAGTATAACCCTAAACCCCCAAACCCATTGCTTCGCTGCCGGGAGCTCGCAACTCCATGACAAGCACGCATAATACCAGGAACAACCACGCAGCTGCAGCTGGCAGCATCCCGCAGCACGTCAGAAGGCGGCACTCGAGACTCTACATGGCGGTATAGTATACTCTAGTCTATCATGATACATGAAAATTGCATATGTATAAATATGCATATAACATAGATATAATAGAATATATTAGTAGCTGTACTGTACGTTCAAGCCCAGCTGTGTCTAAGTGTCGTGCGAGAGTCTAGCTTCGGTGCGTGCGTCACTGTCCTGTGCGCTCTTCAAACTTAACAAGGAGCTGACTAGGAAGCTTGTACACACACACATAGGCAAGCATTACGGACTTTGAAGCAATATCGCTGGAAAGGCTGTTTGAGACCTGACCAGCAGAGAAGAACGAGAGAGAGAGAGAGAGAGGACGAGGATATCCGGGCCCCAAATGATGGCTTCTTGAAGAACAGGCCCCCTAAAATTTTCGAAGTTCTGAAGCTGGTCCGGGCCTTTGCCATGTAATGAGCATATTCTCTTTCGGAAGCTACAATAAGAGTTGGGGTTTGGGATGGTTTTGAGCTTTATGTCCGGCTAGAGTCTGGTTTTGCGTGGCGAGGATACACACGCGTCGCGCGCCTATTCCAAACCCCAGGACGAACCACCAAGAAGCAAACACCCTCATGTCCGAAAGCAGGTGCTTCGGTGTGTAAGAGTTGTCCTGTTACCTCCGCAGAGATCTGCCATAGCTTCTTTGGTACTAGACTGGCACCTGAGGAGCTGTCCCCCCCCCCCGACCCCACTTCAGTGCAAGTGTTGGAGCCAAGTCTAAAGGGAAGCTGAGGATAGCTGAGGAACATCGCACCTGTTGTGCTCACATGAGGGTTTTCATCTCCAATCCATCGAAATCGCCCCGTTGACAGCAGCAGGCCTTCGTGCGGTCCGGGCTTTCAGGCCTGCGGTCAAGGGGAACAAACGAATCTGCGAAGTCGGTACTGTCTCGCGATTATTTTGCTCGCACTTGCTGACAGACCAGCCACTCACTTGCTTCGATGTCAACATCTTCGGACTTGCTACTGGTAAATATTGACTTCAAAAGCACGGGCCTGGCTGCCCCTTTCTTTGGCCGCGCAGGACACACCTTCCGTGCCGCCCGTGAACCCAAGTTAAGGACATCAACATAACGACATGCCGTACCTTCGTGTGAGCATTGAGCACTGAAACCATGTCTTCAGAGTTACGGCATCTGGACATACGCGCAAAAAGGGCAAAAAGAGCTTGGGTCTTTTGCTGCCCACCTCGCTTGCTCAACCTGTTCCGTTCGTGTCATGCCCCGCATGCCCTGAGATGCCCTGCGAATCGCGCTCCAACTGAACTTTGCCAGCGGCACCGCACTGGATTGAAGGCTTCCCGACTTCAGGCGGGGACTCTCTTGCCTGTGCAGAGGTGGAGGCACCAAGCCAACTCAATCACTCACTCATTCCCATGTCTCGAGCACCCCCAATGTCAGCTCGGAGGAAAAGCAAACTGCTCATCCTGGGTGTCAGCAGTGGCTATTCCCGCCTTGCCACCTTTGGAACAGCTGCCTCACAAGAAGCAAAGCGTCAATGCCTGCTAAGGAAGACTTGTGGGGGTGCTGCCTTGGGCGCAGTCATCGCGGCTGGAGTCCTTCATCACTGGCCCGATGATTTAGCCAACAGGTGCAGCACAAGTCCCATGGAATGTGTCTTTCGACGCCACTGCCGAACTGTCCGCCACCCCATCTAACGCCGGAAACCGAGGCGCGAAGGCATCAGGCAAATGTGCCAACCGTAGGTCCGTCGGATTTGGGTCGCTGAGGACAGTGGTGCAGTCCTGGACATCTTCGGGCTCTCTGTCCGACTGGCTTTGGTGCGAGGGCTGGCCGAGCGCCTGCAAGCATGCACATCGAATGATCATAAGACCACTTGGAGCGTCGGGGGACTTAGTAAGTAGGTCGTAAGCAGACTTATAAGTACCCTTTTCTGCATCCAGCCTGCAACGCCTCTGCTGGGAAGTAAATGAGCGACTAAAGACTTATAAGTACCCGAAAAGGGACCCTGATTGGGGTTATGGTACTTATAAGTCCCTAAAATAACCAGTTACTAAGTCCCCCGACCCTCCAAGCATGCAGCTTGAGAAAGGTACGCACGCTATGCGTTAGAAGGAAGATCGTTCAATGTCGAAGCTCAGGCAACGACGCAACGTGCACCTCCTCAGAATCGTTCGCGGTCAATGGGCCATCCGCTTTGCTTTGATGACTGGGCCGTCAGTTACATTGCCTGAGCTCCGTGCACGTGGAGAGGCCGCAGCCTTAGAGCTCCAAGGGAAACATGAAGCGTCGAAGGCCTTCCCACTTGCCGGCCCACTCCTTGTAGACGCAGTTTCGGAGCTGGGGGATGTGCCGCTGATGGCAAAGTCCGAATTGGTGAGCCTGCGCTCCTGTTGCATGACGGGCATGGTGTGTGTGTGTGTGTGTGGGGGGGGCAAGCATGCAGGCTCTTTCCGATACAGTACCTGCCTGCATCAGCGCCTTTCTCCACTCAATGGAAGTTGCTCCCTACCGCAAAACCTGACCGTGACAAGGCAAAGCCCAAAGCGAATCCCCATCCTGGGCGAGGTCTGGAGGTTGCCAGCCTAGGCTTTTTGTGAGCTTCTCTGCTTGCAGGCCCTACATAGTATAGAACTATAGGGTTCGTTGCCTCCTGAGTTTAGGGTTTAGGCCCTACCTCGACACCGGATTGTATTGGATCCCCGAGTATACTTGCCATATAGATAGCTTTTGCAAACCCGCCGCAGGCCCTCACCTCAACCCTTTTTTAAGCACGGACTTGAAGTGTATGCCGGCAGCGAGGCTCTCTGCCCTAAACCCTAAACTGCACAAGCTGTACAAAACCTACAAAACAACACATAAGCCCTATGAGCCCTATATAAACCCCAAAAACTACATAAGCCCTATATAAGCCCTGAAAGAACCCCAAAGCCTCACCTCAAGCTTTCAGTCCAAATAAGTCTCCCACTGCCCGCCGACCTGCAGAGCGTGGTGGCCTCGGCAGGGAGCGTTCCAGCGAAATGAGGGGGAAGTGGTTAATCTATCCACACGAACAGATATACATGTATGAAAATACTGTATGTATATATATATATAATTAAATAAAAAAATATAAGTACAAATTATACATATATTTATATATTTATTTATATTTATTTATATTCACATATTTATTTGTATTTATATATAGAAAACAGATAGATAGACAGAGAGAGAGAGAGAGAGAGAGAGAGAGAGAGAGAGAGAGAGACAAAGGGAGTGAGGCCCCAAAGTATTACGGGATCTATTGTTTTAAGAATGTCCAAAAAAATATGTAAGAGAAACACCCCGTGTTAGGAATCGCCGTTCTGAGGCCAGGACGCTGGTGTGGAAACAGTATGCTGGACATGCACGGCCGACGGCACATTGGCCTTGATGATGTACATGCTTGGGGGTTTGGGGCTCAGTGCCTAGCATGTAGATAGAATGCGGGTGCAGGCTTTGATGGAAAACTATGCCGGTACCACGACTCACACTTCCAATGTCTCGTGAGCAGCTCGGGAGCGTACGTAAGCCACGACTCTGCGTGTTGTTCTGCCACCTGACTCTGCATTCGACCCGTGATGTCGACCTTTGCCTTGCTCTCCCTATATGTATTTCCGAGTGGAGGCATGGCTTCATATTGCTTTACAAGCAAGCTTCGCGAGTTGAACCCAGGGTGCAAGTACAGTTGCTCCCTAAAGGATGGCTACGGCGGCTACGGCCTACCTCTTTCTGCTTTTCGTGCGAATCCATGATCTTACAGGACGACGACTTATCGGTCGGGTTTCAAGCGTAGTACGGCCTGGACGATATTGGCTGATCTTCTCGCTTCCGTGCTTTCACGGCTGGAAAACACAGCAGCCTGGTCCGGACACCCTGTTTGCTACTGGACTCAAGTCTTGTCAGACCACGGCCCCCAATCAGTCGATCGGACCCTAACCCCCAAAATCCCGAATATGATTTGGTCTCCGGCTTTGTGCAGATGTTGAGCTGCTGCTGGTCGACCTGGTTCATGTCGAGAGCATGCTCTTATTGCCAAGACCCCCCTTGTGCCCTCAAATATGGGTATACTGGCCCTAATAGTAGTTCCTCGTTTAGGGTATCAAACTGGGGCTTCTGCCGGCAAAACCTTCTCGATGCCCCGATAAATATGGGTAAGTACCGAGACAATTCAACCCGAGCAGCGCATTGGATGGCAAAGCCGTGCTCGCAGAGCCTTAGCTGCTCTCTTATCTCTCTTAGGAGTCTTAGGGCTGTGCAGCAGTAGAAATCAATAGGTGTGGCACGGTAGCTGAGCTTCACATATGGCGTGCATTGCTTTTCCGGGGTCTTCTGCAAGCTGTCGATCTGTGCCCTAGCAACTGAAGGCACTCTGTGAAGTACCAACATGCCAGCTGCACAAAGATAGGTCAGTGCGGTGATTCGTCTCACGCCAGGTCAACCATGATCCAACAGCTAAAAACCAGCCCTATGCAAGAGTTCGGATTTAAGATTTCATCATATTTCATCACATTATCAACTTCGTTGCCTGCGTGCTGAGAATCACCACTACAGTTCTCGGTGGGGCAGCCAATCACCGACCCCACTCGCTCTTCTAGTCCTGAAAGGACGAGGCAGCCTGCCACCAGGGGCTTCGAACACTATAGCATATAGGACATAGGACAATGTAACATAAAAGAACTTCGGGAATCGAACAGAATATGACATACTGTAACTTGAGATTTCAAACGTGGGGACCCTAACATAGTACCCTAGATGCCCTAGATAGTAGGATCGTTATGATAAGGGCCCCAACATAAGGTACCCCTAATCCCTAATTTTTGGAAATTCCCATTTCCTGCTTTCGCGACTCATCCTGCTGCCTGCCTTCGTGGGGCCTCAAACGACGATGGCGGCACCCGATCCGCGCCCCCACTCGGCCTGGGAGTGCTTCATCCGCTAGCAGAAACAGGGAATGCCGGATGGCTGTAGAAGTGTACTTTACTTCTAGGGTCCTTGTGATCAGGATCCTGCTGGGTTTTGGATCTGTCTTATAGGGTCCCTCGTTTTCCGTGTCTCCTAGATCCGCTTCTCTGTCCAGGACACATCGCTGGAAGAGCCAACAACATCATCCTCGATGCCACCTTCGTTCGTCCCACGCCTCGGCTGAGAAGAAAGCACATTGCCGAGACGATGCACCGTAGTTGCTGCCATCCCGCCTGATGCGGAAGAAGCCCTTCTCACCCCAGTAAGGGTTCCAGGAATTTGCGACCTGCAGCACAGGGAGCTTGACGACCCTTTCTGATCGGTGACGTTTCGCATGTTGGTGCTCCCTGTGCTCGTGCGGGCTCAAGGCAGTCCAGGGCGCCGGATTTTGCATGAATCGCCCTAAAAAAGCCAGTCCACCCCCATTCCGCAAGCCGTCTATTTCTGAGCTCAGCGCCTTCCAGTACTTCACGCCGCCATCGACGCCCCAGCCAACCTTTTTTGAGAAGCAGGAGCTGACAAGAGCCACAGGCGAACACATCGAAACACAGACATTTCTAGCTGCTTGTTGCTGGTTAAGGCACCATTCGAACAGCATGTCCTCCTGCCATCTCACCACTCACGTGGTGGTAGATCCTGATGTGCAGCTGTTTTAGAAATTTCAGTCTGCAGGAGCGATGCACAGTGATTTCTACATTCGCCTGCCCCATTAACTTACCTCACTCCAGCGGAGATGCCCGGAGGTGTAAAGCTCGAAGTCGGAGAACACCTGAACTGTACTAGGTTGTCTGGTAAAACTGTCGACACTTCCAAGGAAGACATAGGAAGAATTGATAGAATCAGAAGACATTGCAGAAACCCCTGTATGTCTGGCACAGTGAATGCGGTCTCCACTGGTCCACCAGCCACGATCATCTGCTGGATGGCCTTTCGGGGTTGTGTTGGCTTTTTGTGAGCTGTTTGTTTTTTCTCCTGAGTGCTCAGGGTTTGGGGTTTCGACGCTTACACTCGCATGCCCATCTGGTTTAGAGGCTACATAGGGCTGTGCACCTTCATATGCTTCCAGCATCGCATTCGATCTAATGGTGCAGTCGGCCTTCTCGCCCGATGCTGTCTGCGTCTTGCCCTTGTAGTAGTACTTGTCCTGTCATGCTGAGGAAAGCACGGAACATTGCAGGCCCATGCTTATACATATATATATATATAGAAATATATATATATATATATATATATATAGCATCGTATAACGGAAGATCATGTATGTCTGGTTGGCTCTCTTTCGGACCAGAATCTATAGCTCTTTATGGGGCCTCAAACTGCGCTGTAATTATACGAGGTTGCAAGTCAGCCTAGTATCGAATTTCGTTGCCCTTCATGTCAACTGCCTGTGCGGCTCCGCTACGGCTGACTAGGGCGAACAGAGTCTATGGCACACAGGCACGCGGATCCCACGCGCATGACGTCTTGTACGTATACTCGGTGCAGCCGAACATGCTGGGACTGAAGAGAAACCGATGTCGGCGATTCCAGGATGAATGCTTCAATTTCAAGTGGAGGCTCCCCCGAAGAGAGCCGACACATGCGAGTTTGCAGAAAGCAGGGCACATATGTTAGCGTTGTTACATGATGTTTGCACTCGGGCCATGGTTCATTGCTGAACGATGATGCCAAGCGCCGTGAAAGCAGCCAAGCAGGCATGTTGCCCCCAGTATCACCTTGACGGTGCGCCTGGTGATCATCTTCGCGCTTCCGCTTCTGGAACTTGTACCCCTCTTCGCTGGAAGGGGCAAGTGCACGAGTTTTCCAAGAAATCTCAGTGGCGACTTGACATGGGCCGACGCATACATGCACACCGGTGATTTGGAGATAAGCTGACCTCAGTGACATTGTTGCGCAGTGTCTGCCATTCACACCTAAATACTGCGCCGCTTGAACCGTCGCCGCTCGTGAGTCGTCCTTTGTGTAAGACATCAGTGTGGACCCGAAGACAGTCCAACCAAGCAGATGCTGTGCACCAGGACATCAGTTTCAGTTCAATTACCCAGCAAAACAAGGAAACTAACTTGCTGACTTGCTAGCTTGATGTGGTCGTTTCTGACAATGGGGGTACCTTATTCCGGGTCCTCATAATGAGGATCCTACTATTTTTTGACACTCACACTCGGACAAAGCCTGGCAAGGTCAGTATCGTGGTACTATATGTGGGTCCCCTAGAACTCCCATGTCCTCCTTGAAGTCGTTGTGAGGAGCTTTGGCTGTGGCGTCGCACTGCGTTGGTCCAGGTGGCGACTCCTGCAGTACATGACGGTTTAGGGTTTTGGGTTTAGGGCTGCACTGAGACGCGGCTTTCCAAAGACAAAAACAAGTTTAAACCTGCATTTGAACTCATCCCTCAAGGTCAATAGCAAGACCGGTATTGAAAGGGCACCTGGATAAGATACCCCCATAACTTTAAGAACACAGCGCGCGCACACACACACACACACACACACTAACACTAAGCAACAACACCAATTAATGTGGGATCCCTGATGTCGGAGCCTTGATAATTTAGTAATCATCGTTGGACAAGGGTTTGGGAAAAATGTACTATACAGAAACGGCGACAATCATCATGCGACAATAATGAGAGGATTTTTTGAGAACATTGTTAGAACCCTGATAAAAGCAAGCACTTACATATGCAATGAACTCTAAACCCTTTTGCAGCTGGTCTCTGACCCCTAAAATCCTAAACCCCCAACCCCTAAACCCTCAAAAACCCTAGATTAACACTTAAATATGCAAGCCCCCCTCTCTCTCTCTCTCTCTCACAGGCACTCGAAGCGTCAGGCCTGGTCCTATAAACCCTCATTAACTCCCCCATGTCCTCAGAGGGGCAGCCGGGCTTGCCCTCAGCAGGGTACGGATCCTGGCAAGTTCTGGCGACGGAAAGGTTTCGACGCTCACGTTCGCACAAGGCAAAAGGTTTCCGGTTTTGGACAGCGAATTTGTTAAAATGCTGCCCCCCCGCTTTTGCTATGCTGCTGTTGCGTTTTGCTTTTTGTTCTTGGGGTTTGGGGGATTAGGAGTGCTTTGGGTTTTACCCTCCTGCCTAGCAAGGACAAAGGGGGATTTGGAGTTTTAGGGTCTAACAACTAAAGCAGTTGGTATGTTTTGAACCAATTACTATCCAAGCTAATATGAATCTTGGAATCAGCGCGAGACTGTGAGAGGGATTTTTCTTTGCCTCGTGAATTCGCCAGGACTGGCGGCAGGGCAGGGTATGAGATGGCTTTCCGGCTGATGCTTCGGAGCTCAAGACCAGGTAGTAGATGCGAGGTGTCTAAGGGTTCAGGTTACAGAGGTTTGAGGGGTACCTTGCCACATGGAGCATCTTAAATCATTCGAGAAGTTGTGTCAGCCTGAGCTCTGTGTAACCTCCTTAAACACAACGATAGAACCGATGGAAGTTACTCCGCTCCTAAACTTGATCAGCAAAGCCGGACCAAACCCCTTGACCCCTCGGAAGTGTTCCTCTGTAAGTACCCCTCATGACCTGTAGGATCCCTTCTACTATGCCCTACCTAAACCCCCAACCGTAGGTCAATGTCCCAACACCTTGAAAAGTCTCTTGGTCTACCTACTTTCGGAGATTAGGTATTGACTTGCCATAACCCCTGTAGCACCCGGTACAGGATCCCTCACAGGAGCACTATAGAACACCTGTAGCCCTATAGATCCTTTTTGGGATCCCATATAGGCCGTGTTTTGCCCGGCCTTTCCCTGAGGACCATGGTGGTGGCAATGCGGCAGCGAGAAATCGCTGCAAAGGCCAGACCCGAAGGGACCTGTTCCTGGTTTCGACTCGCCCACTCGCACACTCTTACGACGGCAGGCACGGCCTGATTAGGCCCCAACTTCTTGGTCTAGGATGTACAGGAGAGTTTGGGGTGTAGGGTGTTGATATAGGGCTTACACTCTCGCAACTCGGACTCCGCCAGACTAGGTCTCTCGAGGACTTGGGGTTTATGACCAAGGAAGAAAGGAGGTGTGGCTTTGGGTTGGCTGTTAGGACGGTGTCAGGGATGGGCAGTACAGGCCCACACACATGACGTGATGGGACGCTCAAAAGGGCCGAATGTGTTGACTCTGAAAGATGTTGTGGTAGAGTACCATTAGGATCAGTTTTTCAAAGGGTTTGCTTCAAATCACCCAGACGCACCCAGCTGGAAAGCGTGGGCCTTTGTACTGGCCGCCACTCACAGCACCGGTGTCCTGGAATTCAATGCTCATCATCGCTGACATGCCGCCTGCAGCCAAAAGCGCTCCTTGATGTATTGCCACGGTGTATCAATCTGGCCACCATCGCAACCATCCGGGTTGGAATTGAAGCACACATCCTGCAGCTAAGCCGACAACCTAGCCCGACAACCTAAAGCCCTTCCTAACTTCCAAACCAGGCGAGCTGCTTAATATAGGGGCCTTATAATTACCTATACTGTTTTGGGGGTTCCTTACTACAAATATGGTATATTACAACCCCAAAACCCTATTCTAATTGTTGCGGCCCTTATGTTAACAATCCTATTCCCCGTCTGATGCAAGCCTGGGCCGAGATGGGGATCATCGTCTTGCCCTTCGTTGCAATGCACATTCCTCAGGACTCTCCAGCTGCGCGTTTGCTGCTTCGGAAATGTAGCTTCGTCGGAGCAGCACATATTACTCTAGTAACTCTACGTCAAGAAACGGTCAGAGGCAGCTTCAGCCCCTGCGAAGGCCCAGCAGCAGCCACCTTGGGTGGTTCGTTGCAAACCCAAAACGCTTCAAGGAATCGGAATAAGCTTTGAGGGTTTCGGGTATAGGATTCAGGGCTGACTCCGGATGGCCTATAATGCCAACAGAATACCTCAAAATCTGCATTCGAATGTGAATGCACGTAAGGCAACCGCAGTTAGACTGGTCGCGGATGTCCTTGGATGCAATCTCGTTCAATTTCTCATAGGAGCTCACTTGAGCCAGGACATATAAGTGCTAAGCCCGAGTCGTTGATCATCTTCTCACAATCCGGCCACTGCGCTGCGGAGTCGAAATCCTGTGCTTCGGTGTGTTCAGGGCTTCGGCGCTCACGCTCGGACAACCCAGGCGAGGCATATGGTTCGGAGTCTGCTGAGTGAGACAGATCTAAAACGGAGCATCTCAACAACCTCATCCTCATTGTGTCAGGGACAAAAGGGTTTAGGGGTTCTAAAGCACTCTGCACTGTTCTTGACCCATATCTCAAGCATCTCCGACCCTCCAAGCATGAACCGTTGACTTGACAATATGCATGCAGAGTGCATTGAGTTGTTTGTTCAATCCCGAATAATGAGGCCCTATAATCTTATAAGACTCAAACCCTACCCAACAAAGCACGAAACCCGACACCCAATACATCCTGATTGCCCAACTAAGCTCCTCCGGGATATCTCCGTCCATCTCTGCGACGAAGCGGTGGATTTCTCCCCGCTTCACCGCCGACTCGATGGACTTCGTCGTGTTGCCTGCGCTCGCTTCTGCCGCCACTCATGATTTCTCGGCCTTGGGGCTTACCTAATAACAATAATAATTATAATTATTATTAGTATTATTATTATATACTATAATATAATATAATATAATATACTATAATATAGTATACTATACTATCCTATGCTATAATATAATATAATATAATACAATATAGCAAAATATAATATAACCTCATCTCATATAATATAATATATTATACTAGAATATATATAATATTGGGGCTCAGAGTCTAAACTAATCAGCACAGCGGTAAAATAAGCAAAGGTATTTGTGCTCCATATAAGTCTATCGGGCTAGGGTGCTTCATGGGGGCCCTCGACTGACGGCAGAAGAAGCCGTTGCAACCCTAAGCCGCGCACCCTAAAAGCCCTACAAACCGCAAAGCCCGCAAGTACAAGCCCGTACGGCCGAAAACCTTCAACACCTTACATCCCACAAGCACACCGCATCCAGGCCTGCTGAGGGTCCCTGAAGCCCTAAACCCCAAACCCTAAACCCCCAAAGCCCTTCGCAGCTGGGCTCTTACCCCGAAAGCCCTACAGCCCTTTTTGCATCCAGGCCTCTTTAAACCCTAAAACCCTGCCTCTTTTTGAGTCACGGGCTGCGGCCGGTACTTCTGAAGCCCGGAAGCCCTAAACCCCGAAACACTACTTGGAGGGTCATGGGACTTAGTAAGTAAGGTTATAAGTACCTTAATTGGGGTTATAAGTATAGTTACACTAATTATAACCCTAGTTACTAAGTCCCATATCCTTTAAGTACAAACCCCAAACTGGGCCCTTTCCCGGCCCGGCCTTTCACGCCGCAAAGGCTCTTCGAGGCCCCAGGCGCCTCCGTGGCGAAACGCTCCACGGCACCAGGGGTCCAGGTAACTCCTGTGCGCCAAGGGTGAGTTTAATAAAAGGTGGCTTTTGAGCTTAGTTTAATATAGGGGCCTTAGAGATAAGAAAAAGGTTTTTTGGCCCTTGACTGCCTTTCCAGTCAGGGTCTCAAACGACAGTACCGAGCCAGCAAATGTAGTAGGATGGGAGGCAGGGGACACTACAGTATCAGGCCCCTATAGTAGGGTGTGGGCCCTGATTACCTGGAGAGCTTCTTCTGTCGACCTGTTGACATAAACGAAGTGCACCGGAACATCTGGTGGCGTTGACCCTTGGCGTCGAGGGAAGTGTACGTACTTTATGTCAGAGCTATTCCCAAGTTCACTTCCACTTCCCTACCAAGTTTGAGCCTTCGGACGAGCCGTAGCCAATAGATCGTTCAATAACTCGATAGAGGGTACTCGGTAGAGGGTGCATCCAGCCGTCGTCACTTGCACCAAGCCTGGCGTGCGCTGGATTTCTGCAATCATGGCTGCCCGATCGGGATGCACCTGCTTTGGGGTTTCGGGTGGTGTGTTTTGTTAGAAATTAGGCTATGTAGAGTGCAACACTTACCCCAAAGTGTGTATGAACTGCATTTCTCAGCATGCAGGGATGCACCTGAACTGCTCTGAAGCTTTGAGCGCGACATTACTGGGCCTCCAAAGATGCAACGCCCAAGAGGCCGAAACCAAGGTGCAGCGCCCGATACATGACCTCGGCTCAATTCGCGGAGAGTCCAACATAATATAGGGGCCTTATTAATTAGAATAGGGTCTTGGGGTGCGTGATACAATTTTCTATTCCCCCACAACAGTCTAGGTAATTATCAAGCCCCTATATTACATACCCTGCCAACGATATGGATCGGTGTGATTGTGTGTGAGTGCTTCAATGGGTCACGACGGTGACGGCACAAAGGTGCGGTCATCCTGAGCTGAGGACAGCACGAATGACAGGGGCGGGAAATTCCGGAGTTCTATCCTGTAGCTAGAGCCTGAAACTTGCTGATTCTCGCAAGGCTGGCTTTCAGTATCCAGTATCGAACATGCTGCCTGCACTGCACCGCAGTCTTGCATACCCTGTTGCACAGGGACCCGTGCTTGCCATCCTCCACTGTGTGGGTGATCCTTGTGAGATCTCTTGTGGGGTGCATTCGCTGGGCGAGAATCACGAACAAAGTGAGAGTGCTAACTAACGCATTATTGTCGCTTTGTTAAGGGCAATCTGGCTGGAAAAACGTGCGACCACGGAGAATCTGCCGTTTTCGAGCTTCGAGAGCAGTGCGGCAGGTGTGCGGCATTTTGCGAAAAAAATACACGAAAAGCGTTGGCTAAAACAGCGTTCGTCAGCCAGAGCAAAGCCAAAATCACACCTCATGTTCGGTCATGTTCCGCAGATATGGCTCAAATGCACCACGAATCGCGCAAAGGCTCGACGTAGCAGCGCAGCACGGATGTGTTCGTTCTGGTGCGCCCAATTATCTTCACCCAAAAGGCTTCCGAACCCGCCTGCCAAGGCTTGTGCAGATGCTGGACACAGCTATTGAAACAATCAGTGCGCCGGAACCTGAGACTAAAGACAACAAGCCTGTTCCACCGGTCTGTCCCAGAACACGACTGTACTCTCTAGTTGGGTTTGCGCATGTCCTTTGCGGGCATTCGCCGTCTTCACCTGCCATTAGCCAGGCTTCCAGTCTCTCCACACGCGCCGTCTCTGCAAGCCCGCCTCGGTCCTTCTGAAGACCTGGGGGTTGCGGACAAGCCTGGGCTTCAGAAAACGCACATGTATCACTCGAGCTATACAAGCAGACAGCAGACCCCTAAAACCTCCTGCATTTTGGGAGCAAAAAGTGTGCTACAACATTTTTGGGATGTTGTATAGGTCTCGCAGCCCCAAGTCCCGAGCGTCACATCGCGTGGCAAGCGCGCTTCTGGTGGGGATTTCGGCTCCTCTCCGGGAGTGACGGCAACCGTAGGTGGGAGTTTCCGAAAATTAGGGGTACCTTTTTTTGGGGTACTTATAAAAAGGATCCTACTATTTAGGGTACTATATTCGGGTCCCCTATTTTCGGAAACTCCCAGGTGGCTTAGGTTACACGGTTCAGGGATTCGACGCTCACACCCGCACCAGGCAGGCAAGGCTCCGCATAGTCCAGGGTACCGGTTTTTTCCCTCGCTCATGACAGGAATCAAAGTCCACAGTACCCTTTCTTTGGGGCTTTCAATTTTTTTTGAGCGGTTCTTTTGTTCAACTGTCGTGTCGGGTTTCGGCCTTAGGTTTTTCAAGTTGAACGAGGGAGTATCTCATTCAAGAGTCCATATTGGAAGGATCGTACTTGCTGTCTACATATATATATACATATATATATATATGTATACATATATATATATATATATACGTATATATGTATAGATATGGCTATACAAATTATATACAGCTGTTATCATGAAAAATGTAATGTAAATATGTGTCTCACCTTAGCGCCTTAGGGACCCTTGTGCTCTAGAAGTCTGACAGACGAGTGCACCCCCGAGACGATTCGACGCTTCCCAGCCAGGGGCTCCTCCGAACTCGGCCTCGTCGTTAGGAGCACGTTTGGGCCGCCTCCAGCGCCCAGAATGAGGGGTATGTAGGATACACTTTTTAAAAGGGGGATGGGGGAACAAGGGGGGTTAGGGCTTCAGAAGGGTTTAGGGTAGAGGCTTGAGGGTTCATGGGTCACAAGGCCAGCCAAAGGTACTTCTGATGGCGACAAAAATTAGCACCTTGACTGGGCTTATTATCGGTACTGAACAAGCAGTAGCGTAAACATGCTACAGCTATGTACTTAGTTGTCCAGCACCCCCGGGAACCAAAGGTTCACACAGGATTTGTAGTACCCCGAACAAGGTTACAAAGTTAGCTACTTTACTACGCAGACTACAGCTACCAAACCTATCAGTGAGACGGAGACCAGACCTCCCCACGTGCCTTGGCGTCGCCAGAAGAATGGTGGCGAGGCCTCTACCAAATGCGCGCCGAGAGCGAAATGATATACTCTGACGATGACAATGATACAACATGAATATGATACTTGTGATTGTGATATATTTTGACGAAGGTATATTGTGAATATAATTGTTACTGTTGTACCCAATGCTTCGACCCCCTTCCAAACAAAGTACCTGTGCCTGTGCTAAGGCCGCATTCGGATTGTGGCCACCTGACCGCGCAGCAGCTCTGCAAACATCCTACGTCTGAACACGCAGCAGTTTCAGTTCAGGTTACCTAGGCCCAAGTCTTTGAAGCACCTAGTGTCTCTGCCTCTGCAGTCTTGAAGATGTCAAGGCGCAATGTCGGCAAGCCATCCCCTCATCAATCCATTTGACGTTCATTCAGGCCCCGACCATTCGATTCCACTTCCTGCAAACGCACAGGCAAACAGTGGATGAATCGCTCCGGCTCAGGATGTGACAGGTGCATCCCACCCACGCGACTTGTTCCCTTGTGGGTCCTGTGTCCGGCTTGCAGGTGGCTCGGCACGTCCTCATTGCAGGGCGAGAACTATGATCCTGTGGGCTGCAAGCTGCCACTCCAAAACGCCCCTCCCCCCCCCCCCTCAACCCAGGCCATCTCAAGGATCGGTGTCCTTCGTCTGCGCCTTCCGCAGCTTCCTGCACTTTCCTTGGGGAGCCTTGGCATTTCTCAAGCTTCCTGGGCTTCACGGAGCATTCGGCACAGGACGAGTCGGCTGCGTGGAGAGATGGTGAGCTGGCTGGCCGGGGTGCAGCAGTCCTGTCAACAGCTACAGTATAGGCCTTACCCAGAGGCTCCATAGTAGCTGCTTTTTGGGGCTCATATTTACATTCCTTAGATTCCTGTAAGGGTAATCCGCAAAAGGAACTACTATGGAGCCTATGTGCAAACTCAACATCGACCTTTGCCCCGATCCTCGGCCACGGGGAGAGAACGACTGCCTCATCAGTGGCGCTAGCAACGACGGGGTATGCAAATCATTCCGTCCCAGTCACTGGCGTGCACTTTTGTCTCTGTTTGAGATCCACGTGAGAGGGTGACATGCATCTTGCAAAGCGCAAGACGGATGGATGCCTGCCTTCGGCAGGGATCAAAACATGAATTAGCCAGTCATCCACGAAACCTCTTGAAACTACTGAGGCCAGCGGGCTTGTTACTTTTCTCCAACCCAATGTATCAAATGATCAGGGTGCATGCCAAAACTTCCCAAAATGTCGGCATCTAGCTTGGGCATGTTTAGCGATGTGCTGGTTCGGGCACATGTTCGGCGTGCGCATGCCACGCCAGAACCTGCATCCTCCTCTGCCCAGGCCCGACACAATTTCTGGAGGTTCAAAACGCCCTGGTCTGTTGGCACCAAGGTGGACGGCACCCGCCGGTGCTCTGCATCTATCAGCTTTTGTTCCCAGTTGCCTGTAATGGTGCCTGGGCCGAAGGGCTCGTCAGTTCTGTGACGCAGCTCAGCCCAGCCCGTCCACGTAATGCACAGGCAGCCAGGCTCGTCGGTGGCGGAAAAGTTCCCCTCAGCGATCTCCCAGCAGCAAGTACAGCTGTAATCGCCTGAGTCAGAGCAGGGGTGAGCGGTGGGGTCAAACTGGGGCTCTCCCCCCAACGTCTACTTGTAAATCACCACCAACCCCCAAATTCAACTTAAAGGGTGCTTTTCGGAATGAGTGGAGTCGCCGCTGTGTTCCATGTAGTCGCTCTCGTAATGGTATTTTGCTAGAATCCGCCCGTCCGGAAGCAGCAGCACATGGCGGGTCGACTCGGTGCCCCCGAACCCTCCTCCACTGAATCTCTGCTTATCCTCCTGCAGCAGGATTTTCATCCCCTTCTAAGGGTTATATGCTTGAGTCGAGAATGAATCCAACATGCCGCGGCTCCTTCGCCAAGTTCAGACAGCACGTCAGGTGGGGGAAGCCAGGCGGTGCATCCTGATATCATCCAGCTCTACTTCAAGCTGGTTCCCACACAATTTCACACACTTTCGCCCACTATTTCACCCGACTCGGGATGCCAGGTTCCCGTGTCCTGAATGGCCCCGAAACTTCTCAGCACCTCGATGGTGTCATCTTCGAGTCCGGCCAGCAAGCCTGCGTCCACCCGAACGAACAGAAGACTGATCGTTGCTTCACCTCGAGTCAGGACAATGCTCGAAAAAGGCGCTTTTTCTTTGATTTGGGAATTTTTTTCCAGCTGCAGTAAAGTTGGGGAGCTCCTGTGGAGCGGGCTACTGTCTAAAAAGGGTGTATAGGGTTTAGAGGTGTAGGATTTATGCTCTCGCAACTCGGACAAGCCAGACGAGGTCTCTGAGTCGGCAACTACTCAAATACTATAAGTCAGCGGCAATAGTGTTTGGGTTTGGGAATCGTAACTTAGGGATACCATGCACTGTTTGCTGTGCCACACACTCATACATACTCAAGCTTGGGAACCATCCACACGCAGCTCGGCAGAAAGATCCAAAGACTCCTCGGGATGTCTGGTGGGAGCTACAAGCGAAAGAAGCGAGGTCAAGCTTGCAGCTCTCCATGTTGAGTGATCGCTGGGTAAGTCTCATCACGGACTGAGAGCGGCCTGCCATGGGGCCTGGGTTTTTTGAGTACTGTGTTTCTTGGTCTCATATAGAATTGTACTATGCACGCATGCATTTACGCATGCTAATGTTCACAAAAGTAACATTATGCAGTACGTATGTGCATGTATATATACGTGAATGCGCAGGCATGTTTGTTCTTACAGATACACATGCACGCAAGCATAAACTCAAAAGCCCGTACATGTGTTTTTGTATATTTGCACTACCGTGGAATGCTCTACCACCACAATCCACTAAGCTGCTTCAGCTGCTTCCAAGCGAAATGAAAGAATCATTTAAGTAGTTGTCTCATGTCTCATTCCAGCTTGTTTTAACACGTTAACCTACCACGTTAACACCCGGTAATCTAAGGTGCAGAGAAGGTCTGTCTGTTTGCGAGAGTACTACGCAGTTGAGTCTGCACTGTAGTATTTCAGCATGTCAGTACGACTTGCTTCTGTGTCGTCTCAGACCTATCCGCAACCCCAATGACTATCGCAAAACTGTATATATTGCTGCCAGTAGGGGAACACATATTATACACATCTGGTTTTATGGCGCTGTAACTAACGATGCACACAGAAACCCGGGCATGCCTTCGTTAAGTCATACAGGGATGCATACACTCACAAGCCTATGCATGCACTGCTTCTGTGTTTGCACTACCATGGTACGCTCTACTGCCTCAATACGAAGTGCACGGCAGATACGCCAGCGCTTGTAAGCGAAATGACATGAAGTATTAAACATGAGTAATTACTTCATACATCGTTCCAGCGTATTCTACAACTTTAACAGCCGGTACTCTCGGGGGCAGAACCGACTTTCCGTGTTCTGATTCCCCTATGTCTTGACTCGTTGAAGGCTGTGGCGTGTGAGTACTCAGTTCAATGTTTATTGCAATATCTCAAAACAGCCGCAATGACTTGCTATAATGGGCCCCACAACAACGCACAGCTAATGTGACCGTGTCAAGACGGTATTTCTGCAAATCGGCGAAAACATATACACTGTACACGTGTGCTTTGTCTCTTGTGCGGTGCCATAACATATCCTGTCATAGATTGTATCAGGGTTCTACAATATCTCTAAGTTGCCAGGTTAAGAGGTCGGTGACATCATCCATGCTGAGACCAGTATGTATATGAATGTACAGATGGATGGGTAGACAAATAGATAGGTGGATAGATACATGGATAGGCAGATAGATAGATGGAATATGGTCAGATAACTTATCTACATGTGCGTCTGCAATATTTGTGTGTATAAAAAGGCAAAGTCCACGTGTAGAAGGGACTTTCTAGCACCTGGTATCTATTCTATGAGATGGTGTGGCAGTATATGACCACGTGTTCAAGAGATAAGTCTCCACGATTCCTTATGGTCGAGGCCCATCTGGATGCCTTCCATCCTCGCGATTCCCCTTGATATATCCCTATGGTTTACATGGTGCTTGGTCCATTGAATTCTTAGCACACACCATGAAACCGGAAATAATAACAAATTCAGGTCGTGTGGTATGCTAGATAAGCTTGGCATGTTCTTCCATATCAAACATGCAACAGGTCAGGATATCAAATTTACGGTAATGTTTGTGCAATTGGTGTGGGTTCTCGTGTTCTCCGTCTTGGTTGGTGTCTGGCGCACGCATGGGTGGGGTTAGAATAGCTACTCATACGGCCCCCGAGTGCCTGTAAACAACAGGATATTGCTTATAAGCAGAAGCAGGGCCAATAAGCAGAAGGCCGCAACCGGCCTGCTTGCAAGCAGACAGCCTGCTTATAAGCAGCCGGATTGCTTATAAGCAGACAGCCTGCTTCTAAGCAGCCGGATTGCTTATAAGCAGAAAGCCTGCGTGGAATCATAAGCAGCCGGACTGCTTATAAGCATCACTTAAGATAGATTAGAGAGTAGTCTTGTTTACGTAGACCCTACACCCAAAAGAACAGCCACAGCGGAAGGTTGTCCGGGCACGTCAGCGGTGGCGGAAACCAAAAAAACCAAAAAAAACAAACAAACCAAAAAAACCAAAAAAACAAAGACTTCCGCACTAGTCTGAAGGATTCCGACTAGTGCGGAAATCTTTGGTTTTTTTGTTTTTTTTGGTTTGTTTGGTTTTTTTGTTTTTTTTGTTTTTTTTGTTTTTTTTGGTTTAGGGTGTAAGGCTTGTGCTTTTAACTACGGCTTGCAGGACTTCCAGGGGTCCAGAGGGCCTTCCGAAGCATGCAAAGCAACCCCGAACGACAAGCACCGAACAACAAGTAGCGCAAAAAGTGCAAAACACTGGGTATGCAAAAACCCAGGCCCCATGGCAGTCCCTTCTGTAAGGATATGGGCTATCCTTTCGAAAGATTTGTACGCTCAAGACCTACATTGTCATACATGCCTTTGCATTCCTTTGCTACGCAACGGGCTTGCGTGGGCAGCTGACGAGTTGCAGAGACGCAAATTGGAAAGCTCACTGGCCATCTCACAGATCTGTTAGGGCCTGCTCTTGCTACACTTACATGGGTAAGAGTTCGTGTTTTGCTGTCGTTGGGGTGGAGGGGGCTTGTGTTTTTTTGCTGCCTTTGCGGGTCCCGGGGTTCTTGCTTCGGTGTTGTTCGGTATACTGCGCGGGCTTACACAGTGTACCGAAGTATACCGAAGTACACTGAAGCAAAAATCCCCGCCGCCCCGTCAACTTGGCTTGCTGCTGTCTTGTTTGCTTCCCCTCGGCTTCATGACCTGTGCTACGAGCTCCCGAATACTACGTAACCTGCAGGGCTAATGCTTTATACACTCTATTCCAAGAGCGTAAATTGTTGCTTTTTTTAACGTGCTTTGGACCTTTGCTGTCAAGCCAGGTCACGCTCTCTCGGAGAAGTCTGTCGAAACGCGTGGTCGGCCCCGGTAGCCTTTCAATGATCCTTGGCTGACGATAGCGTGTTTCGGCAAAGCTGGCCAATTCTGATAATTCTGGTTCCCAATACACACAAGTAGTAGGACCAGTAGGAGCCTCCTTCAAAGGCTTGAACCCACATGAGCATCTGTTGACTGCTTACATGTCTCCTTCATCTCACAAGTCAGTGCAACCACGTGCGCAGCTGCAGCACCTACTCTTGCCATGATTATGACTATGCTTCCGATAGGTGTTGGTTGATAGTGACGTTCGATCAATGAGCTTGGGTTCAAACATAGCTATTCGGCCCGTTTTCCCAAGAAAGAATACAAGGCTACAAGCAAAGAACAAGTTCGATGAAGCCGCAAGAACAACTTACTTACTGGGCGCGGTTGTCATCCAGCTACAGTATATGACTGCTAGTACCGCAGCTGCTGCCACTACTGATGCTTGCTGCTGCTGGTACCAGTAACTAATAACTAATGACGACGGCGACTACGACGACGACTTCCTGATCAGGTGTACTCCTGATCCTTGAGCGTGGAGGGGTGGGTGATTACCACCTCCTTTTACTGTTGGCATTAGAATGAATTTCGATCCAGGCTCTGCGTTCCAGTGACTGGCTCGGGAAGGTCAGTTGCTTCGAGCAACCTCAGAGCACAAGGAGCTAAAGGGCAGCCTCCTCCCTGCAGGTAGAAAGGACAGCAGATTATATCCTGAAAGCTTACGGCAACTTGCGTCCGGCAACTTTAGTATCATTCCAGTTGTTGAAGCCCCTGTATGAGGTGGTATGCCCAATGATAGTTTGCAAGCCTATCCCTACTCTATGGCTCAATGTTAGTTCCATAGACGGATAGATAGATAAACAGATAAATCGTATGCCTAGCCCTCGCTGATGCGGAGAGGGCTCGACTCTCCCGCCAGGCTTGTCACGGATATGACCACCATGGCCCGGCAGCTGATTTAACTTTCTTCTTTGCAAAAGCAGCTTGAGCAGCGTAGCTCCAAAGCCAGGATCAAGGACTCCAGATTACTGCCAGCGTGTGCTCGTGCCTCCTGTGCATTCCGTTTTTGAGCAGCGCACCTCGTGGCATGACTTCCACTGTGCGGCTGCTGGCGTGGCTCAAGGTATCCTCGTCTACACCTCGGGCACATAGGCAGCAGCCCGAATTTGTGCCGCCGGGTATTTCACATCGAAACGCGAACAAATCTCTCGCTACATGCTGCCTTCTCCGAAAGGCATCGGAAACCAACGGATTCGTGCAGGAATAATTCCACGCCGAAATAGACATGACTCGGACTTCTGAAGCTGAACTGATAAACTCCCCCGCTCGCCTTGCTTGTCGGAGATGTCTGCCTGCAGCTCGACACGCTTGCGCCCATGTTTAGGCTCTAGAGGCTTAGGCGGCTGACGGGCAAGATGGGCAAGCTGTGCTCTCGATTTTGGGAAGCGTCATCCGGGGCTTGCAGTGAGCCCCTGGTCCGTGGTGCGGCACGGCCTGTTGATCTGGTGGGTAGACGACACACCAGGTAGAGGTTTGATTCCTCTCCTGCGAAAGGCTGCGTCAAGGAGAGCCTTTATGGAAACGAACGCTGTAAATCGAACTTCCAGGGCGAATCAGTGTCTCTGCTTGCCTTCAGCGTCGGCTGCTCCCTCCAGAGCCTAGACAGGAGCTGGCAGTCTCCGGAAGAGTAGTGACGTGCCCGGGCAGCAGCGGGGGCTTGATTCGAAGGCCAGGTGACGGAAATCAGAATGGTCAGGCATGATTCTGAAGGCAAGAGCAATTCTACACCCGGTTTTACCATTTTACCAGCCCACACACCACATTTCCCAACCCTAAACAACCAATGCACATCTACGAAGTGTCTTCAGTTTCTTCCGAGTGCCGCCTCCCAGCAACGGCCTGGAGGTCAACCTCCGAGAAACCAGCCTGAAAGGCGCAGATCTGGAAACGCAGCAGGGGCTGCATTGGCTCCACGGGAACGGGTGGTCCCCAAAACTACGAGTGTCTTTCTATTAAGGGTCCATTGGTATAAAATCCTGGTATATTGGATGGCACACGGTGGTACATTCTGGTATTCTTCGCAACTACGAGTGTCTTGCCTAGACCCCTATAGAGGCTCTTGCAATGAGGATCCAACTGTGTCTGGGGTTTTCGTTCGACTCTCCTATCTGGCACCAGTCTGAATACGAAGACTGATCTAGAGGCCTATGCAAACAGCAAGCACTGACATAGGCCAGGGCTGTTGCTGTGTTAGGTCTCCTGATCTTCTGGCACTTGCCAATAGCATCGCCAGCAGGGCTAGAACAACCTTTACGCAAGCTGATGCGTGTTCCACATGCTCAAGTCACGGGTGGCCAGCCGACCTTGTCTGTGGTTGGTGGCATCGACATGTTGGGGCTATCAGCACATTTGCTAAATCCATCCTGTGTGGGTGGACACATGGTCTTCGATATTCAACACATCAGACTCTGACATAGGTATGTCATGTGGTGCAAAAACACACAACCGATGCACAATGGATGGGGCATCGAACCAGCGCCTGACGGAATCACAGCATATGCTTCGTGCAAGCGCAAAAAATCAAAGCTTTGTCGTGCGGCACTTCTCCGACAGCACAGGCATTGAAGGCAACTGAATTTAGCAGAACATGGGCCCCGAAACCTTGCTGTTGTCCGATGCGTGGACAGGACCGCCGCATACACCAAGTGTCTGGCCCTCAAGCTCAAGAGTAGCATCCCCAACCCTAAACCCGCGAGGTTTTCGTCGCATGCGGCTCGTTTTGTGATTGCCCGAACAGGCGCCCGTGGCTATGTCGCACTCGGGCATCGAACCGTTGAATGTCATGCTGCTTCGATGGTACCCCACTCTTTTTGAGTCCTATCCTCGCGAGTGATACGATGACACGCAGGGTGCCATCCTACGTGTTTGCAGATAATATCAGAATCCCCCTCAGAACCAACCCCATCATCAGCAGCCGGCTAATATCTACAGGCGCAGGCGGACTTTGCCTCCTGATTGCGCTGCCTCTGCAATCGCTGATACCACATCTGTCATCTTCAGGCCAGCCAAAGAAACACATGCTGTCCTACTCTCTTACACCAGATGGTCGACCCAAGGAGGTCCGATACCAACAAGATGCCAATCGAGTGGAGCTATCTACAATCGATAGAGTCTATGATGACAAGGATGCTGACTTCTCCGCGCCTCATGGCCGATGGGCACAGCTCCGTGCAGGAACAGAAGCGAATTAGCTACAACCATTCTCAACTGTGGCAAATCTCAATATGTTGTTAATCGAATGCCGAACAAGCGTTACATGAATCTGCATGATGCATTCGGCATGAAAACTGATATACTTCGCAGAAGGCAGAGCATAGAGCGGTTGTGGTAGCCAAGGGGCCGCTACCACCTCAGAGTCCAAGCACGTTCCAGACTCATGCCACATGGAAGCGAGCTTCACTTGCTGTTTTCTGAAGAAACTCGAATCTAGTGCTGCTGCACGCAGCTGTAGGAGGCCGAGCAAGATCCGGCAGGCCCGTACCCACCAAGCACCAGTTGAGTGCAATTCATGACGAAACGGAACAAACTGTTGTGGGCCGATGTGTCCGCCTCGTCTGAACGGATCTGCATGGAGCTGAAGGCGTGCCTGGCAACACGTGCAAAGTTGCCGGCAACCATAGTCACCACAATCACCGCTAGAATCGAGAGCTTCATCATGCCGTGGCTGTTATCATCAGGACCAACAGCCGTCGCAACGCAACACGACCAAGCAGCCATCCCAACTGCAAAAATGGACCACATAAGCCTGAGTTACCCCTCTCTGCTTGCAGGAGTTCGGCTCAGCTTGAGCTCTGCCAAGCAACAGCCGAACCCGCACAGTGCATTACGCTGGCATCACGTCTGCTGGCCTCTGACAGAACGCACACCTCCGAGACCATCAGGTGCAGGACTCCACCTCAGCAGCAGCAACTTTTCTGTTGGAAGGCTCGTGGCCACATTCTGGCCCGATGCCTGTTGCTGCATACCCCATGCAGTCAGTGATATAGTAGCTCTTATCATACCTGGTATACTACCATGACTCAATACCCAACACCGTACTTACAGCCGAGACGGGGGCGCAAGGCTCGGTGGCTCGCGCGACCTGGTGTGCCTCCTTGGCTGCTTTGCTAGGAGGGCAGGCTCTTCGCGGTAGTGTGCACTTATATGCAAATCAACATGTACACCTGAAGCAACGGCTCCTTCGTGTCTCTACAACTTTTACGAGGATGACGGCAATGCATCTACAGAGCGACAGACAAGCATTGTACATCACGGTACAAGGGCTGCTGGAAAGCACAATGCAGCCCATCCTGGGGAAAACAGTCTCGCTCTCTCTCTCTCTCTCTCTTGCTTGCTTGCTTGCATCTATGACTATGATGCACATGCATATTTATACAGATTATATGCAAGTATAGCCAGGGCCCCAACTCGCCATGGCCATGTTCCGTCGGGACTGGCGCAAATGAGCGCAGGTACAAAAAAACAAAAGCATGGCTAATGTAGGAACCGGATTTAGAAACCCTGGGCCTATGCCCCAAAATAGTAGGAATTATATAAGAAGGAGCCCTAATAAAGGCCCAAGGTTTCTTAATCAGGTTCCTACATTACACAGAGTACCCGGAGTGTCCTTGACCAGAGGAGTAGCCCATGGGCCTTGGTTTGTCGCATGGTTCGGCGATGCATCACGGGCACATCGCTCGGCAAGCCAACCAAGGAAGTCTGTCCTCCATGGCTGGATGCTCAGTACCCTCAAACCTAAATCCTAAACCCTGAATGACAACACCTGCAACATGCAATCCGAGTTTGCGGCGAAAGGGATCGGCGATCAGATGGAGTCCTCGCATCCGCGACTTTCAAACGAAAGCATGTAGCTGCAGCAATGCAGGGAAACAGAAACCCCCATGAAATCCTATGAAATTTAAGTTCTTAAGCCCCTTCTCTTAAACGTCAGCTGAGGCTATGACGGCGCTTGCGAACCTTGTCGAGATGGCCTTGGAGTGATGTAATGCGGTTTTAGAGGGTATGCACGAATAGCGTAGTCTACCCCTATAGGCTCCATAGTTCCTTTATGGGATTACCTTATAGGGATCTAAATATGAACCCCAAAAGGAACTACTAAGGAGCCTCTCTGGGCAGTATATAAATGGGTAGTTCTCAAATTTAGGGTCCCCTTTAGGGTCCTCTTCATAAGGGTGCCGTACTACTTTGGGACCTAAAAAGGGACCCTAATTTAGAGAACTACCCAAATAGCAGTAGTACTTTTCGAAGCGCAGTAGTGATTAATTGTGAGAAATGGTACTCGTACTAATAATGATCATCTGTCAAGACGCGTCTAATTATCTGTCTGTCCGACCGCAGCATGGTAAGAGCTGCAACGGCCAACCCCCGTTCACATAAAAAGCTTGGACAATTATCTCATCCAATACTATATTGGCCTCAACAATTAGAAAAGGTTTTGGGGCATACGGTCTTCATGAGGAAAATCAAGGAACACCAAAATGGTATTGATGCGCATGTAAACCGAACATCCCATCGGTACACGGGAAACGCGTAGTTTACTGTACCTTCGGCTATACCAGACCAGATGCGCTCGCAGAGCTGCCCAGACTACAGGTACCGTCGTGAGCCAATCAGCAGCGCTTATGAAGCAAATTCACAGCTCGAAACCCTGGCAGCCAGCCCCGAACGTATGAAGAGGAGGATTTTTCTAAGCCTGCGCTTGGCCCTGCGAGGCTGCACAGCAAAATCTGTCAGAGCAGCGCCAGAGTGATGCGTAACCCAAGCGTGAGTAAGGTATCCATGCCTGAGGCAACTGAGAGCCGTGCACCCATTGTCGATTTGGTGGCGGCATCTGCAGCATGCGGACGGCTTTTTGGGAGCTAACTTAGGGCCTTATAGGGTTTGGGCTTTCAGCACTGACTCTCCGACAAGCCTTGCCGCGAGGATTCGCAGTCCCAAAGGGTCTAGGGTTTAGGGGCCTAGGGCTCAGGGAGAAGCGCTGAGACTCATGCAGCAGAGTAGCTGAACCCGTCCGTGATCCACAGGCCCCAGTGGTAGCCAAAGGTCCTCGGTCAACATGAGGGTCTTCCTAATTTCCCTAGGGGTTTCGGCGCTCACACTCGGAGAATCCAGGCGAGGCATGTGGTTCGAGGTCTGCTACTGATGTGTGAAACGTGACTAGCGAGAGGATCTGGTGAAGACAAGACAACGAAGTGCCCTAAGCAAATACACCTGCTTCAGCGCCCACGGAGGCCATCCGAAATCGCACTCATCTGCCGTCGTCGTGAAGTAGCTCGTGCAGAATTGATCTTCTGGGCGGGGCTGAAAACAGTGTCGACGTCTGCCGCACAGCATTGGTCCGCTTTGAACATGATTGAACCCTAGAGTCGACTGCTATCCGAAACTTCGGCTGCCGATTCTGATCGGTCAAGGGGGTGGCTACATGCTGTGCTCTTGCGCCAGCTCTTCAGCTATACGTTGAGCCAGGGTAGGTCCCAATGCTTCTGGGCCACGCCACGTGGTCTGGCTGGTGGGGTCCGCCACCGGGGCCGCGCGGTACCCGGAGCGAAGACGACCCAAGTTTCGGCGGAGACGCGAAGTGTGTAGTTGAACTTTCGCACGAAACGCATGACAACAGCCCGGGCTTTTCCCCAGGTCCAGTCATCACCGGTTAGCAGTGCACCAGGCCAGAGCGCATGTGCGACCCAGAGTTCGTCCATGTACTTGTCGGTGTCAATGTAGACAAGGTCAGGAACCAGGCCGAGCCGATGGACCTCCAGGAGCCCCAAAGGGAATCCTTGGAAGTTGATCACCAGCCGCTCTCGGAAATCCCACAGGTTTGAAAACAGCGTGTGCGCCCCGCCGTCAAGCTCGCGCATGTTGTCCAAAGAGTCCAGCGCCTCGTCACAGCATCCAAGAACTCCACCTATGTCCCTGTTCTGCAAGCTGATGCTCTGAACCGTGTCGGCCAGCTCCTTGCCGGACTGGCCGAAATAGTCCCTTTCGAGGAGAACCGCCATCAAGTTGGGGGCATGCTGGAGCCAGCGCCTCATGGACCCACCGAGGAAACCACCAATCTCCAGCAGCACAAGCTGCTCATCTGGGTACATGTCCAAAAGGTGCGTGACCATCTCCCGCCCGCCGCCGTCCAGCACTGCGTGGAAGGCTTGGAAGCGCGGAGCCGCTGGCCAGGGGCTCACAGCAGCCAGCGCCTCGTGCGGAAAGCCCGGCGCTGCCCCAAATGCCTCTGCAGAGGCCATGGAGGCGAGAAGGGAAAATGAAGACTTCCGCCAGTTCATCTTCATGGCCAGCCAGAGCTTCGGAGCTTATGTTGCTAAAGCCTCATGACTGGTGCTTCACCGAACGAGAGCCGAGCATGGGGGCTGAAACGACGACACCATCACGCTTAAAAGCTTGAGGGTTTCAGCACTCAAACTTGGGCAATCCAGGCGAGGCATATGGTTCGAAGTCTGACAAGTGAACTAACGGGAAAGTCATAATGACGAGCATCAACAAGCTTGAGGGTTTAGGGGTAGAGGCCCTTCCTAATTTCAAGAGGGGTTTTGGGACATGTGATCGTCGGATCCTTGTAGTCATACTATAAGTTAGACTATGATTACAGGGAACAACAAGTGTTCTGTAGATATATTTTATACCGAAACTCGAAGCCGCTAGTTCTTGCAGTTCTTGCGACCTTTGTTGCAGAGTGCAATCGCTTCGGCATCCAAGCGCGAGGCTGACAAGTCCGTGTCTGCCACTGCTCCGGGCCAAGAGCGCCAGGAGGCGACGTGCCTGCAGAAGAGTATAAGTATTATATTATATTATTATTCTAGTTAGCATTATTATTACTACTATTAAGAATTATTGATAGTAGTATAGTACTAGTAGTGCCAAGGAAAACAGGAGAGTAGACCAGACCCCTTGGCCGGTCGGGGGACAATTGAAAAGGCCGGCACCACACTGCACTGGAGAGTTATGCCCCAATGAGACTATCGCGTAAAGACTTCGACTGCATGATGACGACAGTGCGCTTCACCTGCAAGTTCCTGCAAAGATCAACTGACGCGGGTCTTCATAGAGTCCCGCAGTTGGGATGGGAAGTTTGGTCGGCTAGCATTCACGGCCGCATTTGCGATGTTGCGTGGCGCCACCATGCCGGTGTCAACCCCACCCCGAATGCATTTTCTCCGTCACTATCACTGGGTATCTGTGTTCTACCTACACATACAGATCTCTATATCATTCTTTCTAAGCATGTGTATCGGACACGTCGTCTTCGCCAACGAGCAGTCTGTGGTCAAGGTTGCGGCATTGATTTGAGCTGTTAAGCATCGGATCTGATCGCCATGGTCATGCCTCCCACCCTTTCAGCTATCCAACTCTCTCACTGATGTTGGGGCTTCTGTCTCTTGACTGCACCTCTACGAAGTGCACTTCGAGAGCTTCGAGACGCCCATCGCTGTCTGTGAATCATGACCCCTAAACCCTAATCATGATCTCCGCCCTTGCAGGACTCCTGCTTGCCACGAACCCAAACGCCTCCCAATGCCCCTGGAGCCCTTGTATCTTGGAGCCTTTCTGCGAACGCTGCAAGATTTCATCTGCAACACCATAATTCAGGGCCCCGTCTGTCATGGACAAATCTGGTAAACTCTGGCCCTTAACTCTCTGCCTGCAGCGTTGTCAAGTCAAGATCGCAGATGCCGCGAAGCTGCTGGACGGCCGAGGTGTAGGGTGGCCTGGGCCGGCAAGTTCTAATCAGAGTTTTGGGGCCCCTTATAAGATAATTGTAATCAGGAACCCCCAATATAATATAGGTAATGACTAAAGCTCCTGTAGTAAGTTTGCAGCTTGGGCAGACAGGAGACCTGAATACCAGGATTCTTAACTTAAAAGCCCCCTGTAAGGGTACTTCAAGTTGTCCTGTACAGGATCAGTTCTCACATAGTCATAACGATGATAGCAGCAATGATCAACAGTGTTTATCATAATAAAAAAAACTACTGGCAATAAGAACGATCCCGATATCCTTAATGATGGTGATGATACGAGCAATGCTAATACTGCCAAACGCGCCTGGCCTTTGATTCTGAAAGACCGACGATGCAAGCACATTTGCTTGAGAGAGCAAATGTGCCACTGGCCGCTCACGCGCTCTGCTCGTGAACGTGCTGGTGACGGTCACGCATGTCTGCAGCAGTGATTCCTTCATTCAGTTCTTACTCGTTCTAGGTATATGAGCTACATGAGACATGCTTTGGACCGCCACTGGAAACTACGTTACCGACGGAGTTGCGCAAGGTCCTTGCAGACACTGAGCCTGCACAAAAAAGGCCTCTTGCACACTCTTGCGAACAAACACCCCATGGACTGCGCAGTCGCATCTCGCTGGCTGCCAACGTAGTTGGGATTCTACAGCCAGCAAGGGGGCAGGATTGCAGAAACTTAAGCTGTGTTGCGAAACATGGCCATCAAAAACGCAAGTTGCCGCCGCTTGTATGTGTCCGGATCCATGATTGTAACACGCTCAGTGTGCCTGGGATGCAGGCACGTGCGCTTCAAGGCGCTCTCAGTTCGCTTGCGCACGTCCCAATGCACCAGGAAATCGATGATCCCCATCCTGGCCAACTGAAAGCACCTGAGGCTTCAGGGTGTACGGCGTTTAGGGGCTGGTCTAGGGTTTTCTCAGCTGACACTGTCGCAGGGTTTACAGGGCTTGCATGATTTATGGTTTTTACAAGGTTCTGACCGTCTCTCACGCAAAGTGCAAACGAAATTGTGCAAAAAACTCATGCCGTGGCACCCACTGGACTGTTGCCGTTGTAGGCTCATGCCGCTTGGCAGATCTACGTTCTCCAGTGCTCTGCCTCAATGGTAGGGCACACGCTTTCGTGAAGGCAGTATACAATAGCTTGGCTGTTCCATCGTCTGCGTTCAGACAATAGTGACTACAGATCTGAAGCACAACGAGAGGCCAAGCTCGTCCGGAAGCTGCCAAACAGCAAGCAGTACAGAATAGTCCACAACACCCAACCTTACTGCACAATCTGCCGAAAGCCAGCACAGGAGATGATAGTCAGCATCCGTCAGCCGCGCTTTTGCCTGAAATTGTGCCGAGAGTCGATGCCAGGAATGTCAAGTCAGCTTCAAAGTCGCTTGGCCAACTGCGCCCGGAACAATGCAAGCCATCGGGAAAGCAGCTTCGAAAGCCGCCATCTTGAAACCTCTTCAGTGATTCGGGCTTTTGGGAGTTTAGGCCGGCTTGCGGGAGTTTGTTTTTTTTGGGGAGTGCTTTCTTGGGCCTCAAAGTACAGCTAAGTTCAAGTACAGCTAAGTTCAACCACCTTCTTCCCATGACTTGCCGTGGTAAGTCCAGGTAAGCAAGTCTCAGCGGAGTCACCCTCCGGCATTCCAGCATGAGTTTGTGCCGGTTCAAGTTTACATATGTTTTTTTGTTTTACATAATATACATAATATACATATATATATATATATATATGTATTTATATGTGTGTGTGTGTGTTTGTACGCATGTAGGAGAGTACCAGCCACTTGCCCTATCGTATTCTCTCCTGGATGTATGGCTCAGAGATTTTGCCTTCAGAGTGCTAGGGCTCTGGGTTGGGCTTCTTCATTTCAACTTGGCTGCAGGCATTGTTGCAGCGGCTCCCTACAATACGAAAGCATTTGCAGGACTCTATACCGGCATGGCACTCTGCTCCAGCGATCATAACATGAAGCTATCGCCTGGGGTGCCTGGGCTAGAAGTAGGTGTCCAGTGTCCAGTCGAGGATATCACCCATGCCCCCGCCAGCAGCAAAGTGCGACATTATCAATGGTGTCTTCAACATCTCACAGGGGGCTAATGGGCTTGACGGTGTCAAAAGACGGACATATTCCAGTCTAAACTGCAACTGACTGTACTCTACAACTCCGCCGAAGTAACAAAACACGAGTAGTAACCAACACCGGCCTCTTCTAGATTCTAGCCAGTCCGGCAACATCCCATGCTTGTTCGACCCATGCTTGATGGCTATCTGCAATGCATGTAATGATGCCAAAAAGCCCATCCGGACAGCAACTGAAGAACGGCAGCTGAAGAGTCGTAACTTCACTCACAGAAAAACAAGCAAGCAGATGTGTTCACACCGAGAAACTCTGACTTAATGTCGAAAATGGAAGGTTCGCCGACTTCGTCCACTGCAGGAAGATGATGCTCCTTTCGGCCGGGTGAAGAAAGCTCTTGAGGCTCAGGGGACCTAGCACGTAGGCTATGAGTAAGGTGTTACTAACTCCTGATCGAACTAATATTAAAACCTACTTACTAAGTCTCCTGCTTCTTTAAGATCGGAATACTGTTTAAAACCTACTTACGAAGTCTCTTGCTTCTTTAAGCATCTCAGTCCCTCAGGTCATGGCTCGAGCCAGCTGCATTTGCACTATGGCTGGCTGCATACAGCTTAGTCAGCTTAGTATATCCACTCGGACTTTTATGAAATTTGTGCATGTCTTGCAGAGCCTGAGACAAGATGCCGAATGTTTTGGGACCTTGGGCATTCTGAGATCAGTACAGCCTAGAGTCTGCCAGAGACGCAGGCATTCCGGTCAAGCAGTTCATGAGCACTGCGTGCAGAAAGTAGCCCAAGGAATTCTTGAAGCTGAAGCAGCCATAGACTCGACATAGCATGGAATTTGGGTGCTGCTCCAGATGCTTACGGTATGGTCCCAACATGGCGCGAAGCTGTTTAACTTCAGATCTTGAAATCGTCTTCAGGACGAAGGTGGTGTTGTCTGACGACAGGAGCAAGGAGCACCCACTCTTGGCCGCACTGCGTAGCTCACTAACATTGGTGCGCAACAGCTCCGCCAGAAGCTTCTGTCCATCCACGCCGCAAAGGCGACGCAGATACACGAAGGACCGAGGTGCAATCACAGTGAGGGCAGTGTCAGAGCCTGCAGAAATGGTCCAATCCCACTGCATTTCGGGGTTGTCGTCAAGGCAGGCAGAGGAGCGCAAAATCGCAGTCTGAGCTTCGGCCGCTTGCCTCGGTTCGAGTCCTTTCCCCAAGAGCTGAAGCTGCTGTCCCAGCTGGAGCTCCTCATCGCGAAGGTATTGTATCAGCTGCTCCAAGAGTCCCGAGAAGTCCAGTAGCCTATAGCCCTCGGCCCCTTGAATCGAGGTACTCATCGAGTGATGAAGCCGTGAGCTGGAATGATGAATACGAGACAGTCCTCCTGCACTTGGCGATGCCAGCTCGGTACTTTCTACACCCAGGCCGGGGCTTTCCCGGAAAAGCCCAGCATCTTCCCTTCCCCGGTCTCGAACCATAGCGACCAAACGGTCCAGGCTTAAGAAAAGCCCCAGCCCTGCAAAGCCGATAGACGTGAGGTAACTGAAGAAGTCGTCTTTGCACGTCCGGCTGGTGTCGAGGAGAATCAAGATGCTGCAGAATACCAGGCTGGCAAAATGAAGCCACTGCTTCCTCAAGTACCTCCTCACTTGCAACAACAAATGCTGGCCTTCTTGCGAGCGCCGCGCAGCCGTGCCCAAGAGCTGTCCAGCATTCACGTAGCGGAAGACCATGATTGCAAAAGCGATGCCGATCACCTGAAGCCAGCAATGGGAAACTTCGATGGCCCACCAGCTAAAGTCTGATACATACTACCGTGGACAACGCCTGCAATGTCCTACCACCAGCAGCATATTGCAACACATACTACGAAGACCAGACAGCGTAGGATCTTGTGCATGCTGCCTCTGACTGAGGGTCCTGCTGCGAATCCAGCCATATGGAACCTCGGCTGCAGTCAATTAAGCTGGGAGTGTTTCCGTAGCTGTCTCTCTGGAGACCACCCCAACTATTGGCCCGGGCCCGAAGCCCTATGCCCCACGCCCTAAGGCCCATATTACAAAACAAACTTTAGCCCCAGTAGGGGTAATAGCTTCAGCAATCCTCGCATGAAAGCTGACGGCCTCATGTCGCCCTAAAGCCCCTGCACCATTCGGATTGCTGAGAGCGCTGAGGAGCCAGGGCAAGTCACCCTCCATGTTCTGCCTCCGAAGAATGCATGGCATCATGACAATCCGGGCCTGCGCAGATTCCGGCTTCAGGGTTCTAATTTTTAGAGGTCTGAGGGACTGAGGGAGTCTAGGGCGTAGGGCTTTAGGTGTACGATTTAGACTGTTGTACAAAGCTTCACGGAATTACTGCGCATAGGGCTCCGGATGAATTAAACCTTAAGAGATTGTTCGCCATCGAACTCAATAGGTGGGGAGTCATTCACGCGTTTGTTACAGCTGTGGTAATTGTACTGTAGTATATTGTGGAATACAGTGCCCTACGTTGGCACACGTGTCCTTTCGAACCACCGACCTCGCGGCATACGGAAGTCGAGAAGCGAGCGCCGTCTATATCGAAGGCAACTAGAGCTGCCAAGGGCCAGGTGGCAGTGTGGTAGAGAACGATCCTGAATCCGTCTGAGTCGTGCAAACATCTCGAAGCTTATTCTTGCCAGTGAGTGCATCAAAGTGGCAACGGAATGCCAAGCACTTTCTCCTCATCTTTTCGGAAGTTCAGCTTTTGAGAAGCGAGTTCAGAGAACGACTGACACAGAACAAAGCCCGAATATGCAAGTCCTCTGATCCAAGGCGCTGGTGCAAGGGGCTTCAATGTAAATCTCGCCAGGTCAAGAAGCCTCAGGCCACTATTATGTTGAATCCAAGAGCTATCTTATGTAGGTTGTATTTTGGAATACACCGTACATCATGTTGTATGTTGTATAGGTTCTGTCACCGGCAAACCGAAGTGGTTGGACCCTGGTATCCGGCGGCAGCTCTTTGAGACGACGCCGGCAGCCATGCATGCAAGAAGGCCTCACTTACCTTTGGTCAGTAGGGAATGGAAGAATGGTAGTAATAGTAGTTTTAAGTTTACCCCATTCCTCCATTCTACTGACTCAAGGTAAGTTCAACACATGCACGCGACTTCATGAAAACATGCCTTCCAAACTTGGAAGGCTCTGGCCGAGCAAAGGCCGTACGCGTCTTCTCGCTCTGCAAATGCTCGGAACACTGCGGCCCAGCAGCCACATGATGTTCCAAAGGTACGAGCCATATCCGAAGAACTCAAGCCATGGGACGGCAAAGAAGCAGCAGTTCCTGGGAGGGGCTTCTACTTACCTTTGGTTAGTAGGGAATGGAAGAATGGTGGAAATAGTAGTTATAATTGAATCCCACTCCTCCATTCCCTACGAACCAAAGGCAGGCTAACGAGGGTTCTATCGGGCTTACCATAGTGGAGTTAGACGAATGCTCCAAGGGTTAGGTTTTGCAAAGCGACCGCCCCCCATCCACAGCCGAGACTCAAGAAACACATTGGTGATCCTCCTGCTTGATGGCACTGGTTGCTGAAAAGGTCCTGAATACCTGTTCCACAGCTTTCGTCCCAAAGCGGCGACCAAGAGTCCGACAGGGCGTAGGCAACGTAATAAAGACCTCGGATTTGTTTTTTGGACTTTCGGGTTTATTATCTCAGCACAACCGAGAGGCAACACGGATGCTGCTGGGGGAATGCAGGTCATAAGGCAGCACACGAAAGACATGTCGAAATGAGCTGGACGGCTTATGGCGAACGCCCAGGCACTGTTCCAGAAGTTGCAGCCATTCGACCATCGAAGGCATGAACTCTGCCTAAGCTCAACCAGGAGCAGCCGACTGCTGCTGAGTATTGCTTTCCTGGTGTTTTTGCCGAAGTCACGTTCCAGTTCGTGAGCTTCGCCTGCCTCTGTGCGAGATGTCGGCACGAAACACCAGAAGGCCTGAGTTGTCAAACTGCTCTGGTCTATCACAGCATATATAGTACATTATGGCAATCATTGTGGCATATCATGGCACATACTATAGTGCTGGTAGTGTATCCTCGTACTTGGCTCTCACTCTGGTGCAGTCAAGAGACAGGCGCATAAGGAAGCAATGCCAAAGATGCACATCAGAATGTCCGCAGTTTCCCGATGCCACGTATGACAGATGCAGACTTCCTTGCAGTGTTGGAAGGTGGAGTCGGGCACCTCCGAGCTGAGGCAGGTGTCCACGCCTGAAGTGCGCGGTTCTAGTCGGCAACTGCGAACCGCATGAATGCATGGTTTTGGGCTTCGGCGCTCAAAACTCGGAAAATCCAGGCGAGCTTTAGGTTTGAGGGATGCTCCCAGGTATGTTGAAGCGAGGTGCAGAAATTGGTCTCATTGGCGCTTCGGCCTCTGCAAGAAGTGCCTGGACGATATCTCCTGCAACACTGCATGGCATTTGTGCCACATCGAAGAGGGACTGTATATCACACAGCCAACTTTGACCGCGCGCTAGTGATGCCTGCCATCCACATCGGAGAGGATAAGCTGCGACAGTTGCAGTGCCATGTCCGACATGTCTCTGGGGGATGCATTACCCACTACTGTGTACACCTGTCACCTGGGTAACGTACATGTGAGCTCCCTATGTTTATAAGTTGTAAGTTTTAGTGATTTGGTTTGCAGAGAGCCCAACCATCGTCTCGTAGATGAATCAGAAAGTCACCTCATAGGGGCTGCGCATTGGGCCGAACTGCAAATGCACATGCTTCAGTGCAGATCACCACAACTCCAAACTCCATCGCTTGTCAGTCTATGGGGGCACCTTACCTGGTGAGCAGTCTGCCTCCACCCCCAGAGAGTTTTTACCCGCTCCTGATCACAACAGATGAAGACTTAGCCTCGATATGGCCTGCATGGACTGTTACCCATGCAGATCTTCAGCTACGGGTTTAAGTTTCAATATCTTTCTGCTTTGAGCCCCCATTTCTCTCCGCCCCCTCAAGGTTGGTAGGAAGTTTTTATTATTTTTTGAAAGCTCCTTTTCGTAGGAGGAAGTTTAGGATTTAGGGTTCCTTTCTATGGCTTTCGTCTGGATCCGGCGAAGCTTCGGGCCACTTTGGGCCTCTTTGATGCTCTCTTCTTCAACAACCGGGCCACAAAGAGTTCATCAACTTTCTAAGATAGAGCTGATATACATATATATATATATATATATAAGGCCAAAAGTTTAAAGTTCCCCCGATCACTATCTAAGGAAGGCTCTCGTGGACACGGCTAACTTGCCATCCTCAGAGCTGGTCGGCCCGGATGTTGAGGTCCTCCTTTGGCTGAAAGTGGGGGGGGGGCGATGGGCGTCCGAGGGATGATTTGAGGGTGTATGTCTATATATGTATATTATATCTAAACAATCAGACAAACTACTTAATACAGATTTGTATATATGATTATATATAAAAATGTGTGTGTGTATATAAATATAAATATATATATATATATATATAGTATATATTATATAGAGAGATAATACAAATGCAGCTGTGTGTATCGTATACATACAACAGGAACCACACAGCGGTTTCTTGAACACTGTGCACACACGGTGCCGGATCCTGCAAGGTCTTCTTCAGCTTCCCTGAGCCACTTGCAGTCCCAAACCAGGCCGTAGACTCCTGCACATCGCAAGCTTGCCGTCTGTGGGTCCCTTCCAGGGTCCTTTGTGTAAGAGTGCTGTACTATTTTGGGGGGACTCAAAAATTCCCCCCAATTTAGAGAACTACCCAAATTAAACAGCCGTGGCTCCTTCTCAGGATCGCGACGCTCCGTCCTCAGATTGAGCCTATAAGCACGCAGGTACTCGTCAGAGTTTTGGGTTTCGGCGCTCAGGGAGGTGGTCACGAGTGATCCTATAACTGACTGCTGCGATCTGCGAGCAAGGCGCTCATCGAGTCTGGCAAGCAGGTACTCGACCTCGACCTGCTTGCGGGCAAAAACGGGTCCAGCCGACATGAGAGACTTCCCCCCGCAACTTCTGCAAGCTTTGTGCTGTTTGGCTGTGGCACAAGTTGGTCGAGAGACATACACTGGCATTTTCTTCGGAGCGGGACAGCTGACCGACCACAACGCACTACGTCTACCATCATCCAATCATGTCTGATTCATCCGGGGCTAAGGGATCGTGACACATGTTTTGGATACCGTCCAGTGACACATATCATTCAGCAGCCGTCTGCACAAGTTTCGAGAATTGGCATCTTGTAGCTGCGGCTGCTCCCCGAGCAGTCAGATCTTCAAAAGATTCACCGGTTAACGACACACCTACAGTCCTAGCCGGCAGTGCAAGCAAGTTCAGCTTTTTCTGGGCAATGCTGGCATCTGTCCGAGGCTGGGATCCTGTGCATCCGACTGGGGTGAGCCGTTGGAGCCGTGAAACGGAAGCGGCGTAGGCTTCCGAAATTGCTGATGCAAAGGTCTCGGCACTAATCCAACAACTCCAAGCTCCTCACAAGGCCCCAGAGGACGCTCCTCCTTCTGCAAGACATGAAGCAAAGCTGCTTTGGCCCGTGGGTTGCGAGACACCTCCAGCGCCGATGCCCGGATTGGTTCACAAAGTTGGCGGCAAGAATAGGGAAGGTCTGTGGCCGCCAACGGAAAGAGCTCAGCGAATCGCTGTGGTGTTACGAACTCGGCAAACCTGGGAGCTTCCGACAATGCTGTAACCTTCGTATGTAGACCTTGTTTGGGCATCTGGTCTCTGGGGATATCCCTAACGATAAGGACGCAGAAATGCGCACTCCCTCTAGATGATCTCGATCTCCAGAAGCACTCCCATCATTAAGACTCCTCAGGTAGCTGCAGACCCCAAAGCCCCAAAGCCACCCTTTTTGCAGCAGGCTTCTCTCGCCGGGAACCCTCAACCCTAAACCCCTGAATTCTAAACCCCCAAGCCCGAGAGCTTTACGGGTGCCTCATATCGGGAGCTTCGAACTCGCGAATGAAGCGTTTCACCTCCGTCGCCTCCCTGCGCCGCGTTGTAAGGACAATAAGTCGGCCACCCACCTGAAGCGACTCGAGTGAAACCTGGGCTGCACACACGGGGAGGGCCTTCCATCAAAGCAACAATGCAACTGTGGCACATGGCCAAGATTCATGTTGCCAGTGGCAGGGACCAGGTTTAGCAGGGAGCCGCGTGTAGTCAAGCAACTATTGTTGCTCCACCCTGCCGGGCGTTGCCTGTTGCCACACTTAAATCCGGATAGGCGGCAACAGAGGTTCGTATCGTTTGTGGCCAGTGGCCGAAGACGCATCAAGAGAATCTAAGCTCGGAGCATCCCAGGGCTTCTTTTCCTTCCTAAGATTAAGCCATGCTACAGTTGAGAGTCTATTACTTGTGCTACAACTGCCGCTTTTTCTATTCGTGCGGACATGGACTAGCACCTCTCATACTGACAGTAGTTACACAGTCAAAACTGGTTTTGCATATAACGTGCCGGAAAATCTGGATTTAAAATCCCGTAACCCTAAACTCTCTCTCTCCCAGGCATCCGTAACCCTAAACTAAACCCCTAAACCTAAACCCCTGAGTCATAAACCCAGGGAGCCCTCACAGGAACCCTAGAAGGAACCCTTAAAGGACCACTGAACCTGGAAGAAGCCCTTAAAGATCCCTCAAAAGAGCCCTAGAAGAAGCCCTCAAGGGCATCCCAGAAACCTCCAGGGTCTTCCGGAGTTCCTCCAGCTCTTCGTTAAGGAAGCAGCGGATCGCCTGAAAAGGCAGCTTCGCCTGGGCTGTGGAGCTTGAGGGAGGCCTAAAGGCGGGAGGGGGGTTTTCAGTTATGGGAATCCTAATCCCTACTAAACCCCCATAGGCTAAAACCCCTTTTGGCCTCCTATGAGAGGAGCTTGAGGGGTCTAGGGCTACGGCTTTTAGCTCACGGCTTCATGGGTTTTGGGGTTTAGGGTATCAGGAGCTCATCACTTGGAGGATCATGGGACTTAGTACCAGCAAGCATATGATTATTATAAGGACCGTAATTTTTAAGTACGTATCAGTATAGTTACCATGATCCTTCAAGCAGGGTTTAGGGTTTTACTGAAGATGAAGTTTAGGGCCTTAGGCCTTAGGGGTTTTAGAGGGTTTGGGCTTAGGGCTTAATTAGAGGGTCTTATGCGACACCGAAAACATATCAAAGAGGTGCTTTGCCTCAGCTACTAAGTTGCCGGGTGCAATCCCCGGTCATCCAAGCCTTTCACTGCAACACAAACATCCGCCAGCTCCAAGGTCGATCGGTAGGGACCTCTGTCGGCCTGTCGATGCAGGATTGCTTCAGCCAGTCTGTATGCCTGCAGGGGCGAGACCCACTCCTCTCCATACTCTTGTAGGACAAAGGCCAACTCGGATAAGCTCACTGTCTGCAGCCAAACTGCTGCAGACTTGAGCTGTCCACCGTCAGAATTTCGGCCTATGCGACCATCAAGCGGCACAGCTTCCACGAAGGAAAGGCCACGTGCTCTCTCTTCGGCGGCAGTCATTTGCGGGCTCATGTCCAAGACGATGCCCGCAACTCCATAGTTTGCTACGGAGCCCATTTCCGAAGATCGCCGTCCGTGGAAGTCAAGCCTTGTGTCCAATGCAGCCATGTGCATTGCCAGCTGCCCTGCTCGCGGGTCCACATCGAATGCGATCAGCCGACCATCAGCTGCTAATCTTCGCAGAATCTCTGCTGCATGACCACCCTGCCCAAAGGAGCCATCTACGTACACAGCATGGGGTCCACCAAACTGCATCAATGCCTCGACAGTTTCGTGGACCAGAAGCGGCTTTGACCCGTCGAAGCTAAGGTTTGTGTTGGCCCGCCAGTCTGGCAGTGGCTCATATCCAGTTTGCATTGCGGCACCATGCGTGAAAAGCGACGGAAGCCTTGACCCGTCCAGACTGGGTCACTAGCAGAAAGTTCGTAGCTTACCTGTCCAGTCGATGCGCTTCGCACTGCACAGCGCTGCTTCTGGTTGCCGGGGCACTGCGATCTGCAGACTATGCTTTACTGTGCAGTGGCGCCAATTCTTCGTGTGCGCGCTGTGTCGGTGCTGAAAGGCTTAGAAGCCAAGAAAGCTGCAATGGTCATGCAACAGCAAAGATGTATTGGGTGTCACGAGCCTCTTCCCTCATTGATAGACTACCGGCCTCCTTCGTCAAAGGCATGATGTAGTCCTCGAAGACAGTGCCTTGGAAGCGCACATGCATGAAGAGCGGTTGTCTCCGAGTGCGGAATAAAACACTTGCAAGTCTTCAAGTGCCACTAGGTCTGGCGAGCTTGGCTATCTGCAGCCAAGGCACCGATGTACTCTGGGTTGACCTTGTATGTTGTGTTGTCGCCGTTGCCCTGACCGAGTTGAAAGCGAAACCCGTGAACAAATCGTGGACGACAAGAACTTGAAATGCCCTCGGCTCTAAGCCAAGTTTGCATCCAAGCTTGCACACTCGCTGGACCTGACCCCTTCAGTACCAATGTCAACGACTACAACATTAGCTTCACTAGGGACTTGATTCGTGAAATCGCGCAAGTGAGGCGTGTATACATATGTGTCACTTGTGTGTGTATGTGTGTGTGTGTGTGTGTGTCTCTGTCTGTCTGTCTGTCCCTCGGAGATCGCGCCTCATCGGCCTGGCCCCCAATGTTCCTTGAGAAAGCCTTGGCCTGGAAGATGCTCCCAGGACGGGACACGGCATGAGGGTTATGGCCTTAAGGTTGCAAATGCAGATGCTAGGATTTCCCTCCGACCGAGCAAGGACGCAGCCCGCAGTACAGGGTAATTAACTCCGAAGCAACGGTTGACTACAGCTTCAGTTGGAGCCAAATGAGGGCTAAGGGTTTAGGATGGTTTAGGGCATTGAAGGTCTTTTTTGCCTTGGTAGACTTCTCGATTTGTGTGTGTCATCCGTTTTGTTTCCCTCCTACCTAGCATGGACGAAGCCCCCGCATTGCAGGGTAACTCCGAAGCAACAGTTGAAAGCAGCTTCACTCGTGGAAGCTAATTTACCCTCCGAGTAATGGCAGCTTCATGGCAATTACTTCGAGTCAGCTCCGTTCGAGCTGTGAATCCCCGTTTAGGGTAGAGGGTTTTGGGCTTAAGGTTGCGGGTTCTTATATATGGGTTTCGGGATGTTTCGGGCTTGTTTGGCTTTTCGCACTCGGCAGAGTCATGCTAGCTTTCGGGGAACAATTGCTTACCCCAAAGCTCATCAGGCAGATTTCCACACCACCTCAGTTCACTTTAAGTCCCAGCTTAATGCAGGATGCGTAAATTTTCCCACCTGCCCAGCTGACTAGCCTAATTAATTAGGATGTAAGCTCTCGCAACGCGGACACTGCCAGACGCGTGTTTGGGTTGTAAGATGTTTTAAGGCATTGGGCATGGAAGGGCGTCGTTTCGTTTCAGATCATGGGATGGGTAAACATACCAAGCTTTGCCGCCAGTTGAACCCTAGTTGCGCGCATGGAACCCTGTGGAAACGTCAAAAAGTCGTTTCGCTCCCCACCCACAACGCTAAACCTCCAGCCTTGAGGATGACTCTTTGGACATTCCGCTTCTCCACTTCTGGCTTCGTGATGAACGCCGTCAGTCCATCCTGGACATCACGGATAGAGATAGGATAGATATACATAGCCCATCGCAACCACTCTTTGTCGGACAACGGTTGAGGCCGCCACCTCGTCACGGGCCTCCAATTTCAAAGGCTTCACGTGTTTGATCAAGGGCATTGCCAAGAATTCAACAAAGTACATATGTACGTGTGTGTGTATATGTGTATATGTATGTATGTATGTATGTATGTATGTATGTATGTATGTATATATATATATATATGTATGTATATATGTATGTGTTACTCGCTTGTATATGTATATGCAGAAATATATACATACATACATACATACATACATATATATATATATATATATATATATATGCATGATTTCTGGCACTCGCACTCGAGCCATTCAGGCGAGGATTCCGGCAACACAGCACCAAGACAGATATAGATATGTTGGGACTTTATATATTTATGCCTAGAGTAGGAGTTTCATTGCTGTTTTGCTGACACTCACACTCGGACAAGCCTTGCAGGGGCGTACTGTCACTTGGTGCCTTGATGAGCTCGGTCGCCTTCTCGCGCTCACTCCGGAACTTGGACTCCGCGACAAACCTGGGCGAAAGCTGACACATACGGTTTTTGTTTGCCTCCCGCCTGGCTAGGACACACACGTTCGGGGATTGTCTCGGTGCAGTATTTTCTTAACACTTCATACGTCGAACGTGGCAGGTGAAAGTCGTGGCAGCGATGGCGCCATGTCGCGATGAAAGAAGTTTGCAGCAGAAGACGCCAGCAAAACTGGACGCCGAAGACATCACAAGCATGACAAGCAGTTGAAGCGACTTGGTTAGGGCAGTCAGCTGCGAACTGTCCGAGAAGCGGAAAGCAGAAATCGACGACGAATGCACATGTCCCGTGATTCCGACTGATATTGTCGCCCCCCAAAAAAAACATGAATGATGAGTGGTCAACTGAGCTGGGAGCAGACCGTAGTAGATCCTCGTGGAAATGGTTTGGAGCACATGCCTGGGAAGCCCAAGCAGGCGCCTCTACTGAGCTAGTGTTTAGGAATCGTAGAAAGTGCCATGACCCTTGTATTCTGGGAACTTAAGTCTCAGCCAGTAAGGCCATCATGTCTTGACGTGGTCAGGAGCCCTCCGCAAGCCCGTTTCCACTTTAATGTTGTCATCGGCATGCTGCTCCTGCCGGCTGCTGCATGACCGCCGCAATCTCCTTCTTAGTAAGAGCCGGGACCATGGCACGTCTTGCACTGCGGTTGAGCCGTAGTTTCCGTCGTCGCCTTCCTCACACCTGAGAGAAAGTCAGTGAAATTCGAGAGGAACAGTCCTGCTCCGGCAGCCGCTCAAAAGAATAGTTCCATCTGTTTCCAGGCTAACCCCACATAGGCAGCTCTCTCGGCTGCATCTCAGCTCTATTCATGTCCTGGACAGGCGACAGCGAAGGGATCATCTTCGTTCTGTAGATTTCCAGCAGCTTCGAGTTCACCACCGCCTTGCGAGAGGACTTACACGTGCGGATTTTGGGCTTCTAGAGATTGTACAGGGCTTATGTGGAGATTATATAGGGCTTACAATGTTCTATAAGGCTTATGGGGGTTGTACAGGGCTTTTGACCTGGGGGTTTAGGGAACTTCTCCACTCGGCGCCGCAGGGCCTCCGGTGGCACGGGAGCCAAGACCGACCCGTCCTCGCCTGCAGGCAAAGCCGAGCTTTTGAGTGTTCCACTGAGTCGACTCGAGTCTTCAAAAGCAGAGAATAGAAATGAAGAAAAGGGTTTGAGGGTACATAGTCGTGCTGTTAGTACTCTAGCAAGGAAGTCGTCGAAGGAACGGGGCTGTAAGAAATTATGATGAAAGCCCTAAGGAATTGCATTATGGAGTATGATATTCCTGGTATATGACTCATTCTCAGCCCACCTCTGCTGCTGGTGGGGCTTGCTTCGCTGATGGTCTGGCCGAGACTGGGCCTTAGACGCGACCGAGCTGTAGCTACTGTCTGATGTTACGTTTCAGTTACATCTCAGGCGTCCTGCTCTGGCAGCGGCTTGAAGAAGGAAAATTCGGTTGGGTGCTCGTACCTGCCATGAGAATGGCGAGACTCTGCTGCAGCCTCCTGCAAAGCTGATGCTGCCACGCCACCTCTTCACTTGAGAGTGTAAACACTCAGTCTGGTAGATGAACCTTGTGGCTACAGTGCTGCAAACGAGGCTTTGTTTTCAGAAGCCAGCGTGCGAAACAGCATCCACGGTGGTCTACATCTCTCCCGACCAACGGACTCTCAAATTGTTCATCCTGTCCCAGCTATGGCTCTCGAAAAAGACCAGGGGGAGTCTGTCGTGAGACTTCGTGCTAGGATCGAAGCTGACTTTTCTGTGCACCGACGACCTTGTTCGGCCCCTTACATTAAGTTGCTGCAGGCTGCGGTCGTTGTTGCAAGATTTTTCCAGTTTATCAGTTTATGGAAATGAAAGACCCTTACGAGGCCCGGACCAGTCACCGAGGCATCCGTTCGACCCCGAAGATTTCAGCTGATGCAGCTTGAACCTTTGAGCCACTTCGAGCTTTCAAAGAAGCACAGCTGGAGTCTTGAGACATGGCACGTCCGGGCCCTGAGCTTGGCGCCTTCCGAGTGGCTTGTAGTTGGGCTCATAGACAGCATCTTGTGAACAGAATATTGTTCATTCGCGAGAAGCACGGCTGCAGGTCGAAGGCAACCACGACATCTGAGACTGCGGCTGTTCACTCGATACTGGGAGCGCTCAATCAGGCTAAAAATAATAGAATCCTGGGTCGATGCGAAAAAGCAGGCGAACTTGGTGACACAACCACTCCGCCTGCCTCCATCCTCTGCAGCACGCTTCGGATGTTGTTGAGGTCCAAGGCCTGGTCAGCACCTCAATCGTATGAAAGGAGACAGGTGCTTGCCATTCACAGGTTACAGGCATTGTCTCCCTAACAGCAACAGGGCATTTGCCACGAGCTATTCGGCGGTCGTCACCCGGAGTCCGACACTACGACGACGCACAAGTGCGGGAATGATGAGGAACAGCGCCACACAGTCTGTGCCCCGCGCTGGTGACATTTGCAGTGTTGGCGGCCATGTAAGTTCCAAGCTCGAACGTAGAAAGAACCTCAACAGAGGACTCCGTGGCCCCTCATCATCCGTGTTGGTAGGAACCAAGGCGCTGGCAAGCCAAATGAAGGCCAGGCGCATACCCAAGGCCCTTCCAGGCCCGAATCCCGAAAACTGGTGTCTGCCTCTTCGCCGCTGTCTCATCTTGAGCCAAGAGCCCACGCCGGCCCGAGCGCAATGTTTGCGGGCATCCTAAAGACCCGCCGTCAGCCGTACTGCGGGTACGTCTACTTATCAAGACTCAAGAATGTGCTTTGGGGAGTTGTAAGTGCCATGCTGCTGCTGTGGCAAGAGCCTCTCTTGGGCTCGCCACCTCAGCGCATTCAGTGATGGATGCTCAGGCACCAGAAGCCCTCCAAACGTGCACAGTCTGATCATCCGAGACTTGCACACATGCTCCAGATTTCGGTGCCTGGGCTGGGCATGGCAATCGCTCTGAAACCCGACCACCTCGCTAGGAACACGACTCTCCTCGTGCTTTGCCTGAGCTGACCTATGAGCCGCCGGCATAGGAAGTCCTTCTCGAACCAGTTGCTCCGCACGGAGCTGATCTGGGCCGGATATCACGGCAAATACTTTCAAACCAATGCACATGAGCAATGCAGCAAAGTATCAGTGATCGACCTATATAGAGGCAAAACTAAGTGTCCGGCTGTCTCCGAGCTCATGCGCATCTAGTGCTAGCGCCAAGTACACGCGTGCTGCTCCAGCCTTACATAGGTCATTCGTCTCTAGAAGGGGTACTCTGAAACTGCATGAAATGAATCCGTCGGCATTCCATCATCATTTGCACATGCCAGGCTCCTGGCCAAACTCTTGCGAGTTGGAGAGGTGTTCGATTGGCTCACAGCTTCCTGAAGCGTTGGGATGGCCTCACACAGCTCCCCGATTGGCCAAGCACAAATGAGGCATGAGATATGAGACATCTCCGGAACAAACAAGGCGCGGCCCTCCCCACGAAGCCGGAGACTTTTTTCAAGTCTGCTCTTGCGATGGTTTGCAGAGCTTCCCACGCCGAGGAGGCATACGGTGCTACCTGTCTGCTGCTCACCCGCTCCGTGAGCTCATCTTCCAGGAGATGCTGTTGGTCAGCCGCGTGCGGTTACAGCGACCCGGGGGGACTTCCAAATCGCCGCCGAATCGTTGGCCTTCACAACGACCACGTCAAGCCTTCAACTGTCAAACTCTCTGCATCTGTGCCTTCTCACAAACCTCGAACGACGCCAAAGGCGATCTCTTGTCGCACCGCCGTCAACGAGACGCTGGCCTGGAGCCGGGCGGAAGTAATATAGGGGCTCCAAAGATTCGAACACAAACTTAGTCTTGGGGAATGCTTTACCGTAGCGACCTTCCAGGCATTGATGGAATTGTGTTGCAGCCTCAGCCGTAGTATGAGTATGAGCAGTAGCAGCGTAGCACTCGTCTTTAGCACAAGCAGAGCATTATAGCTTATTCAACGCAAGAGGGTAGGGAAGCGGGGAAGAAAGCAGGAAAAGGGCAGGGTACAGGAAGCGAGAAAAAGCAACGAGGGGCAGCGGAAAGGACTGGAAGGGTAAGAAAAGGAGAGTTAGGGGAGGGGAGGGCAGGGGCGGGGAGGAGAAGGGAAACGCGAAGCAAAACGCACAAAACGTGAGCGTGGAGAGGCACGCTGCCAAAAAAGACCGAGCCGGGAGCCTCGGAAGGGCAGGAGGCCCGCGCGAGGAAAAGAAACTAGAGAATTTCAGATCAAAGAGCAAAAAATTAGGGTTTAGGGTTTAGGGTAAAGGGTTTCGAAAAAGCTGCAGAATATAAGAACAAGTCGCAACACGCTCGAAAGAAACCAGAAAATTTTAGAACACGGGATCAAGCTGCCTGAAAGAGACCTAGAGATTTTGTGAACAAGGAGCAAACCGAGCGAAAAGGGCCAAAGAACTTGAGAAAAAGGAGCAAGCCGCTCCGAAAAAGACCGGGAAATTTGAGAACGGGGAGCTAAACGCTTGAAAGAACGAGAGAAAGGACCAGGAGCAAGCCGCTCGCAAACCGCTGGAAAGAGACTACAAAGTTTAAGAATTTAGAACAAGGATCAGAATGCTCGAAAGAGCTTGAGAACAAAGGAGCAAACCACTCGAAAGAGACTAGAGAATTTGAAAACAAGTAGCAAACCCAGCGAAAGAGACGAGAGAACTTGAGAAAAAGGAGCAAACCGAACACAAGGAGCGAACCACGCGAAAAGATGATTTGAGAACAAGATGCAAACCAATCGAGAAGGACTACAGTATTTCAGAGCAAGGAGCAAACCGCTCGAAAGAGACTGGGCATTTAAGAACAAGGACCAAACCGTTCGAAAAAGACTAGAGAGCTTGAGCAAGAGGAGCAAGCCGCTCGAAAAAACTAGAACAAGAGGCAGACCAAGCGAAAGAGACTGGAGCATTAGAGAACAAGGAGTACACCGCTTGAAAAAGAGTATCACCAGGAGCGAACCGCTACAAAGAGCCTTGAGAATGTACGTAATAACATATTGAGCACACCCCTCAAAAGATACTAAAGAATTCAGCAAAGCGCTGAAAGAGACCAGAGCGTTTGAGAAGAAGAAAGAGCAAACCGCTCGAAAGGATAGAGAATTTGAGGCATGGAAGCAACCCGCTCGAAAAAGACTACAGAATTTGAGAACCAGGAGCAAACCACACCAAAGAGCAAAGAGAATCTGAGAACAAGGAGCAAAGCGCTGGAAAGCTTCATGTGTTCCTCTTGCCTCAGGGGCCACTTGAAGCCCCTCCGCAGGGCCCAATTAAATTCCATTGTGGCAGGGGGGATTCTTTAAGACCTCTCCGTGGCGAGGGGTACACGAAGCGACTTTCAAAACCTGTCGGTGGGTTAGGAGGGCTCTTATCTCAACATCTCGGGCTCGCGGAATCTCGATCCGGGCCGCAGCCGGGCCACTGAAAGCCCTGTCCACTAGTGGCGAGGTAGAAGCACAACCCGAGCGCAGGAGAGAAGGTTTCTATTAGACTCTCGACCTGTCCACGTTGGCGGCGATACCAATACGACCCCGGACAGGGCAGAGGGCTAGCTTCGGACTCTGTCCATGCATGCTCGAGCAGCTGCTGAGCGCCGGACCTACCCAAGGCCGAGCTAAAGCCTTTCCGACCGTACCAAAACAACCCTATGGGGACAAACAAACCAGCTCCACCTTAGCATTATCGTGTGTTGGTATTAGAATCAGTATTTGTACTAGCAGTAGTGTAGTGCTAGTGCAGTATGCTACGTATTACCAGCAGGCTCGCCTTGCATGACGAGACCTCCATCTCCGTCTGCAGCATATGGCAACCTATCCGGGTGAATATGGACATGCTGGAAACAAGAAACAAATAGTATTCCCTCTAGTACTAGTAACCCGGAGAACCTCGTTAGGGCAGCTCTTTTACAGTCAAGTCGATAGAAACTCAGAGCGATTCTTGTAGCATCTCTGCCAGATGCGGAGCATTTTTTCTCTTTGGTTCAGCCATCTGCCGAGGCCTCCGGCCCCAGTGGGGATGCAGAGTTCTGACCATAAGGTCATGGGATGTATTGACCTCTCATCCTGATTCTCCGATTACTACGATTATTACTGTTATTGGTGCTGTTTGGGTCTATCCCATGCCAAAATTAGATTGTCCTACCACCAGCGATCACAAGCCACGACATGCCAGTTTCACAGGGCGGTGATGCTGACTGCCGACTTTCTTCTAGAGAGAAGGACAACAAGTGCAATAGTTTCAGCTTCTGTACTTGGCATCCTGCTGCTTACTTTGTGATTTGGGCTGCTCATGCCCAGCATGTCCTTCTTGTCCTGTCCACGGCCCCGCTTAGGCGAACACTGTGGCGGCCCAAACAACAGCCGCTTTCGAACAGCAGCAACCAGGAATCTGTGCAGTTGCCATGCTGCTTCCAAAGCCTTCTGCGCAGGTCTTTGCGGCAGCAGGGGAACTCTCCGAATTGGCAGCCCGAATCAAGCCTTCAGGGAGAAGCGGGTCTCACCTGGACACGCAAGGGAATCTTCGAAGCGCGCAGTCTGTTTATTTTCACATGCAAATCCAGCGACAGAAGCCGCCCGGCCTTTCTCGAAAAAGCCTACGATCTGATTTGCTGCAGCCACGCCAGCCTCGGCTTTGCAAGTCGAGAAGCAAAGGTGTCAAATACAGTATGTCGCTGCATAGCATATCAGACACAGCAACGTCCCGCCTAGAGTATAGAGATATGCACTGCAGGGAGCGGCATTCAGCATTTCTATCAGGCTTTTTCGCGTTTCTGATCTTTGCCAAGCTGCATTGTCATTGGCCTCCGCGGTCTGAGCTCCCATCTTCTTCTTGGTGAAGATCAAGCGCTTGCCGTACTTGTCGCCGACAGCAGCCTCTCAACCGCTGTGGGATACTTGCAGCAGTACACGCGAGCAGCATGATCTTACGAATGCAGCCTTGTACGGCTCGATGTCTTTGGGAGCTACGTCGCACAGGTAGCAGAAGTCCGTTCGGGTCTTCAGGACCTCGATCATGTCAGCCTGGTCGAAGAAGGGCGTACATTACAACAAACAAACGCTGAAAGTCAGCAGGGACCGGTTTCCGTGCTTCAAATGGGGATTCTAGGCTAGACATGTTCATGGAGGGAGAGGGAGGTCTGCTCCAGCGGGACAAGCGTAATGGTTGTTTCGGGGTAGAACTTACTGGGCTGCAGGTTCGATTCATAGACTGGGCTCGGGGGAACCCCAAACGCCCATGCACCGCTTCACATGCCTCGTGAACCACCTCGGTGCGCGCTGTGTTGATGAGGGAACCGCCCTTAGGCATCTTCATCAGCAACTCCTGGGACGCTGTAGGATGGACAAGAATTTGCAGGGCTTAAAGCTCCTATAGAACGGGATGCAACACGATGAACAGATTGAGAACTGTCTCGACTGAGCAGATTCTAGGCTGGAGTTGTGCAGCATTAGTCAGTTGAAATGTTGTTCGCTGAATGCTTACTTCGGATTATCCAATGCTCGTGCTCGAGCCCATTCCGTCGATCGGCCACTGCGAAAATCATAAGCCTGCAAACCGTCGATACGGAAACTCTTCAAATGGGACCGTAACAGCTGAATAGTTGCTCCATGCCTTCATTGTTCAGTGGTAGCGATTACTGCGAAATGCCGCGAAATACTACTTCTGCTACTGCAGTTACTGTGACCCCCACCCTTAAGACAAGGCCGCCTCCATCCCTCACCCCTCACATGTTCCTCGCATCCCATTCCCACCACCCCAAAGCAGTGGTGGCTCCTTGTTGATGGACGCCTTGGTCTCATCCGTCAGAGGCACGTGCAGGGAGACATACTGGTGGTCAAAGAGCCCTGCCACCGAAGAAACGGGCTCGGCGCCCATCTCCTTAATCTTGTCTGCAGGAATGTAGGGATCGTACGCGAAGCTCTTCATGCCAAAGCCGACAGCCAGCTTGTGCACGGCGCGGGCAACTGCTCCAAACCCGTAGAAGGCGATCTCGCGGTTGACAAGTTCGAAGCCGCTGGTGCCATCAAAATTGTTCCTAGCACTGACAATCATCATGCCGAATACGAGCTCCGCTACTGCATTGGCATTCTGGCCAGGTGTGTTCATTGCCGTGATGCTCTTGGCTTCACAAGCCTTGAGGTCAATGTTGTCGTAGCCAGCACCGGCTCGAACAACAATCTTGAGCTTGTCCGCCTTGTCCAAAACTGCCTGATCCACAATATCGCTTCGGATGATCATGGCATCGACACCAGCCACTGCTGCGAGCAGGTCATCCTTGCTCTTGTAGTTCTCTAGCTTCTTCAAGGTGTAGTTTGCCTCTTTGACCACGCTTTCAATCTTCCCAACAGCGCCAGCAGCAAAGGCCTTCTCTGTGGCCAGAAGCACGGTTCGGGCCTTTCCTGCCTCACCAGCCATTGTCTTCTAAGTTGAGGAGCAGGCTCGCGGCTTGAGTCAAAATTGCACTCTACAAGCCACGTGATCTACCCGAGAGGCCAGGCAGGGCCACGCACACAAACAAAACACAGAGCTTAGAGCTTGCGTTGATGCCTTAGTCTGCCGGCTCCCAAGTCTGCAGCAATCGTTGCCTGAGTCAGATATCTTGAAGACTGTGAGTGCAGCTCACACGGGGCCCAGGTGCTTAATTTCAACATCTAAAGCCACCAGGATACATATCCGACGGCAACAGATATTGCCACGGCTTGTGGCAACCGACCGGAGCAGGGTGGTAAATCGTCTCCACCTCACCACTCCGCGGGACAACACAAAGCAAGATTGACGTGGGCATGTCAGTGGCATGGGCCAATCTCTGGTCACTTGCTGCACGCCAGGTCACCGAGAATTCTTGTGCCACCTCCGGGCATTTGCAGATACCACTGGGAGCTACGCTCGTAGTCCTGGCATGTCCCGACCTCCCGGGAAGGAACCTTTGCCGCCAGGTCTGCAGCTGCTCGCGCGAAGCAGATGTCTTCCTCAGCGCGGTCGTGTCGAGCTCTTCCCGACCCTGTGCTTTGAAGAGGCTCGGAGGGCATGGCTATGCTATCCTACATCGATACTTACTTCACTGTCGGCGAACCCTTCCGGCCCTTGGGCGTGTGGTCTGCTCGTGGTATTCTAGATGAGCCCAGACTCGTTTCGGCAGGGCCATGGGCTTGGCACTTCACCGGCACAAGTTGCCTGACCGCCAAGCCAAGCTCGTTGAATCACATCGCATGCAGAAGTTCAGTCAGGATCGTGGGCGCCGGAAGTTAGCAGCCCTGCCCTGCCCAATGCCCCCTAAAGATGGACATGCCTGCATGTGCTCTAAAGCGGCGCGAAGGAACTCGCAACGCCTGGCAAGGAATTGAAATATGCCCCTGATCTGCCACAGGTCGACTCACGGCTCATGAAGAAGCAGGTCGCTGGGCATGTCTTGTGGAAGCATTGCTCAGCAACAGGCCAGTGGCGAATGCAGATGCCTGATAGACAAGCCGCCGTTGCCAACCGAGGTTGCATCCTGTGGCAGGACTTTTGCTGACATGGTAGGCTTACATGTCCGAGAAACTGACCTGGTAGTCTCAACCGAGGCCTCCCGCACTCAGTTCCTATCGCAGCCTCCGAATAAAAAAACATGCTCCTGCAGTCCGCACTCAGGTGTCCTCTGCCCAGCTCCACGGTGCTCCAACCAGGTCATAGCTGCAGTAGCCTTACGAACTCCACATCAGGTTCCCAGCTGCCCGTTTCCTATCAAACGGACGTCAGGCAGCTTTCGACACCCGGGCGCAGAAGAAGAGAGTCGCATTCCTGCCGGACCAGGAGTGACAACAGGGGGTTCAAAGCACCCATCACCCTAACAGACATGGGAGAGCTTCCAGGAAAAGCGCCAGCTTGCCGCCAGCACCATCGATCCACGACAGCAACTCCTCACATGGCGGGGATGAAATCTCATGCCACCTCCTGTTTATGAAACGTCATGAAGCAAGCGAGCCCAGGCATCCTGAGATCTGCGGAAGTTGGCGTACCCTTCGCGACTGAAGTTGGATATCGGCAGGCAATGAAGGTGAACAAAGGACCATCTCCTCAATACACAATCGGATGCGGGGGCATCCAGCAGGAGGCTACGTTTGTCGCGCTGGCTTCAGCGTCGAGAACTCTCACTGAGTCACAAGCTACACAACAAGCAAAGCTGCAAACCTGACGAAGCCTCGGAAATATTTGGCACTTCCACCCTGGTGTTGTGACTCCGGCGGCTGCCGAAAGGTTGCGAACAACATCCACAGGCAAGTCTCCTCACAATCTGCTCGACGAAGGTCTTGTTCCGCTCTCCACAAACCAGAAGAAGAGCCCACGTGCCTAAAGCTGGATTGGAAATCGGGGAAGTGTCGGTTCAACGTCGATTCAAGGAGCACCACCTTAACTTCAGCCAAACCACACGGCTCGAGCAAACGTATGCTGGAGCGGAGCACCACCTCCAGGTCCTGCGCCGCTGCAAGCCTATGTATGTGTGTGCGTGTGTGTTTATGTCTGCATGTGTGTGTGTGTGTTTATGTGTATATACATAGATACACATACACACGTACATGCACACATGCATCTACATAAACTACAAACACATTTTGCACTCGCAGCTCGACAAAATCGGGCGAGCTTTCGGAGACACCCACCAGTAAACCCATACACATACACACACATACATACATATAAATACTATACATACATACATACGTACATACATACATTATACATACATCTTTACATAGTTACATATACATACATACGTGCTTGGGATCAAACATTGTGCCGGGAATCCAGGTACAGCCGGCTCGCGCGCACGCACGCACACATGACATTTACACCCGCTCTTCGCACGAACCCTCCAGATGGTGTCTTGTTGAGCATCTGCTAGGAACCTGGCTCGGCTCCTCGTGTTCGCGCATCTCGATCACAACCAGGACGCGCTCAGAGTGTCTTGGAAGGCCTGTCGCACCATCGCAGGTTTAGTATAGCATAGCACCATGGCATTAGTATAGTAGCATGGTGTAGTGTAGGAAAGTATGCAGACCGCAACAGCACTGGCTTCCTCAAAAACGGGTTGAGGCGTGCGCCTCTGCTTCTTTTCTCACCAGGCGGACACTTCGGATTGATCGTATGATAGGCAGACCAAATGCGGATCAAGCCCCCGCAGATGGATCTGAATCATGCGCAGTCTTCATCTTGCTTCCTATGTGAAAGTAATGGAAGGTGGACTCGCAGCCCTTTTGCTCAGTTGGCGCAAAGCAAAACACTCCCATCTTCCATGGCTTGTCCTCGCTTCGGAAGCTCGCAATGCGTACAAAAGCAAATTCCGCCGGCGTTGCTGCAGTGTCTCCTGGGTGCCAAGGTGCAGCTTCCACCACAACGGCCGGGCCTTGATCTGGTCCCGGGAGTTCCCGGTGGAGTCGGAGGCGCAAGGAGGTGCTGGAGCCATCCCAGTGGGGCCACTGCTGTGTACTCCAATCAGAGAACCCGTGGTTTGTGACCACACAGGACAGCCTGGGCACGCCATCACAAAATTCAATGCCGGCTTTGATCCAGGTGAGCTCATCCACAATCACCATGGCACCAGCTTGATCAAATTGTGCTCGCGGGTGCAGGGTGAAAGCTAAAGACATGGTTGCCTCGGAGTCAGCCACCGGACACACCAAGACCTGACCGTCATTCTTGATGAGCAGGGGCTTGTAAAACGTCCGACTCCAAAAATCACGCTTAGCTGTTGGCTGGACTCGAAGGCCCTTTCCACCTTCGGTCAACGACCAGCTCTCGGGTTCGGAAGGCTCCCACGCCAAACTGGGATCGGCGAATGATTCGACGCTAGCCATCAAGAATATGCCGAAACTACAAGAGACACGGTACAGCCATCCCTGCTAGACACCCATTTGATGAGCAAACGCAGCGGGTGAGATTTCAAGCTGCTGGAATGAAATATGCATCAACTCAACTTCAGGCTAGCCACGTCCATGTGCATCAACCGAGTGCCTGTGATGGGGCCGGTGTCCATGGCCTTACGGCGCCGTGAAAGGTAGTCCTGCAGGGGTGCAGTTCAACATATCTACCAATTATGTAACAACAGAGTACGAATACGAATACAAATACTGGTAATAAGTAAAACTAAGAAGAAGCAGAATTAATTGTAAGTAGACTTATACGGGGAATAGTTAGTAGTAGTGATAATACCTGGATAATACTAAAGAAGAAGCAGAATCACAACTAAATCTATACTACTATACTAGTAATAGTTAATAATGATAGTTTTATAGTAGTCGCAAAAGCGATAATACATGCCACGATCGTAATGGGAAGAATAAGCCCTTCAGGTCCTTCCAAATGCGGTGGCTGTCATGTCGCCAGGAGCGCCACTGGGAAAGAGCTGTGTTGGTGACTCCTGGAGTGCGTCATTCACTGGGCGCCGATGCCACAGCGTCTACATATGGGGATCTCCTCATATAGTGGCACTTGATCTTCCGGGTCCATATTGTCCAAGTGAAAGAAACTTCTGTGTCCACACTCCCGTATCTTCACCGACAGCAGGAATAAGCAGCTGTCCTCGAAGCTCGGCAGGTCCCGGACCAAGCCGCCATGCCAGGCCGCGCAGCACGTGGACGCTGAAACCTGGTCCACTTGTTGATCTCTCAGTTCAGAATAAAATCTGTGTGGAGTTGGCCAAGGCACTGAGAGACTCCGACTCCGAATCCGCCGAGCCGTCCTCGCCTGGGCCTCTTGTGAGAACTCGCCGCGTTGAGAGCCGATGAAAGGAAATGTGAGCGCCTGCTGGGAGCCGCACTTCCGCAGAGAAGTCCACCGGCGACCGGATCTGCCTGCTGTGCAAGGTGCATGCCGTATGCGTCTGTGCATCTTTCGGGACTGGTTCGCATGCACTGCGGCTCGCGTCCCTGCCTGTGTCGGCAGTGGCATCGCAGCCGTGCGCGGACCCCATGGCAGGGGAGCAAGGAACAAACGCCATTAGAAGTGACACTCTTCGTGCCATGTGCCACCATGAACCATGCACAAACGCACGCGCAGTGTATGCGAGTGTGTGCACCGTCTTGCTGCATTGCTCGTAGCCTCCTGACGGCGACTTTTCGCACACAGCGACCGCAACGAAGGGCCCGAGAGCACAAGAACAGCACTCAGGCCAGAGCTGACGATCCTGACGACAGCTGCAAGTATCCCAGCCTCGCAGTAATATATATATATATATATATATATATATATATATAGAGAGAGAGAGAGAGAGAGAATATTATATTACAATAAAGTATTTTAAATAAATATTTATATATATATATATGTATATATATATATATATATATATATATTGACATACTTATGCAAAGATCCTCCGTAATGCATCTATGACTTTTGGCGTAACCCTTGCAGCAAGAGCTATTTCTTCGGACTGGCGTAGGCGTAGGCCCTAGGCAGAGTGTAGGTTTACAATACAAGGGCCCAGGGATACTGTTGATGATACAAATCCTGCATTACCTTAAGGACACTAAACTATGGGAATCATGGTATATTCCTTACTAGGGGCATTTACATAATCAACCGTATCATGTAAAGGGGATCAACTGAAGTTGGGTCGGAGCTTCAAAGTCTCTCAGGAGTCGGCAGCGTCAAAGTTTCGCAATCCTTGGGCTGGTGGCCTCAGGCACTGCTCGCGCGTTCGACCACCCAAGGAGTCTCGAAACAGCAGTGATCCCTTCTGGGCTCTTGGGGCTTCGACACCCATAGGCTCCATTTGGGATTTCCTTATATAGGATTCTGAATATGAACCCCTATAGGATATAAAACAGAGGAACCCCAAAGAAGAACTACAATGGAGCTTATAGGTGCGGGCAGAGTCGAGAAGTCTATGGGTGGTTGTCAAACTTATGGTCCCTTTTTGGGCCCCAAATATAGTACGGCACCTAGTATTTAGGGTACCCAAAAAGGGACCATCATTTTGACAACCACCCCTATTCTTGCTGCGAGGCGTAAGAGCTCCCTGAGCTCCATCTCCGCATCCTCCAGTCGACCTCTTGAGGGGGGGTTTCCGAAAAATAGGGGGGCCCTCAAATCCTTTAAGGGATCTTTAAGGGTATAAGGGTTTATTTTTCCCTCCTACTTGGCAAGGGCGAAGCCCGCATCGCAGGGTACTTGGTTGAACAGTGTAAGCAGACTGAAGCATTGAGCCTACTTGACATGCATCAAACTCCGGTATAAGGGTTTATAGGGTTTAGGGTTGGCAAGTTCCGAACATAGGGGACCCTCATATGGTACTCTAATCTACTACCCTAAATAGCCTAAATAGTAGGATCCTTATTATCAGGACCTCCAAAAATGGTACCCCTAACTTTCGGAAACTCCAAGAGTCGTTTCAAAGTGGGAACGTCCTGTGGGATCTTCGGCAAAGAAAGACAGGTCTCCGGCCGGTTTGCTGAAGAGCCATGGCCTCAGCACTCCAGCCTATCGACCCTAAACAGGCCAGCATTGGGATCTCATGAAACAGATGCAGTAAAATAAATTTTCGAACAGCAGAATCCCTTACAAAAGCAAGAAAACGAGCTCTCCGCCTATATTAACCCTAGGCCGTGGGTGCTGCCCCCACCCTGCAACAGTCGACATTAGGGGGCATCTTAAGGGCTATGTACAAGTATATCATAAATATAATCTGACTGTGACAGTGGGGGCAATACCTAACCCCATAAGCCCTATAAGCCCTATCTCTAACCCCTACAAAAGCTCTATAAGCCCGAGCTATAAAACCCTATAATCCCTAGCCTATGATCCCTACTTGGAGGGTCATGGGACTTAGTAAGTAAGGTTATAAGTACCTTAATTGGGATTATAAGTCTGTTACCCTAATTATAACCCTAGTTACTAAGTCCCATGATCCTTTAAGTACAAGCCCAAAACCAAAGAAGGCGGCGGCGGCTTCCTCGTTGCCAGGGCCCCCTGCCCTGGCTAGCCGGGCCGGGCCCTGTGTCGGGTCCAGTTCCGTGGCCTGGGAGTCGCTTTTCCGGGCTACGAGAAAAGTCCCAAGAGCCCCTATATATCTACAACTATACATACATGCTGCTGTATCTATACATATTTTAGCCCTACATATGTACATGTGTGTGCGCGCTTGCATTTGTATTTCCACATGTCTATCTATCTATCTATCCATCTATCCCATATCTCTATAATTATGGATGGACAGTCCTGAGTCTGAGAGGGTGGGTACTAGGTTTCTGAGGCCTTTGAGAAACTGAGCTCCGATCCCGGCGTGCTTCCTCCAAGGCCTCAGGGAATCGCCGAAGCCTCGAGAAGAGACCCCCCCCGTCTTCAACGAAGGCTTCCTGCGCTTCCTCGCTTCGGCTTAAGTTGAGGAAGGACCAATGTGAGGCGAGGGTTTAGGGTTTATGCTCTCACAACTCGGACACAGCCAGGCGAGGTTCTTAGGTGCGGAGTCGGTGTGAAAAGTAGATTGAAGTCGATTCCCGCATGTGCCGGGTTTAGGATTTCGGCGCTCGCACTCGGACAATCCAGGCGAGAGGGTTTCAGCACTCACTCTCGGATCCGGGCGAGAGGGTTTAGGGTTTAGGGATCTTGGAGCATGAGTTTTGGAGCAGCTCGTTCTCAAAGCAGTCGGCTCTGAAGCCGGCTGAACCGGGCGCTCTAGTCTTAACTTATCCACAGCCACAGCCTGGAAACTGAGTCACGCCAGACGGTACATTTTCACCATTAACAGCCGGGCAGACACTCTTATTGAGAGTGGAAACTGTCGCCTGTTGCACCGCGGGTATTGCTGAGGGCGAGCAAACTAGAAAAAGTTGCACAAACATATTGCAAACACTGACAGCCAACCGGATTGACGTAAGACACGTCGTCTGTCGAAAGAGCCCGCTGCCCTCAGCCACCTGTGAAACGAAAACCAAAGGAGGCACTGAGGCACAGTCACAGCCCACTGCTCCTGACTCCTCCTCACAGAAACGATCGGTTACCTTTGCTACTTCTGCAGGGGGCCGCTTGTTTTGTTTCGTGCGCGGCATGCGATGCAATCTATTTCTGAGGCAGTTCTGAGGCAGCGTGGCATGAAAGGGATGTTTGTCATTGACCTGGTGCTGTGCTTCGATTAGAATGATGAAGTTCCCCTTTAAGTTTAAGCCGTCCCTCTCGCACACACGATGCTTGACATTTTGCATAGACGTCGAAAACGGCAAGATGCCAAGGGCACCTGCATCGCTGCAGAAAGTCGCTGTAGCTTTCGGCACGATGAATCAACACCTGGAGCGAAGCCTCTCTGCCGGACACGCCCGATATGTGCTTCGGTTTAGGGTTGAGTGCTACCCTACTGTATAAGAATTTCTTGCTATGATTTCCCTGCACAAGGCCTTTTCTTGCTACTGTATTTCGGGGGTTCAGGTAAGCTTTGTAGTATTTGCGTGCCTGCCTCAGTGGCTGAAGCAAGCACTCTTACCGGCTCTATCCGGCACGGGCCGGCCCGAGGGAATTGAAACAGCATCCAACTGTTTGTATCTTCGAGGCGCGGTGAAGCTCGCCCTTGGATTCATGTTGATTTATACATAGATATGTAGGTTTAGGGTTTAGGGTTCATGTTGATTTATACATAGATATGTAGAGAGAAGCTTGCGTTCTCCAACCCTCAGGCAAGCCAGCCCCTGCGAAGCCTACGGGACGTCGATATCTGCGCCGTCTGTGCCGAAGGGTGAAGCAAACCATGTAAGAAAAAACAGAAAATTCGCTATGCATGGGCAGACCATTAAAGTGTGTTGCATAGAGTGGAGGCGGGAAGTACTAGAAGCTAAGAGGCGGTTAGCATAAGCAGGTCGTGATCATCGGTGGGGTCAAGATCTCGACGTCGGTTCCCAAATCTGCATCTGGGAGACTTATACCCGGAAATTACCTGGACCCCAGGAGTATGTAGAATTTTATGGATCTTGTGCCATTATTTTACCCTATTTTGGGGGGGTTTAGGTAAGTTCAAATCAAGCGGGAGCCGATCATAGGTGCGGGCATCTCAGGCTCCTCGCGGGGCTTCGTGAAACTTTGCGGCGCCTTATTTGGTACGTCATTTCCATGTAAGTAGTATGTGAGCCCTAAGCCCTAAAATCTGTAAGGATCCCGAGTTTGGCATTCATTTTTGCATCTTAGTGAGGGCCCCTGAACTTCTGACACTCCAATGTGACAGTAGCGCATCAGCAAATTGCAACCTTGAGCTCCCACCAATGCCCAGCAAACATGGAGCGGCATAATATAGGGGCAGTCGCAAAATAGTGATACAACTAATAATCTTAACTAATCATATATAATATAGGGTTGAATAGAGTTTTGTATAGGAAACATGCGCAGTCCTCCTGGGCAGCGGCTTACAGATCCTCAGCAAGTCAGATCTTTGTCGGGCAGTAGGGCTTAGGAAGTTTAGGCTCAGGGTTTGGAGTTTAGGGGTTTAAGCCTTGAGCTTGACAATCCAAGTAGGCAAAACAAGCTGAGGTCTCCGTCCCATGCAAGCCTGCACTACAATCATACACGGGAACCTAATGAGCCCATCTCTTGTGAAGCTGCGATCCGGTGTACAACTGGGCTCTCACGAATGCCAGCATCCAGAGACAACGAAAGCCGAAATCCTAAACCCCAAAAACCCTTGAAGCCCTAAATCACTAAAAACCCTAAGCCCACTAAACCTTAAGTGAAGCCGAAGGGGCCATGGGGCCTCCATTGATGACGATGCCCTCCTGCTCGAGCCCCTGATCCGCATCCAAAGTCACCTCGTGGATTCTGGAAGCGGGGTCGGACAGGTACATAATCGTGCTTGAAGTTACAATAGTAATGACTTAGTAGTGGCAAAAACTACGGTAGTAGTAATACTACAGCGTGTTGGGAAAAGAGGCCCGATATTCGACCAAGATCGTGCAGTCAATCTTGCTAATCTTGGTCAGCGCATGTTTGATT